ATTGTCCTTGATTAAGACTGTGAGTACCCAGTTTCAACGCTACAGTGTACTGCTAATCCTTTCCAAGCAGAACTCAAATATCGACATGGTGAGTGCATATATGCATGTATTGCGCGTGCCATCTCAGCTGTGTCTGATGTCCAATTGTAAGCCAGTATCGCTGTGCTGGCGGCTACGGGTATGATGTGATTGGGTTAGGGTTGATTGGGCCGGTCTGTATGATATATAGAGAAGTCCGGATGTAGCGTAGGAGAGTCGCCATTTGAATATATATTCATTTCGATCTAATTCAATCTGGCTGCCAATATCGGGACGAATACTAGGCGCCAAGCTGGGCACCAAAAATGGATATGAATAATAAGATACAAAATTGTATATCCCATTTGATCCCATGTTACGCAGGGTGCGGAATGTCTAAGTAATATGTGGGGAACATGGTCGGAATGTGAGGGGAAGGCAGTTAATACCATGACATCCTCTAGACCTGCGGAATGTGGTGGGAACACGCTGGGAATGTGGCGGTAATGTGCTCATCCTCTCCGTGTTCCCCAACCTCTGTAATCTGGCGCTTCACGCGGTGTTTGGAATCCGAAGATGGGATCGGAGGCGATGAACCTTGTGCGAGCGCCACGCCGATACTGGGATCATATTTCCTCAGTGTTTTCGGCATGCGTCACGCTGCAGGCGAGTCGGTACTTGCAGAGCTCCTCCTGGCCCCAGGAGCAGCCCAAGGCCGCAAGCTCGTCACCATAATAGGGGATCGTCATCGCTACGCCGCGCTCGTAAAGCAAGCGCAGCCCGAAGGCCAAACGTCGGAGCATGAGTAGCTCTGTTCTCACGTCCATGAGAACGCAATCCAGGAGAGGCTCGTAGGAGTCACTGTTTGAACAGAGATACACGGATAGACAAGCTTAGGCTCAGATGGCATGCGTAAGTCGACGGCGCCGGCATCAATTTGCAAAGCCGTTCGTCCTTGGTCCAGTACATCAGTGCACAGCCATCAAGCCAGCATTTTCGCGGGCCGGCGCAGGACCCGTGCTACATAATGCCCCCAATCACCGCGTGAAACGATACGCTTCAAGACATCTGCACAGTGTCCAACGAAATCATATCACACAATGAACAGTCCTTCCGGAATTTCGCGCTCTCCGGAGTCTGCTCTAAAGGCGACTGTCGCCTACTCATATCTGGGAAGATTTGCCGGTGTTGCTAGCTCGCGCTCAATGATGGCTTTAGCTAGCTATGGATCGATGCCTGTTGCATCAAAAAGTGACCCTCCGAAAGCCCAAGCGTTTTCGAAGGGCAGATGGTTTGCTCGTGGGTGGACATTGCAGGAGCTGGTCGCGCCGGCCTACGTCGTCTTCATGGCCTCTAGCTGGCGTATTATGGCCACCAGGCAGAGTCTTGCCTCTGTAGTCCAGAAGACCACGCCAACAGTCAAATACAGGGGTCTATTGTAGCTTCCAATAAATATGACAGTGCAGCAGAAATGTCACTTCATTCAGCAGTATATGGCGGAGGAAGTACTGACGTTCCTCTCGTCAATCGCAATCCCGAATCCACCGACTGGACTAGTACTGAAGGTTCTGTCTCTCCGTCGAGAATCAGCCCTCCTGAAGACGGGTTTGCTAGTTCTCCCGACTCCCGCTGACCCGTTGGAACAGGTACAGGCACAGCGGCTTGAACAGGCGCAGATATTGACGCAGTTGAAAGCAGGCTTGGAGGGAAATCGACGGACGTTGGAATTGCCGAGCCAACAGCTTTTAGAGAGGGTGCACTGGCAAGTAAAGGATCTGACAAGCCGCCAGCCACCATCTGCTTTGAAGAAGAACGGGGGCGAGTGACGGGATCCTTGTTGCGAGCGCTCCTCCAGGACCCAAATGGTCGGATACCTATTCCCATGGCCGTGATCAGTACCAAATCTGGCGGTTTGAGCATTGGCCCTGAGGTGGCATACCATGCGCATCGGATGTACTCTTCTGCCGTCGCCGCAAATACCACAATAGAACTATGACACTGAGGACGAGCACAACGGAGCCAACTACTCCGCCGACAATGGGACCAACGTTGCTGCGACTCTTGCGAGACGCAGGCATCGTAGACGAGCTGACTGTGGAGGTCTCAGTGGGAGACGTTGTATCGATGGCGGTCGGGGAGGAGGATGAAACAGTCGGTTGTGATAGACTAGTTGCAACGAAAGACGTCGACAGAGTTGTTGACGGCAAATACTCGATATAATCGAGCCAGAAGACGTTCGGTTTGGTCCCATTCACGTTTGTGATCGTCAGCGTGTGGTCGCCTGGGGGAAGAACCTTGGACTGAAAGAAGGTTACGTTCAACGCGAAACCACCAGGCTGAATGATGGGTGCCGTGTATAGCCCGGCTTCGGCGCTGTCGATGGTGTAAAGAGTTGTGGGTACACCATGAACATCCACCGAGCCCAGTGACCCCACAACGACGACTTGGGTCCCTATATGCTGGTATTAGTTGTAATTTATCATCAAGCCATCGTCTCTGGCATACCGGTGAAGTTCAGCGTTGCAGTCAAGCCGGCCTCTGCAGCCCCGTGTTTCGTACCGTCGGACTCCGATCCGTTCACAAATGCTTGCCATCCTGACGAGTATTGGATCCGAGGGTCCGCGTCGTCAACGAAAGCCCAATTCATGGCCACCAAGAAGAGTGGGTGGGATGTGGTAGAGACCGAGAGGGAAGAGGTCTAAGGAGAAAGAGGAAACCGGAGTTGGGATATAGCGGCCCACCTAAACCGCCCATCAAAACCACGCTTCGTGGAATTTCAAGGGGCACTCGTGGCCTACCTAGACCACCGTAACGTCTCCTGTCCATCGCTGTCAACAGTAAACGTCAAGCGTATCTCAACATTCACCCAGCGCAGATTAGGCGGAACCGCTTGGTTTGCTGGGTTGCAATTACTGTCGTGTTCAGATTGAATTGAACCTGCAATTTGAAATAAGTACTTCGAGAAACCGGCCGACACGGTGATCCACAGGGTGTCTATTGGCAATCAGATGCCGTAATGACCCCGGGATTTGGCCACGCACCCACGGGAAGATTTGCACCGCTAACGATACTGATACGCAGAGCGCGGACCTGCGTCTATTGCGCGCAATCGTCCTACCATTGCAGTCGATGACCCCGTCGATGCAACTTGTGGTAGGCCTCAGATCGGCACAGCAGGACAGCGTACCGAGCCGGACATAGACCAAACGGACCAGCACCAGATTAGACATAGCTCAGATCACAGTATCAGCCTATTGGGGTAGCGGCTCCTCCCACTGAATGATGGCTGGCGGTATTCTACGGCGGTGTAAGCGAAATGAGCCCAGTGACACCGCCCGGCCATTCAAGGGTTCACTCACTGAGACATGCCTTAGTTCCTATCCTGCCGTTCATAATTCAGCCTAGCTTTACCCAAGAGAATTGAAGTATACGTATCTCAAATGCACTATGTGTACGCCAGATGTCCCTTATCTGGTGCGGTTATGATGCTATGCTGACCTTGGCAATTTGACAATGTATATGACCGAAACATGTCCGAGGATCGTGCCAGTTGGTGGCAACAGGTTGGCTTCCGGACTAAGACCTTCCAAGTCATTATCTCTCCGCTATATACGCGACCTGGCCGTTACGATGCAATATTGTCGTTTGCTTGCATCAGTGCGCCAAACGACCCTGATGGTGGCCGAGGTATTGCTACTGAAAGGAGACTTGTTTTAGCCTTGCATGACATCGATGCATATCTCACGTTGTTGCGTTCCCAGTCGGAACGCTGCAAGCACATGTGCAAGTAGAAGCACTCGTGTACTTCATCATTCTGTAGCCCACCCCACATTGAAGAGAACGGTGGTCAATGCTACAGGAGATGGAAGCATGCCGTAGTCAAAGAACAATTGAAGCGAATTTACTATACATACTCGTTCGTGAGCTTTGCATTGCTCCATCCGTCCTTTACAGCGCTTCCTCCCTCACAACGCGAAGCGCTTGATGTCCATGTATTCCACAATACCATGTCCGCCCTCGCGCCCTGTAACGTCGAGGGAAATCAGCATCCATTCATCAGTGGCACGACCACCGCACTCACCGAGCCCGCTCTCTTTGATCCTACCAAACGGGAACACTACCTGGCCGATCAATGACGTGTTCGTCCCAAGTTCCAACCATCCCAGCCTCACGAGCCTCCGCGGCAATCCCCACGTCCCGAGACAAGAAGTAGCCCGCAAGCCCAACAAGAATCCTCATTCACCATCCGAAGAACGTCTTCCTCAGTTTCGAGTTAGGTGAACGCCGTGAGGGGCCCAAATGTGATCTTCTCCTAGTTCACGAGCGCGGTGGAAGGGACGTCCGACAAGACGGTGGGCGCAAAGAACAAGCCCGCACCCGCGCTTACCCGCCATGAGAAGCTGAGCGTCTTGCTGGAGCGCATCGTCGACGTGCCTCTGGACCTAATCAATCGCGCTATATATCTTCATCGACGTCGTTTTCGAGCTTGATGCCGGACCCTGAACGGTCCCCTCATCAAGTGACCGCTATAGCCAGAGAATAAGAATACGAAGACTATCACACTCATCTCATACGCACTGGCACCACGAGCAGGGGGAGGGGGAGTTACATTCGCAATACACAACAGTACAACAACGCAAGATAACAGGACTGAACGCTTAGACGGACAGGAGAGGACGGGAACGACCAACGATACATTTCGGTTCGAGGGCAGAGAGTAGCGTCCATGTGTATGTATGTGTATGATGCGAATGCCAGGAGGATGGAGACGAGGGTCATGGGTGACGACGAGCAGACAGGGATATGATTCCAACAAAATGTAAGGGGGGAGGGAACGAACTACAGCATGGCTCCGGTGAGAGGGAGGATGAGAGTAAGAGATGAGAATGATAGCACGGCGTATCAAGGGCCGGCTGGCAGGGCCACACGTTGATGCAGCGGGAGGGTAAACGAGAGGAAGGTCCCAAAGGGAGCACAAGTGCGATATGCACAAATAAATATGGAGAGACACAAAAGAGTGTCAAGCGGAGACGTCCATGAACCCACGGAATCCGAGTACTGGTGGAGAAGCCGAACTGAAAAGGAGGAGGCGAGGGAGCGTACAGAAAGGTCGCTACAAGCCGGTGCTGAAAGACTCAGCCCATAACGCTGGGGTAGCTGACGCTCTCGCTGAGGTACTCGTTCCCGGGGTTATACGTGAAACCGCGGAACTGGTCCTGGACCGTCTCCGAAAGGGGCGTATCGTCGACGTGCGAGTCCTGCGCCTTCTCCCCGGTGAACTCCGCGTCGAAGTTAGCCGTGTCCAGCACGGATTCCTATCATGTCATACATTGTGAGCACGCTATGATGTCAGACTGCGGAGGACCACGAGAAACATACGACAGTGGGCTTGAACGGGGGCTGGATTTTCTTCGCAATCAATCTAAGTTCCATGACGCAACGTCGTCGTCAGCGATCATCCTTGCTCATCGTATCGCGGGGATGGTATTGCTTCCGACCAATTCCATACCGCGCGAAAAAGAGGTACACACCTGTTCCAGTCGATATGTTTCGAGAAGAACGGATGCCTCTTGATCTCCTCGGCGCCGTTCGCGCCCAGTCGCTTTGCGGGGTCCCGCTGCAGGAGGCCGGTTATCAGCGTCATCGCGTCATGCGGCATGTCCTGTGGGAACAGCAGCGAGTCCGACAGGATGCGCTGGTACATCACGTTCACGTCCTCGTCGTAGAATGGCGGAAGACCGGTCTAGAACAATCGGTGAGAGTGTGAGAAAGTGTACCAAACACACGAGGAAAAACAAGAATTTCGCACGCACCATCATCTCGTACAGGAGGACGCCGAGCGTCCACCAATCGACTGTCTTCGTGTAGCCTTGGTTCATAAGGAGCTCTGGGGCAATGTATTCCGGTGTACCACAGAACGCTGCACGCCAAAGCGATTAATCCGTAAGTCACGCGTACAACAATATGGCAGAATTAGGGGACGCGAGACGCACTGTTAGTCTTCTCCGTCTCCGACATGTTCAATTTGCACAGTCCGAAGTCGCATAGCGCGATATGCCCGGTGTAATCGAGCAGAATGTTCTCGGGCTTCAAGTCTCTGCGCCGCATGTCAGCAACAACCTCCGCCCACATCGGACTTCAGCACACGGATAGTGGCGTACCGGTAGACCACGTTGAACCCGTGCAGGTGCTCAAGCGCGCACAGGAGTTCCGCGGCGTAGAACCGGCTCCGGCCCTCATCGAACTTGCCCTCACGCTGCAAGTGGTAGAAGAGCTCTCCGCCGTTGACTGCGACCATTGATGCCATGACAGTTAGCCTCCATGACACGACACTTCCCAGATGCGTGTGCAACAGCAGGAGGGACGGACTGACCGAAAGACATGACCAAGTACAGCTTATCCGGCGTCTGGAACGAGAACTTGAGCGGGACGATGAACGGGTTGTTCACGAGCGCGAGCACGGTGCGCTCTGCAAGAATGTGCGTGATCTCCCCCGGCCTGGAGGCGATGTTCGCCTTGCGGATCGTCTTGAGCGCGTATATGCGCTGCGTGTCCTTCTTGCGGACCTGCATCACCTTGCCGAACGAGCCCTTGCCGATGACCTTGAGGAGGTCGAATTGCTCGATCGTCAGCGACTCGTGCCGTGCCGGCTTGAAGTCGATCTTGAGGTGGAACGCGCCGACGCCCGCGGTCGCGTTGTACCACTGGTCGGACGCGTGCTGTTGTTCACGTGTGCAGGCGAATCAGACGCAGAGGTTGCAACAGGCGAAACGGGGGACCAGTGCGGTGTATCGGGGGGCCAATCGGCCATAGGCGGGGTCAGATGGTAGAGGAGACGGGAACGGAGAGGATAGGGCATGGGTGGGTCAGCATCGACGAGGAGCATACGTCAGACGATAAGCTTCACTCACATGGCCGTCCAAAACGGGGGTGAGGTCCACACGGGCCATAAGGATATCGTTGCCCATGTCCTCCTGGCCGCGCAGAGACTGCGCAGTGCGCAGGTAGGCGGAGACGGAGACGTTAGACGTACGAGACACATCGCTGCGCGGGTGCACGAGGGGTGAGGGGGATGTGTAGATGGGCAGGAAGAGAGAAGGGGGACGCACAAATCCGCCCGGTAGTTCCACTCTGGCTTGGAGAGATCTCCGCCGAGGGCCTCGACGAGGATCTCGTTTTTGTCGAACTCGAGGACGACGTAGGGGAGCCACCAGTACTGTTTGCGCTGAAGACTGTCGCGGTTGCTTGTCGATCGGCGGGCAGGTGGACCTGAGTCGAGTGCTTTCTGGATCACATCGGGGACTTGGATCCCTGGAGGGAGCGCGAGGCCGCGTCCTGACAAACACAAGATATCGGAGGTAAGTCGCGGACGACGAGCCGAGCTTGGTTCCCAAGATCCCGAGTGTCGAGGGACGCGTCGATGAGAAGAGAACATACCAGAGAATATGCGAATGGTAAGGGTACCCGAGCGGAAGTTGTTCTCGGCACCATCTGGAGGTTTGGGGGTCACGGAGCGAGATGGGATGGGGGTGACCGAGCGAGAGGAGGCACCGTTCTCCTTCGTGTCTTTTGTCGTCTCTGCGGGTTGGAAACGGTATCAGTCGCGCTGAGCAACTGCAGGACACTGGCGGGGGACATACTCTTTACGCCAAGCTTCCAGGACATGGTGGAGGGAATGAAGAGGATCGCGGTGGGCCGCGCTCCGGAAGGAGGATATGGACGCCGGGTGAGAGACTCAGTCAGACTCCCGAGCGATCTTCCTCCTCGGCCAATCCCATCTCATCTCCTCTGCCACGCCCGCTGCTCTCTCCACCCTCTGCTGCAGCCCGCATTCCATCCTGCTCTACGTTCTTCCCTCGCACATGGCCATCTCACTGTCTGACCCATCTTATCGCTAGGCTCCCCTCAGGAATCTCCGGCTGGTCGCGGCCATCCCAACGCATGTGCGCGTATTATTGTCTTTCTACGCTCCTATCTTAGAACAGTCCTCGGTCAATATGGCGCTCTCATCATCTTCCGATTCATACCGGCCTCCCCATCATTCCGCTTGGTCATTGGTGTCCGGAGCCCCAAGCAGCTACGATTTTACCTCCATTTCATCCCTAGCTTCTCCCTCGATCGAACTCAAAAGCGTGCAGAGGTATGTACTGCGACCTCTCCACTGACTGAAGTCAATCTTGTCTCGACGGCAACCGAACCCTCTGTGGCGTGATGGAACAGCAAGTGTGGTCTTTGTGTTGGAGGACCGCATGCGCGTACGGCTGTACAAGGCTCTCTCGGAGTTGATAGCACCGACCGCAGCCGCGTACTAGTGCGGCGCTCGGTGAACCTCTCGTAAGTCTTCCTCCGCGGCACATTGATTCTCATCATTATGTTCCGCGTCTACATAGCATGTAGTCTACTTCTGTGGTGTACAACCCATGATGTGCCGCTAAGTACGTCCACCCCAATGGCGACACGGTATGACTCTCGGCTGGGCGCCCTTCAATATCGGTACGCCTGTGACCCTGGCCTTCGCCGGCCCATAAGAGTATGTAGCTGATGAGACCAAAGTTCGACATCACGCGTTATCGCTACGCCCTGGACGCGCGCAAGATGTCCCAAAGCGTCTTCCCGACCACCTCCACCCCGTCGTTCCTCAGGTCCCGTCTTCTCTGGACGTCCTCCACTACGTCCTTGCCTATCACCCCAGTCGACGACCGCGCCTTGACGATCTCGTCCACGATGAACTGGGTGAACTCCGGATGACCCTGCACGGTGAAGATGTGCACGTCGGCTGGGGAGACGGACTCGGGTGACCCCCCTGGGTAGAGCTTGACCATACCTTGGTTCGGGCTGATTAGGGTTGAACCGAGAAGGTAGAAGGAGGGCGGAACGGCGGGAACGTGATCGCGGTGCATCTGTTGGATGTTCTGTGGCAACATGGCGCAGGAGGAATGATGGGTATGCAGTGTGAGCGGCAGTTTTGTGGAGGGCTGCGGAGGGGGACTCACGAGCTCAGGTACACCAAAGAGCTTCTTTCCCGTCTCTGTTAGCTGTAGCGGCGTTGGACCCACCTCCCACCTGCCATCGTTGGGCACGCACTCGCCGCCCAAGGCACGCGCGATGATTTGATGCCCGAAGCATATTCCTACGATGTATCGCAGTCAGCACGCGTCTTGAGGCGCACGTACATACAGCCTGACCAATCAATCGGATCTTGGGCTTCTCCTCCGCGAGATGCTTGACGTAGTCAATAAGCCGATTGATCCACGTAAGGTTCTCGTACGCCGACGCAGCTTCGTACGAGGTTCAGTCATCCAAGCAACCTAGCACACGACGCGAGACGCACGCACCGGACCCCGTAAGGAGCACCGCGTCGTACTCGTCCACATTCTCTGGGTATTCGAGCTTCGTCCGCACGTCGAACGCGTCGATCGCGAAATCGACATCGGACAGGCCATCCTCCTCACCCTTTGAAAACTTGGCCTGGGTGGCCTCGAGCGACTTGCGGAAGAGCGTGCGGAAGATCTGACCGTAATCGCCCTGCGCGGCTACGACAGGCTCGATGGGCGTGTCGCACAGGAGGACCGCAATACGGAAGGGCTTCTTGGGCGATGACGACATGATTCTGGTTCAGCTGAGTGATGGTCGATGCACAGTAGGTCTGTCGCTGGACTTCAGCTTCAGAGCCCAGACAAGGGTAGTGCGATGATGCGATGTCTAGGCGTCAGTGTTGTGCCGAATCGCGCATGCGCATATGTACATGTGAATAAGCGTCGTGTTTGTCAGCAGCTGCTATGTAGTGCTGATGTGCATTTGTACAGCCCTTACAGCCTTTGTTGTGACGCCCTTATGATTATTTTCATGGACGGGGAAGAGACGGCAATCGATATCAAGCTGGATGGTGCCCCCAATTGAGATTGTTCTGGGTGGCTTGTGGCTCAGCTTGGCGGTGATCTCATCTTCGAGATCGAGATACGGAATCTATCACCCTCCTGCATGCCTTATGGGCGTCTCCTTTACAGTTTTTTGAGAAATCCGCCACACGCGATGACACGGATGAATGGATTACAGGAAATTATAGCGCGGAGGGTACATACTGAATGTGAACACTGCTACAGGCTGTGATATCACATAGTTCACCCGAATATCTTACGGATAGCACGGCTATACTTCTACATATGCGACCACTACTAGTAAGGTTGGCCCAACGAAGATTCGACACCTCCCATCACGCCTGTCACACTGTCCGTGTCCCGCCCCTCCACTGCGATTTCGGGGTATCGGCTCGTATAAAATTGAGCTATAGGCTCTGTGGTACCATACATGCCGCCTATCCAAGTTTTTTCCTCAATGCAGAGGGAGCGAGGGACCTCGCAAGCTCACGTGATAATCACGTGATGGGGTCGAATCTTCGTTGGGCCAACCTTACCTTTGTCGAGGATGCGGTCTTCCGGGTAGGTCAAAGGGCGATATACTGGGTACATGTTATCAAAGATGGCGGCATTTTCGAGTACTATGAAGGAGACTAGGACGACTCATGCGTAAGCGGAGCTGAGTGCGTACTTGTACCATTCGACATTCGTCGGGTACCCCTTGTGCACGGAATGTCATGCGATCCGTGTACGGGTCTTCGTACCGCGCACCGTTGTCAGGAGAAGGTTCAGGGAGCGACAGGCTTTAGCTGCGAAGAGCCTAGCACGATCACTGTCTCTGGTTTTGCCGCAAGAAGTTAGGTGGAAGACCACGGGCTGGCATTTCGCAACGTCACTATGCTAGGCTGTTTTGACACACAAGTGCATGTACCAATGTCATAGGACCGTGACTATGGACATGCGCCTCCCTCGAGGTGTTATTTCCCGAAGGCATCAGACGCCAATGTCCCGCAGTATGAGGCTCGGGTCACGCCTGGGGCTCCTGCACGGGGTCGCTTACCATGGCCATTGGCTTGCACAATATCCTGCCACGATCGAAGACTAGTACTGCAGTAGAACGCCGTCGCACATCCCCCACAACTTGAAGGCCTTAAGTCTGTCCGCCATTCAACAGACTTCTTGCAGCCACGCACTTAAGCCTGGCCGGAAGCTCCGTGTAGTAAGTTGTCATTTGTGTGAGATGGCAGGATCAAGAGCTGGTGGACGCATCGGGTCGAATAGGGCCGTACCAGGTAGACGATATACCCTGCTGCGCAGCACTGGCGTACCGTTTGCTACTCAGCTCCCGACTCGAACACGTAGTGGTGGAGGAACGCGGACGAAAGCTCTGCGGCAATAGACCCTGACGATGAGGAGTGTGCATAGTCACTGGCACGAGCTCCCACGTGCACTATGATCGACTCAGATCGTGGCTCACGGTAAACCGGGGAAATACTCTCGCAAGCGCTTGTCCTGAAAACGGGTATTTGTTCGGCAAACGCCGTCCTTCTTAGCCGCGGGTCGATAGCTGGCCAAGCGACTCTACCGCGGACTATTCAACATCGTGAGTTCATTTGCGATCACTTATACATACCCCAGGACGGCCTGAACTCTGACTCTCTTACACAGATGGCATTTGTGGCATGAATCGTAGCTACCACAACCAGTCAAGTCGTTCACGGAGAAACGCGATAGGTACCCATACGGGGCGGCTTGCTTATCGCGACCACTCTCAGATGCCGTATTGGCTCCCCACGTCCGACAAGCCCGGGTCGTAGATAAGTGCGTCCCTCCTAACGCCTCCCGTCGGGCTCCCATTCGAGGGCTTCCAACAATTAGCCGCGTCTAGAAGACGATAAGCCAGCCAAAGTGGAGCGCGTGCTAGATATCGAGAACCCTTGTCCTGATACAATCCCCAAGGCGAGGTGTGTGTTAAATGCAGCGTGCGAGAAGAGGATCCTGGAGCTCCTTCTCCTCGACCCTTTTGACCGTTCGGCGCCGAGGAGACTTCTGGACGACTCTGACGACTTGCAGTGACGCCGGGGTTGCTTCTTGATTGTACTCAAGGCGCTATAAGACTGTCAGCGAGAATGTCTGCTAATGAACCAATTCTGCCACAAGGTGCAGGGTATGGAGTTGGTATGTACAAGCTCTCTTCCAATCTGGTAACATATTCTGACGCTCTTGCCTTTAGTCGTTGGTATGTATATCCGCACAGGGATGCCCTTGGACCATGCTCAAGAAAGTCGAACGTCTTAGGAATCGGACTCTTTTTCAGCGCGTTCATGGTCGTCTTGACCGCTATTCAGGCGCGCTACACAGGCTTCTCGCCGAAGAGCTCCGAAGAGTTTAACAGCGCGTCTCGAAGCGTCAAGCCTGGGCTCATTGCGTCGGGCATTGTTTCTGCCTGGACCTGGGCTGCAACGTTGGTATGTCCTTCGGGCTCGAGTTTTTGTTACCCCATATTCCCTGCGACAGCGTGCTAACACTCCGGCGACATGATCCCATGCACAGTTGCAATCGAGTGCGGTCGCATACAAAGATGGGATCTCTGGGCCGTGGTGGTATGGTGCCGGTGCAACAGTCCAGGTCCTGCTCTTTGCGCAGGTATAGAAGCTCCTCACGTATCCGTGTCTCGGTCTTGACCTGGTACCGCCGTCTCCGCACAGCTTGCCGCGAAGCTCAAGTTGAATGCTCCACATGCGCACACATGGCTTGAGATCGTTGCTGCCAGATGGGGCACTGTCGCTCACTTCGTCTTCATGTTCTTCGGCCTGGCCACTAATATCATCGTGTCGTCCATGCTGATCCTTGGCGGGTCTGCAACGGTCAATGCGCTGACTGGCATGAACACCATCGCTGTGAGTGGCTCTACTCGACGGTACGCGTCCCTACTGATGTGTGTCTACCCAGGCATGCTTCCTGATCCCATTGGGAGTCGCTATCTACGTGGTCGTTGGTGGTATGAGAGCGACATTGCTATGCGACTAGTAAGCATATTCTCTCCTCTGCATAGCAGCGTTTCACCTAATCACAACCCGCACAGCACCCATACAAGCGTTCTCTTCGCCATCATCTTCGTGTTCATCTTCACGGTCTACGCAACAAGTCCGAAGATCGGAAGCTTTTCCGCGATGCACGACCTGCTCGCCAAGGCGTCGGCAGAGCAGCCTGTCGCAGGCAATGCAGGAGGATCCTACCTAACCATCCGCTCCAAAAACGGTCTCATCTTCGGCGTCATCAACGTCATCGGCAATTTCGCCACTGTCTTCCAGGACCAGGCAGTGAGCAACGGTTCCGTTCTGTGTTTCTCCCGATCTGACCTCGCATTCGCCCAGTATTGGCAACGTGCGATCGCCAGCCGCCCCGCCACATGCGTGAAGGCATACCTATTGGGTGGTCTCGCGTGGTTCGCCATTCCATTCATGTTCTCCACTACCCTCGGTCTCGCTGCTGTCGCTCTCCGCGGGGATCCCGACATGCGCATTCTTTCTGCTGCAGATGTCTCCGCGGGTCTTCCGGCACCCGCCGCTGCGGCCGCTATTCTCGGGAAGGGAGGCGCTGCGGCCCTTCTCGTCGTTCTCTTCTTGGCTGTCACCTCCGCAACGTCTGCAGAGCTCATCGCGGTGTCTTCAATCCTGACATATGATGTATACAAGGTGCGGGAAATCACACACAGAGATTGAGTATGTATGCGCTGACGACCGGTTTATAGAAATACTTTAACCCCACGGCTACCGAGGAGCAGATCCTGAGAGTGTCCCATGCGATGGTGGCCCTCTTCGCAATCGTCATGGGCTTCCTCGGGCTTATCTTCTTCTACATCGGTATCTCCATGGGCTGGCTCTACGTGCGTACTCCACGAAAGCTTTCTTCACAAACGTACCTGACGAACAAATCTTCAGGAATTCATGGGTGTCGTTCTCGGATCCGCAGTGGTCCCCATAGCCATGTGCGTAACCTGGAGGAAGGCGAACAAGTGGGGCTGTATCATCGGCGCTATCGCCGGCTTTTGCATGGGTGTTATGGCCTGGCTTGTCACGACCTCTGCTCTCAACGGCGGAGAGCTCACCGTCACTGTAGGCGGCCATCACTAGGTTGCGCGTGGACGAACGTCAGGCTGACACGTATCACAGACAACTGGTGGCGATCTAGAGATGCTGGCTGGCAACCTGGCTTCCATCGGCGTCGGTGGCATCGTGACCATAGTTGTGTCGACGATCGTATGTTTGCTGTCTTATCTCCTCGTTTACATCAAATGATGCTAACTTGACCCTGCAGTGGCCAGAAAATTTCGACTTCGAGGCTACTCGTGCGATTAACAGGCCCGGGAATTCCCAGGAGGTCGAGAAGCACCTTGAGCCTTCCCGCGAGGGCTCAGTTGACGAGAAGAAGCGCGATTCGACTGAGGTGTCAATCGAACCCATGTCAGAGGAGGCCGCGGCAGCTGAAGAAGAGAGGGAACTTGACCCCGTCGCTCTGAACAAGGCATTCCGCCTCGCCGCATGGGCATCTGTCGTTCTCGTACGTAGCAGACATACACTTTGCAGAGGACCGGGTCGCAAACTATTCTCTCATCTATTTTTCTAGACGCTTGTGATGTTGATCATCATACCCTTCCCGCTGTTCTTCGCCCAAACAGTGTATGGTGTCGGCGGCCTGACGGCATGGGTTGTCATCGGCATGATCTGGGCTTTCTGCTCTGCGATTGCGGTGGTGTTGTACCCGCTATACGAGAGTCGTCAAGCTCTGTTCATGATTACACGTGGTATCATCAAGGTCTGTCACAGTTGATGCCTTCGTACGCTGTGCTTGGATTTAATAGTCAACCACGACCAACAGGACATATTCGCGAAGGGGAGTGGGGAGTTTGTGCATTCCGAAAAGCCGCTGAGCGCATGATGGTGCTATACGACTTGATTATACGTCCTCAACGTGAAAGTGTAGCAATAGTTTCTGAACGTTCTTCTCTCCGATCCGCCGTCATCTCCCAAAATAGATTGCTCGAGTCGTCTTCAAACACGATCCTCCCTACGTCCCGGGATGTGACGGTGAAAGCATCATACAACAATTCAACGACAAAAGACGTAGGGATACATCAGGTAGCGCATACTCTAGTAGTAGCACACACTCAAGCTGTATAATGAGGGCGACAATGATCGATCGACTGGCAATGGTTCATAGCTCATGCGGCTTTCACGCTGCCCCATGCGACCTTTTGCCCGCCCTGCCTCGGCGCAGCGGTAGCGCCCTCCTTCGCCGCCTCCACAGGCTGTGGGGCGGGCCTCTGAGGAACGGGGAGCGGAGCAACACGGAGGGTGTCGAGAACGCGCTGCGCGTGCTCGGTGTTGCGGATGAACCAGCCCGCGTACCGCCGCCCGACGGTGGACTCGGCGATGTGCACCATATTCTGCATCGACGCTCGTCAGCCACGACTTCCTTCAAATGCATCTCGGAACGCGAAGCACGACACAAGACGCACCTCGTTGATGACGAAGTCCAGGTCGCTCGTCGAGATCATCTGTCCGTCCAACAGCCCCTTCTCGTTCTCGACCCGGCTCACACTCCGGCTCGCCTGCTTCATGACCATCAGCTGCTGCACCATCTCCTCCTCGTCGGCATCGAGGAAACCTGCGAGCTTGTTCGCGTCTAGGCTCGTGTACAACTTCAGGAAGCTCCGCAGCGTTGGTACGGGCGCCTGCGCGCGCACCTCGGACAGGAAGAGCGAGAGGTGGCGCTGCGCGGGCTCGACCGGGGGATCGTTGATGTAGGTGGAGAGGACCTCGGGGTCGTCGTAGGGCGGGGGGTTGGCAGAGATGAATTTGGGGCAGGCGTAGAGGAAGAGCTCCTCGAAGGCGGGGATGCCCTCCTCTCTGTGGAGTCCAAGTCAGATGGGGCTGATGGATCCACGCGAGTATATGATTGCGAACTCACCCTCGAGACATCTTGGCGAACTGCTCGCCATAGCGCTCCTTAACGATGTTGGAGATGTTGTCGTCTACCCGAGTAGGCGAGAGCGCGTTGCAGATTGCAAAGAGCGCGTACATCCGGTCGGCGGTCTTGTTGATCTGTACAAGGGAGGACACCCCTGTTAGGGGCTGGCACGGTGCCAATTGGGAACTGTCATACCTGATCATACTGGTAACTCCTTGTGTGATACTGCCGCATCCGGAGGATGAAGTTGAGGATGGAGACGAATGCACGGATGGCGTCCGGATATCTTCGGAGCATGATGTAGCAGAAACCAACGTAGTAGTAGGTCGTAACATGGCAGGCGGTGACACGAGTAAATGGCGACTGCTCCGAGTAAATGTGTGTTAGCATCTCGGCACCTCGCGTGTGTGCAGGACCAAACCTTCTGGTTGAGCTCAACATTCTCCATGACTTTCAGCGCCAGAGTGAAGTCACCAAGCAGACTATGGACGCGGAGGAGACCGATGAGGCTGAAGTAGCCGAGCAACTTGTAGAGTGGGCGAGTACCGTACTCGCCGACAATCTCACTGACAGCGCTTATTCAGTTCACATCGAACAGGTGGTATCTGTGATGCTCACGCAATCTCCTCAGCACTCTTGCCCTCCTGGAGTGCAACGAGATGCTCGTTGATTTTTGACTTCTGAATCAGGGAGTACAGGACGTTGAGCACACTGTAAGAGCTCCAGACCTGGTCATGATCAGCAAGGATGTCCCTCGATTCTGGACGCCAGAATGACGCACCTGGTTCGCGTCGGCGAGCATACCTAACTCCTCCTCTGTCTTTGACTTGACCTTGGACCGCCATACGCAGAAGGACTGGAACTGGTAGATGAACTCATCAATGATGTCCCATAGCCACTGCTCGGGAAGCTCGAGGGGAACGGGGCCATCGGAGTCTACACATCCCAAGTTCAATGACCATATATTACACAAGAAAAGGCGAGGGACATACTGAGAAGGTAGTTGAATAGCTCGCAGCTGTTCTCGTAGGAATGGAAACGATCGTCGATGTCGGGGGAGAGGCGGGAGTAGACATGACGGTAGTAGAGTTCACGGTAGAGGATAAGGAATATTGGATCTTCAGTGATGCATGAGCATCTCATCCGTTTGCTCAGGTGCCTCAATCTTGCTGAAGATACGCACCATCGTTAACTAGAGGTGCAATCACTTCTGCCTCCGGCCACTCCGTCTTCGCGTAGAACTTCTCGGTCAGTCGGTTCCAGCCGCTCTCGTATGCCAGAGTGATTTCCGCGAGGTTGTTCTCCAGAACAGCTTGATGGAAATGCGCAATAAACTAGCCTGCAGTCAGCACAGACTCGTCTTCCCAACTCGGATTGATATACGCACTCGCTTCACAACGTCCGGAATCTGGGCAAAGGCGGCTTGCTGTGCCATCTGCTGCTGGACAGCAAGAAGGGTCGCCTCATCTATCCTTGGCTGTGCTGCTCCCTCTGGAAGCTCAACAAGCGTGTCCCCCAGCTGCCCACGAAGGGACGCACCATCTTCGTACAAGCCATTTTGACCATAGCTCCCGATGGCCAGGTTGAGGTCAACATCTTGTAGATCTTCGTCGAGATCAGCTTCCCAGAGAGCTTTGCGATGCTGAGCCATTTTGAGTATATCTGAGACTGGTACAAGTCAAGCAATGCGAGCTGGAATTCAGAGCTCCGAGAGCGATGCCCGTGCCGTCCTCAAGATCGCAAAAATTCAGCCATCCCAATCTTGGGCGTCTCCATGAATCCACGTGGAGGAGACGCCAATGTGTGTCGGATGGTACGCATTGCTATTCTGTGGTAACTGGTTACTGCCCTGCACTCAACCCAGACTGGCGAACTTTACTCGAACAATAACACTTAACCCTGGAGGCCATGTGCTCATCTCACCACTCTGAAGGCGCCAGATTGAAGGTTTCAATATCATGAGGTTAGAAGCTGACATGCTTCGGACACGCTGCGAGTCTGACCGCTCTTACAACACTAGCACAGACCCATGGAAAGCCTATCACAAGCGAGCTACTTTCCTCGCACTTTCTTCATCTTCCGCTCTTTCCGCTTCCGCCCAATCAATGAGCCAACTTGCTTTGGGGGCTCGGCAGGCAACGACTGGTCTTGTTTGCCTTTAGCGGGCGTGGCAGATGGCTTGAGAGGGTCTGAAACACGTCGCTTCTTCTTGGGACGATCCTCCAGCTCCGCTTCAGCTTCCTCAGTCTTGATGCTCGGAAGTGACTTGCGTCGCTGTACCTTCTTGTCTCCACCCGCCTAATGTAAAAGGATACGGTCAGCAGCAATTAACAACAGAAGTAGAGATGTGACTAACCACTTTCTGCTCCTTACCACCCTTCGCGCCCTTCTCCCTCTCCTTCTCCTTCCCTGCAGAGCCTGTCTTCGCCGCACGCCGCTGCACAACCTGAATATTCTCAATAGAGAACTCCACAATCAGCGCGCTCTTGCTCTTCGGCGGGACACCCTTCTCGATCTCCTCCCTGATCCGCTTCATCCTCGTCTCGTCCCGCTTCCCCTCCGGCTTCTTCTTCTCCGTGGCGATTAGGTCCTCCAGCTCTGCTTTCCACCACTCCTCAAACAGCCGGCCCACGACGGGGTTGTTGTTAGCCCAGCGAAGGACGCGCAGCGCATCCGCATGTTTTGTGAGTTCCAGGAAGCCATAACCCCTGCTCCGCCCTTTGCCCGTCACTGCGTCAACGCGGTCCTGCTGGCGGACGATCTTCGCCTGCTTCACGCCCGTGTTGCGGCCTTTGCCTTTCACATCATGCTTCCCTTTTTTGGGCTTTGACGATGAGTCGTCCTCCGCTTCCATCTTGACATCCTCGTCGTCCGCGTCCTCGGTCAGGGCACGCTCGATGAGCTCGTCGGCGCTGAGGGGCCCGCGTTTGCCCTCCTTTGCCTCCTTCTCGAACGCGCGGATCGAGTGGATGGCGAGGCGCTTGAGCATGCGTTCTGAGACGAAGAGCGGGATCTGGCGGACACTGAGACGCGTCCGAGATACGAACAGGGATGGGTTCGAGCGCAGCAGGGCGCGGCGGGCGTTGAAAGATTGCGTGCGCTTCTCAACTTCCGCAGGCGGAAGCAGCTCTGCCGCCGGGCTGTTGGGAAGGATGACTGGGCAAAGGGCTCGTCGTCAGAACGCAGTGCGGTTCCTGAGTGAAGATAACAAGGGACGTACTGCCTTCGCGCAGAAGGTAGAGGTTACGCTTATCTGCCTTCTCGCGCTGGCGCTCGCCGGCCTCTTTCAGCTTGGATGCTTCGTCTCGAGTGACGGCGCGGCTGACGTCGAGAGTGCGGCCGTGCAGGACAAGGTTTCGGGCGATGGAAGCTGACGGATCGGGCGTAAGGAGGGACGGGAGCTTGAACGGATTCTTCTTTGTCTACGAAGGACGACTTAGATTACGGACGCTCTAATGAAACTTTAAACGTCTTACCGTCACCGCGGGTTCATTCCCCACAGTCTCGGCGCGAAGAATATCACTTTGCTCGATCGCCTTGTCGGCGTCCTCCTTATTCCAGAAGCATGCGAAACCGGTACCTCGTGAACGGCCAGTTGCGTGGTCCATAGTGATACGGGCATATCGCAGAGGACCAAACGCACGGAATCTGCAAAGCAAAGAAAATGTCAGGGAGGCTAAATTATAGTAAAGGCAGAGACTCACAGTGTACGAAGTTCGTCGTCCGTAGCCTCGAAGGGTACGTTGCGGACGAACACAGTCGTTCCGACCTCGGGTGCAGGCAACGTAGGTTTGGCTGGCTTCTGGTCCTTCTCCTCATCGTCATCCTCTCCGGAGTCTGAGTCACTCCCATCAGAATTCGAGTGACTGTCGTCCGAGTCGCCGTCGTGCACGCCAAGTTGTTCGTCCGAATCGCTCTCCCCGCTTCCCCCCTCGCTACTCTCGCTCCCCTCCTCGTCCTTCATGTCGACATCTGCATGCTCCTCTTCCGCCAGCGCCTCCTCCACCTTCGCCTTCTCCGCCTCCCACTTATCCTTGCTCAGCGCCCAGTCCACCGCGATCGTCCGCTTCCTCCGGTTCTCATCGGTTTCGTCGTCCTCGTCTTCATCCTCCCCACCCTCGCCATCCTCATTTTTTGCCTTCGCCTTCAACTTCTTCTCCTCCCTTCTTTGCTTCTTCTTTTTCTGCTTGTCGGACACGAGTGCCTCCGCCATCCCCGCCTCGACTTCCGTGCCATTGCAGCCCTCCATAGCCTTCTCCGCGTCTTTCCGGCTCAGAAACCAGACGAACGCAAAGCCCTTCGAGCGCTGCTTGACCTGCGGCTTTTGGTCGCTCCCCTCGTCCGCTTTTACGCCCTCTTCAGGCTTGACGTCGGACGTGAGGGGGATGTGGATGGAGTAGATAGGGCCGTAGGGGAGGAAGATCGCGCGCAGGTCCTGTTCCGTGATGTCAAACGGTAGGTTGCGCACGATGAGCCGGCTGTTGCGGTTGGGCGCGGGGCCGAATACGGACTTTTGTTGAGCAGAGGGCTTGGCGGGCTTCGCTTTCGCCACCTTCGCAAGGCTGTCAAGACGCTTCTTCAGGGTAGCGGAGAGGAGCGAGCCCTTGAACACATGTGCGTGGAGCTTGTTCACGGCCTCCATGGCGTTCGCAGGAGTTTCAAAGATGGCATGAGCTGGAGATGGCATGAACGGGATGGATACAGCAGCAGCGGAAAGACGAGTCGTACCAAGGGTAGCGTCTTCTTGCCCAGAGTCTGACTTCACGGGCCACTCCACTTTCTCCGCACCTGACAGTTTCCTGATCTTCTTCCATAACGCTTTCGAGTCGATCCCGGCCGGAAGTCCGGATAGTACGACTGTACGGATGGCAAGAGGGTTGGAGGGTGCTACAGGCTTTGCTGGCTTGGGAGCGGCTGGTTTTGCGGCCTTCTCTTTTGGTTCGTTGCCTTGTTCATGATCCTTATTCTGTAGCAAACACTTGTTCCTGCGAGTTATCGTCCGGCATGCACCAATTGACGCACCTTACTTCCGGCCCACTGCACTCGCAGGCTTCGACCGTCGAGCGTGATCCCCTCTTTGCTAATTTTGTCGATGGCCATCGTCGCGTCCTCCCGAATGGCGAAGGAGACATATCCGACACCCTTCGAGATCCCCGTGCCATGCTCGAGCACAACGAACGCGGTGCGCACGGGTGCGATGTCGGAGAAGAGGGTCTTCAAGTCGGTAGATGTCGCAGTGTAAGGCAGGTTGGACACGAACAGTGTCGACCTGACGATCATTCAGCACATCATGACGATTCGCGAATCGACGTGCGACGTACCCATGATGCTGTTTCTCCTGCTCCTCACCCTGATCCTCGCGCTCCTTCCTCTTCCCTAATGTCGACATAGCTCCCGTTCAGCAACTTTTAGGGCCGCTAGATGAGCTGCTTCGTGTCTACAGATTCGTGATACGAAGACCGGCAAGAGAGCAGCGCGAGGCAGCAGTAGACGATCGCCCGAGAAGCGATCCTTGCGACTGGCACTCCTCGGCGACTGCTAAGTGCGAAAAATCCTCGTGAGGCGCCCATATGTGTCCGGCCTCAGCGGTCCGCCGGGCCGCCCCCGGCGGTCATCTGTGGCGCGTATGCCGGCAGCACCACGACGCTGCAGGTTGCAGCACCGTCGACGTCGTCGCAAGTCCCGCCACCACCGTTCGTCTGGTCGCTGCCGTGTCGTCGATTTATCCTTCTGTATGTCTGCTTGTTGTGACTGCTGCTGAATGTTGTGTGATCAAAGTTGAAGTCACCAGGTAGAAGTATGTGTGCCTAGGACCTAGGTACGTCCCCATTCTGACCAAACGTGCTCTCTTACTCAGCTACGTCACGAAACACAGGGGACAGCTGTATCATCCTCCACACAGACTCAAGACGATGCTAACACCCCATCAAGGTTCCCATTGCATGAGGAGGATGCTCTGGCAGCCTCGCCCACATTTCATTGCACGGCGTCCCCTGCCACTGATACGTGTTTTGTCGCAATGCTTTGTACCCTTGGCAGCATTGGCTTCGCCGGTAGAGCCCTCATACAACAAGATGGTGACATAATTGGGTGAAACGACTGGTACGTTCTGGGTCTGGCATACACGAGACTGAAGTGCATGCTAGCCAGCGCACTGGGTACCCCACACGCCGAGTCTGTGTCTTTGGCATTGTGCCACTAGAAGCTTCAAGGGAGAGCGGCATATCCCGACTTGGCGCAGCGATATTCAGTGACGGCACAGCTTATCAGAAGGCTCCCATTTCGGCGAATGCCTAGAATGGGTCAACAGCAGGGATTCAGGTAGGCTATTGACACTGTCCCATGCCAATTTACTGAGGCCGTCATGAAGTTTTAGGTTGCGGCCGTCATGAAGTGTTAGGTTGTGGCCGTCATGAAGGTTTTAGCAATGATTGCAAACCAAGATGGTGCTTGCCACCGGCAAGTACGTTGACACCCGAGTGCAAGGGTAAGCAATGCTAGCTGGACGCTCTTAGAGCACCGTTCCAGTGTTCAATTGAGAGCTCGCATCTCTGATCGTCGCTGCAGCTTGTTTCCAGCCCCCGCATAAGGTTCTCTCCGATTCAACATACCGTCGGACATCATGCCGCTCACCAGCATGATTATGGCTTTGCCATTTGTTTGATGCTTCGGTACTTACGCGTTGTGGCACGTCGCTCTCAATCGTATCACAAACGACTAAGTATTGGCTGTGAGTAGCTTCTTCGCCGAACGAATCATACATCACCATCTGAATGAAATACTCTTTCCGTATCGGACTATGTTTATCATATCCCAGCGCCGCGGAGGAACCCCAACGATACAACCATCTTTGACTGTTGAACTGATACAAAATCTTCTCAGATGTCTGATGTGGTTCCGAAGCGTCAGGGCTGTGACTGATACGTCTCCATCCGCCTTCCTAGTTCCACCGCAACCCTTGCAGCGTGTTCAACACTGATAGCTTCCAAACTGTAATTGCAAGGGTAAGTGACTCCATGAGAGCAAGGTGAGCACCGATGCCGTACATGTCGTGTTCCCTCCGTGTTTCCCGTCGTATCTTCCCAGTATTTAGCCGCGCGGCGCCCACGATCCTCCTCGTAATCAGCCACAACGCTGCAACCTCGTGTGACTGCAGAAAAACGAATCCTCATGTGTTGCGGTCGGCTACGGGGTGGCTGCGAACGCATTCGGGTTGTACCCGCCCGACCCTCTGGAGATGCGTACACAACTCTAACGGCTTCGCTCGCGAATGCTCTTGCCGCGCCCTCATTGTCTGCTAGCCATCACAAGCGCGCCACTCAACGCTCTGCGATAACTGAACACGTTGCACCCTCCTGCCTCGCGCTGTGATTATCGATATCGCGTACATCTCTCTGCGCGACTTCGCAATCCTCGGTCCTTCTCTCCGACTGCTCGTGCTTGACATACATGGTCGTCGCAATAACAGTTGAATCATCCCTCGAGACTCGGGATGGCAGCTCGTACCCGCCAATCACGGAGGCTGGGAAGACGCTAAAACCGGTCGCACACCTCTCCGTTTAGCTGTCTCGGGTTCCTTGCTCTCATACGGTGTCTCACATCGTCATCTAACCCATTCCCGCGTCACCGCCCGCTTCTCAGCGTTCCGAAACGCCGGAAGAATTCCCGCTCGCCCGCGCCCTGAGCATCCCTCCCATCTCCCCGTCATTCCTATACCATACCCGCGCGGGTTCTCAGACCGACTTCGCGCATAGCCTGGCCGTATTCACAAGACTGACAAGCTCCACACTGGGTTCCCCGGCTGCGAGCCAGGTGTGGGCACGAGGTTGGCCACTATTTTGGCATGAGTGCTTCTCCGGCGATACATCTCGCACTCTCGGGCCCGACATCCGTGACGCTGTGACTTCTTTACGCCAAATCAGCGCAGCCCCCTCGGTCAACGGTCTTTCCTCCGGGCGTCCGCGCGCGCGACCCTGCGAGAGGTAGGTCTTTATCGCCTTTCAAATGGCATGGGATACGTACGCCCTGCCATCTCGTACGTGCGAGACGGGCGACACGTGTGGGCTTATCGCGGCATTCGTCTTGGGGAATTCGCTTCGTGCGAGCCTCTCGGTCGTCGCGAACGCTGTTCTCAATCATGGATGCCCACCGCGTGTGTTGGTGTTGGCGGGCTGAACGAGGGCCGGAAGGGCCTGTTCGCGCTACGGAGGTAGGCTACGCTCGCTCCCGGACGTAAACGAAGCGACCAAATCTCTAAGGGGTGACGAAATTCCCAGGACGGGTGGAGAGAGGTAGAATGCAGAAGCCATGCACGCAGCTGTATATTCCAAGGTTCAGTCCATTGCCGAGGGAAGGCCATGGTAGCACGATGCGGTCGCACAACGACGCGAGACGATTTGTGTCGCGGAACCCTAGCACGAAAAGCCCGTCGGACCTTGAAGAGAGTACACGCTGGGGGTCGCGGTCCGCGTCGCACGGGGGCACGGAATACAACAAATGGAAATACGATCCCGAGCGTACTCCGAGCAACGGGCGTTCGGGACGGAAGGAGGTGTGTGACCTGCATGTCCCGTCCCGAGGTTTGTTCTGCGTGAGGTCGCAGGTGACGATCTCGGAGGAAAGCTATAGTTAGGCGGCCCCGCACGTCGTCATCGACGTCCAGGGCGCGCCAGACCCGGTCACCATATTCATGAGCGTGCGCGCGACGCGAAGCCCCGAGGTTGTGCGGTGGAGCGTAGGGAAATGAAACTTCGCGAGGCGGGGTAGCAAAAGAGCCACAGCGATCGCGCCACCTAAGCTAGAGGCTGCGCAACGTTCCGGGTGGCTTGAGTGGTAAGCCGACGCGTGTAGCAGAAGCTGAACGATCCGCGCGCGGGGACTGAGATTGAGATCCAGCCGAGAGAGTTCGCGCGCATACGGCCGTGCATTGACAACTTTCGCGTCGTGCTGCCTATTTGGTAAGAAGATCGTCGATGGCCGAGACGATAACGGACCTATAGCTGGTCTCGACGTATTCCCCGAAGTCCAATACCGGTGATGTGCGCCGAGAACGTGCTTCGACGCCATAGAGTAGCTACACCAGGCATGGGATTGTCGATTAGAGATTGGAGATGGGGGAGGCGGGCGTACGAACGTTTGTTCACTCGAAAAGGCGCGTCATGAGGTCTGGATCATCGGATGAGAAGCGAGGGGTATAATGGAGAGAGAACTCGGTGTCTGAATTACGCATGGCAGTGCGTCCGTAAATCCGAGAGACGAATGCAGGTGTTGTGTGGAGGTTCGTTGCTGGATGTGGCTTTGTGCCACGACGGGATCCGAATACGATATCCGAATGCATCGAGCAGCTATCGAGATGATACAGATCAGTACGCCGCGTTTCGATAACCGCGGATGAAAGAATAGACGTTTCGTACATGTGTTTGCGATTGACTATGAAGGGGAGATTGTCGGCGAGGAAGATGAGGGATCAAGAAATCGAGCGGCGTGCATTGGTATCTACAAAGAAGTTGACGGAGGTGGTTGAATGCCGGCGGGGTATGAAAGCCTGGCCGTCTCCTATTCAGTGTGGACGCCCTCATATGAGGTATCATGCAACAGGATAAGTTCAAAGGGATATCCATAACATGTTCGTGGCGTACGCGAAGAGGGGCGGCCCTTGTCGACCTAGCGGAGCTAACCGCGCAGAGAATAACACAATCGGCTAGTACGCGTCTGTGATTCGCAGAAATGAAACCCGATCGCGACACGCAAGCAGCGAAAGCGAAGCTCGAGCTACGGAGAAGCATAATGAGGTTCCGTCAGGAAGATGATCAATTTGGAGCAAGGAGCTCAATGGCAGGCACGCGGTGTCGCATAGAATCCTGCGCTTAGGATATCCACTGCGGTCATGTTCACGAAGCGAAGGATGGAAAGCACACGACAAATGTTCGACTGCTGCGTACGTCAGACTTTTTGTCAGTTTCCACGGACGGTCATGAGGTCACGGCGAACGGTATTGTTTGGGAGGTCGACCGCACGAGTGTGGATTGGTTCTGTGTAAGACATGGGTCAACTAAGCAGAGCCGACACAAGCTAGAATAGCGTAGAGGAGTCAGAGTCAGGACAAGACGAGCGTGTTGTGGACTGTCTGGTAAGCGTGCGGCGGCGTGGCGGCGTTGGTGCGCAGAAGGTTGGTAAGGGACAGTGCGTGGGAATGCCAACCCTAACCAAAGCGCCGGTATCAGGGCGGAGAATAAATTGCTACGAGACGCGGTTTCCAACTCCGTCGTCCTCTTTTTTTTCATGTTCTGCTTCCGTTAAGCTTTGCTTCCTCGAACCCGGCCCTCTCTGCTGCTTTTCCTGCCAGCTGTGAGCGTAAAAGGCGTCTCAATACTCTGGTACGTCGCGTGCTTTGTAGCATTCGCGGAGCCATTTCACTCAAAAAGAGATTTTTTGAACGCAGAGCAAAATTTTTATGATTTTGCCGCCGATTCGCCGCCGAGACTCGAGTCGAAGCGTGGGTTGCTGGTTCTGAGGCGGATTGGGCGCGGACCTGCGTCCGCGGTGGAGAGAAAACACAAAAAAGCACAGCAGGTGAGTTGAGGTTGCCTGCAGACGGGGGCGAGGCGCGGCGGGGAGACGGGGGCAAAGGGTTTTTGGGCATCGACAGCCACGCGGCAGTGCCCTATGATGGACCTTCCTTTTTGGGAACCCCAGGCACCTCGCGCCTCGTATTTATTACCCTGACTCATAGATTCCGGGCTGAGCTCAATGATCACCCTTCCCCCCCTTCAGTTCTGTCGTCTTAGAGTGGGCTTCAACTATGATTACCCTTAGTCCCGGGTGCCTTTGCGACGTGTGCGCAGAGGAGTATGGCCCGCACAACCTGCCCCATTCTATTCCTTGTGGTGAGTTCAACGTTCTTTCTTCCCCGTCCATCGGGAAAATTTCATTCATCCGTCGTCATACTTCATAGGCCACGTACTTTGCCTCAACTGCTGCAACAACATTATCAAGAAAACCCCAGCTCGTCTTGCCCCTGCTTGTCCCTTCTGTCGCGTTCAGTTTGCGAGCGACAACATCCGTCTGATCCGGATCGACTATGGGAGTGGTTGGTCAACCCCCGTACGCTCGCCCAAGCATCCTACCATCGAGACCCCCAGCATCGACGTTGGCGAGGATGACGTCCTCCTGCTCAATCCTGGCACCCTCAAAACTCGTGCCGAGGCTCGGAGGCTCGAGTCCAAGGTGGCGCAGGTTGCCGCCAAGAAGTGTTCCGTGGAGGAGGTGACGACGTTGCACAAAGAGTTGCAGGACTGGTTGACCTCGGACAAGGTCGATGAGCAGGTGCGTCGTATTGGTTCAAGACTATACATCCTGTGATATTGATAGTTGTCGTAGACGTCTTCCCTTCAGCTCAGTGCTGCCCTTTTGCGCGCCATCCTTGTAAACCACGTCGCCCACTCTGAGGCTACACGCGTCGCTAAGGCGGTCGAGTCGCATCTTCGGGAGCGCTTGGAGCACGCTGACATGGAGAAGGAGAAGCTCGAGGCTGAGCTCCGTAGCCTGGTAAGTCATGTCGTGAAGCCATACCTCGCGTTCATATCGCTGACCAAGTATTCCAGCGGGCTCAGTATTCGCAGAAGGCCCAGGAGCTTCAAACTCTCCGTGCCGAGGTCAACCGCGCTAAGATCAAGTCGGTTGCCTCTACTTTAGGTGTTCCCGCGACGCCTCCTCCGCGGGAGATGTCGTCTACGCCGAACCCGGGTATGATCACACCGCCTCGTCCTCAGTCGGTGTCCACGGCGTCAGCCGGTTCCCGCTCCGGTGCCACTTCACCGACGTCCCCGACGCGCACGTCTTACACGCCATCCTTCCCGTCTCCCCTTGCCAGGCACCCTGCTCCTTCTCTCCACGCTCGCACGACTTCGCTTCATGTCGGCCAACGATCCATGACGCCTTCGGTTAGGTCTGGGACCCCCCTTGTCAGCGGTGCTGACATCGCCCGGCCGGCCACTATACCCCCCAAGACCCGTCGGATGTCGATGTCGTCGACGCCGACCCCCTCAAAAATGTCCCGCTCGACCTCTAGCTCGGACGAAAAAGAAAAGGAGAAGCGGCGCATCGTGGATGACCGGGAGAAGGACGAGAGGCGTGTCCCAGTCATCCAGCGGTGGATTCCTTCCGCCGATGCCCTGTCGCGTAGTCCGCCTACTGGACGCCCGGAGAAGTTCGAGTCTGGTCTTCACTCGACTCTGACCCGGCCGCCCATCATGCGGTACAAGACGCCCCTGTCCAACGCCTCGCCGTAATGGATAGATGGACTCCACACACTCGGTTTGCTATCATTATTTATCGTTACATCGGATCACTTATTTCCTTTCGTCTGTACTGCTCTCGTCGTCAGGTTATAGTACACGATATACATAGTTGTGCTCCCGATTTCCCGTAATCCCTTTCTCTCTGCCTCTGTCTTCTCTTTCTACTCATCTCTTCCTCCTCTGTTTTGCTTTGCTCGTCATGGATTGACTTTCGGATGCGCTTGCTTATACTTTGGCCTCCGTATATACTTATGCTCCTCCTATTTCCCTCAGTACATATTGGGTTTTTACCGAGTCTCGCACACTGCGCTACCCCCCGCGTCCTCCGCGTCCGTTCACTTCCCTTCTCCAGATACCATCCCGCCTGATTTTGCTCCTTGCTCCTCCTGCTTTCCACAAGTCTGTTTCCCGTCTGTCTCGCTCGGCTCTGACTCTGCGTCTCGCTATCTCGTCTCGTGGAGCCCATCCTAATCTCTCCCCACGAACATTCTCCCTCTCACAGCTCGCCTACTCCCAGTGTAGCAATGGTTGTTTATCCCTCTTCCTCTCATCTCGTTACGACTCTTACGGATAGAATGCCTTCACGATACCTTGCAATACGATATCTTTACGACCCATTTACATTATAATATTTACGTGTGCCATGGACATTCGTGCAACAACACGGCCAGAAGCCCTCCGCGTGATTCAGGTAGGGCCTCCTTCGAGAACCTTTGCGACGCGGACGAGACGATGCTTTTCGCAGGTTTCATTAACGGCTTCGCTTCGAGAACCCGAGAAGGACTGGAAGTGCACTCGTGTGCCATAGAATCGGCTCTGGAGGAACGTTCTGGTTTAATCGCCGGATCGAGGGCCATCTGGTGCGTAGCCCTTCGACTTGAGCCCCATTCCTCCTGTCTCCTTCCGTTTCCCAGAGCTATAGTATGGTCCTGCGGAGCTGCCTTGCCGGGTTCCTGCAGGTGACGATCGAAGATGTGGAGTGCATGCGAAGACCCAGAGCGAACACCGGAGAATCGCTACCGCTGCCCTGCTTCGGCATGGGGAACACCTAGGTCGGTCTCCTCGGCTCTGTGCATGAGCGCGGGAGCTGAGGTCGAGGGTGCGGATGCTCGTTGCCCGTGGGTGAACCGCAGTGGTTATGAATACGACCCCGGACCTACAGGTCAGAAGGTCACCGAAGCGCCGAGACACAGCGGTGCATCGCGCCTCACTGCGGGGAGAAGACCCCTCTATGACGATCCGTCGGACACGAAGACTTTGGGGTCATCCGAAACAGCGAGACAACGCTTCCTCGGGAGTCGGGACGGCTCCAGCCCATGCGTTCCTCGAAGAAGTTGCTGCCACTGGAGCGACCGCGAACCTGGGACGAACTTGCAACGTCAACGTTTGTGACGCGCCACGTTACGCACCATCATGATCCCGAGGGGCGTGGTTCATTTGGCCACGCCGCTGGGTTGCCACGATCGGATCTTGAATTGCGGAAGAGGAACGAGTGGCACTTCCAGGAGGCGGTAGGTGGCTGTATGGCTGATGTGACAGAAGTTAGCAGGTGTTTATGGGGAGGCGCACCGTGCGGCCTAGTACGTCCGGCGGGATCTTCACTTGACGTTGCCACGTACCATCCGCCCCTCCCGCCTCGTTGATCCATGCCTGGACACTATGGTGCGCCCCGTAACCTTCTTTCGTTTGAGGCTGACACTATGCGAACCCTGGAGCGCAGCAATCACTAGGATCGTGAAGACGCGTGAAGGTCCTGAACGCCCCTTGAGCGCGAGGGCTACCCAGGGTAGCTCATTGTGGTAAGCTCGTTGCTTGAGCGTTCAGTATGTCACACCATGCTATTCATGAGTGGACCCTGACGATGACATTTCCGTGCGTGAAGTCATGCAGCAAGGGCGGTGCGTCATGTACAGTCACCACTATGATCCCAGACGCTAGTGACCACTGGCACACTCGTTGTGTGTTGGCGAGCTCAGGAGTCCCCTCAACCCTTAGATCAGCGTTGTTCCAACGATGATCGACGTAGCAACGGCCGCAGCCCCGATTCATCATTGGAACGCCGACTCCATTCGTACAGAAAGCATTCCAGACCCCGTCCTTCTTCGTAATCATGCTTGAGAGCCGCTCTGGCTGGGAGCGTACCAGGCGTGTAGTACTCATTGCTTGGTGTCTATCACGTCTTGGTTCTCCGGACGATGAGGTGAGTTCACCAATCCCTGCATCAGTACAGTGAGAATGCAGCTATAAGCATGAGATTGCCGAGTCATGGTGTACGAACCTCATTGGAGACTGTCTCTCCGCCATAAGTTGGCGATAACTCCAGAGGCAATGCGACGGCGGCACCCCTCATCTGCTCCCGGAGCGACTTGCGTGCATTGAGCGTTGCCAGGAGAGAGTTCAAGAACACTGGACGACGGTTGCTCATTCAATGTCTGTGATTCAGCATACCCGGTGTTTGCAGACTCACGCTTGGGCAATAGGAAGTAGAACGTGATGTACACGAAACTATGGGGTGTCGCGGCGTACTGTACAAACTAGCTGGTCCAGGCAATGATCAATCTGCGGATACGGACGGACCTCTTACCGCGATGAGACAGACAAGGGCACACAACGTTGTCAAGGCGCCAGTATTCACGGTGTAGAGAATCAGAGTGCGGACGGTGAGGTTCACCCTACAATCTCAGTAGTAAAACACTGAGCGATTCAATGGGCGCTGAGACTTACCTGGTGAATACTGTACGACAGCTAGCTAGGAGGATGCAGAGTGTCGCGGCAATAATGAGGTCTGTCACGAGTGCTGTCGAAAGACTGAAGTAGAGCAGCCACTATGCATCCAAATTAGAGAACACTCAACCTATGGAGACACTAGTAACACACCGAGACATTCTCCAGCTCAAAGTAGGTCTGTAGCTGAAATCTTGTACCATACTAATTAGCCAGGAGGGCGTCAAACGAGGTACGTGAATACCGACCCCTTGATGGGATATGCTGAGCAGAGCTAGTATAAGTCCAATAGCACAAGATTCCCGAAATGTTATACCCACCCAAACTTCCACCTCCACCGGCAAGGTCCGAGTATCAATGGGTCTGATTGTCCAATATATACTCAGAGACTCACCGAACGCGACGCAAGAACTCAAGGCCTAGGGGGTGTACTTGTTCGAGCCATGGCTAGCAGTCTACGTGATACTTCGAGTGATCACTCACAATTGTTGCACAGAGCCAACAGTTCCTATCGCTCACTATGAGGTACATGCTCCTCAGCCCTGTACGCACAGAGTACGTTTCTTGCTGACTCACGAATTCAAATCCTATGGCAGAAGATGCTATGCTGATTTAGATCATGGGCGCGAGGTTGAATACGAGAAGAATGGAGTACTCACCCTCTTACAATGCCATCACTGATGCCCTAGGGTAACGATGGGACGCATAATACTATAGACTCGCGATTTGAGACGTACAGTGACAATAATATGTGCCTAGAACACATTATAATTAGACGCTACATTCAACTCGCTGGGGATTCTTATGGCGTACCAAGATGCTCCTGTGGGCGTCATGATCCAGTATCAAAAAGAGGACATCGGGAGTACAAGCCATTAAGATAAAGATATACCAGGTAGGTTCCAGGAGGGCCAGTAAATTTCCGAACCCGGAAACCGCATAGACATATACAGTGTGCGAAATGAGAAGCAAGTGAAGCGTGTCCAAGAACCTACAGCTCGGTGAGATTAGGTGTTGGGAGTTACGAGACGTCGACGCACCAAAGGAATGCAATCTGAGTGAGAGACGTTCGTTATCCATGATAATTGACCCGAAAGCGTTGAATAGGAAGATGACCTACTAGACTCTTCAGAGTCTTCGAGTCTCTGCCACTTCTGCCATAATAAATATATGTTTGCAGTGTCGTCAACCCATACAGGCTGCAGAGAGGTAATGAGGGATATGATATTGGACCGACAATTTGGATCATTAAACCCACCACGCCGCAAGAATATCGCCTTGAAGGTATCTCCATCATTGCCCCATCCACGATATGAACAAGTGAGTTAGAAAAAGCGTACCTATGAACGCAGCACCGAGTGTATCATCCAAAGCAACAGCGGGGGCCATGAGGTGAGGTAGGAAGACAAACAAGAAATAGGAAGGGCAAGGAAAAGCAAGGAGAAGATGGTAGAGGATGAGGCTATATGTAGGGATGGATCCGGTGAGAAGGGGTGCCGCTACATGGTCGAACAGCATAGTTCTGAACAAAGCTCAGCGCGCCCGGAGAAACGCGCCATATAAACGCCGCAGGGCCAACAATCGAATGTGACGGCTATCGCTGATACATTCTGTCAGAGGACGTATCTTTGAGATGCAAGGATATCCAAAGCGGAAACAGCTGTTACTCGACGTAAGAAATCTGATGTTTGGACGCGGCACTGAGCCACCCGCTCTAACAGACTGGAAAGCCACTGAATAACGGCCTTATAAATACATACAACACCGGTGGGCGTTATCGGATGTGGGAGGCGGAATACTTACTGGCAGACATGTCTACGTTAAACGTGATCGGAAGATCAATCAGCGCTCCGCCCATACCTTCAACAGAGAAAGAGAGTTTCTCGCTGCAACTCTCGTTCCTATGCCATTAGCTTGACCGGAGATACGTTGTGAACGCTCGTCGTATACGCTATGCACAGCCGTGGACAATCTGCTATATATACATGCAGGCAGATACCGCGAAATCAGTTATAGTCAGTAAGGCAAGAGTGTCTTCCCGGTCGGTCCTACACGTCATAGCATGTATACTGCGAAAGGAAAATATAGAGGCTTTGAGAGCCCACAAGTTCCTTGCCATGCACACACCAGAAATAAGCTGTTATCATGAGCGCAAACCGTGAGACCCATGACGGACCCGAGCACGCGGACAGCTGAGATCTTCCACGCTATGGTGCGCGAGGAGAGAAGTGGCTCTGTGGGTACTCTGGAAAGGCTCTCAGCGGACCTTCCGAAATGAAGGCTCACCGCTGTGACAATCCTCGCATATAGAAATCCCAGGCACCACCAAAGACAGAGGGTGCTAAATGTCACGTGAGGCTTCAATAAACCGCGAGACGATGTATCGACTCGGCGAAGATATTGGCCCTGTGGCCGTTTCTGATCAAGCTTCGCGTTTCTCAACGACCGAGACTATATGCTGTATTGCTCTTCGGGGCAGAATCTATTGCGAAAGAACATGGGTGGATCGTGAACGCTGCGAGGAGACAGGAACATGATGGATGTCAAATCGGAGTCACTGAAGGCGGAACCACGCGCGCTCCTCAGCTACACAGCAAACGCAATGGGCGTCTCTGTTCTGGCATACACCGGCCATGGCTTCAATTCCTACAAAGAGCATATCGAGCTCAGCGAGCCCGAGGAGTGTCGCTGAAGGAAGAACACGTGCCTCATCTACGACACCGTGAGGGTCAGGGTCGCTCTTCGTATCGGTTGTCGTCTGAATCTGTATCTGGAGGTTCCTCTGTGAGATAAAGAATAGAAGTACGTCAGTGATCCTCCCTCGTTACCCGAGGCTTGATAGAAGGCGAAGTTTGACCTGATCGTCACGGTTTGTCAGGCTCTGAGTGAACTGAGGCCGGCCGGCCGAAAAGGACAACCTAGAATTCGTCGTCGCAGATAAGGGGAACGAGACCATGTCTCCAGAGCCAGACTCCCGGAGCGGCTGTCGCGCGTTGAGCGTCGCTAGCAACGAGTTCAAGAACACTGTATAACGCCGCGTACGTGAGCTTCGTGCACGCATTGGGGGTTATCAATGACGTACACTTGGGAAGCACGAAATAGAATGCAATGAAGATGAAGTTGTTCGGCATGCTGGCGTACTGTATCCAAATATGGCACAAGGGGCAGTTAGTCACAGGCTGCTGCGCATGGAACTCTTGGATGGACGCACGCAGAGCAGCGTGAGCAGCGCGGCCATGCTGTCAACATGGATTAGTTTAGGACATTCTGAGATTCGAAAGGATCTCAGGCCGCCGGCTGACGATAGGCTCACCTCGTGAGAGCGCCCGTGTTTATGCTGTACATCATTAGAACGCGCACAATTGAGTCCGTCCTAGGGTACCCAAACAGGTCAGTGCCGTCGTGTGCACGGCTTCCGACAAGAACTTACCGAGTGAAACCAGTCCTACGTTTAGCAAGGAGGAAGCACATGGATCCTGCAATTAGGACGTCTGCAACAACCCCAGATCCGAGACTGATGTATAGGATATCCTATTGGTCAGGTGAGACGGAACTCGACTATATGTAGCGGGCGGACCACGCACGGAGATCTCTGATAATGCCGTGAAGGTTGGTATGCTGAAACTAGAGAGAGGGGAATTGAGTGGCGAGAAGGTTGATAAGTAGTTATGGACATACCCCTTGACGGCGAAGGCTAGTCTCAGGGCGCGTCAGTGGGCCTCCGGAACATCAAGCGGCTCGTTGCGCTTACCGATGCTTCCACCTTAAGACAAAATATGAGCACAAAGCCCGCAATTGAGGTATCCATGAGCAGCCAAAGCTTACTGAAGACGATGAGAGACGATATACTCTTGACGGAACGTTGACCTTGAGAAGGCGCTCCGCGGAGACCATGGATCATAACTCACAATCGCCACCACTAGCACGTAATTCCGATTGCTCACTAGTATTTCAGTTAGCATACGTCGATATGTCAGGGTGATCCAACGTACGTCTCCAGACTCTATGGCAAAAGACTCTGGGAACAAGGTGAGTAGATGTATATTAGGTCATTTGCGAGATACATACCCCCTAACGGCTCCGTCGCTCACGCCCTACAAAAACATATATCGTCTAAGAATTCACTATAGTTTACAAAACAACTTACGGTGACTAGAATCTGAGACTTATCGCGAGGTCAGTTGGACTACGACATGCTTTTTGGGGGAATACTTACTAGTATGCTCCTGAGACATCGTGATCAGCGACCAATGACAAACAATGAGAGATTGACTCCGACGTACCATATTGGAATATCAAGCATAAACACGTTTGTGAAGTTCGTAACAGCATAGAAATACACGGCATGCACGACCAGCGCCAGATGCAGGCTATCCATCACCCTGCGTCTCGGCTCTTCAACTTGATGAAATGCTTGGGGTCACAAGAGAGAAGAAGAGACTGACCACAAGAAGAAGACCTGACACCGAGAGTCAGCGGGACACCGAAGGGGCAGACGGGTCGTCGACGCACCAATGCCTGTAGGTAGGCTGGATCTGTCCCGTTGCGCTTGTAATAGATGTAAGTCTGCACGACAGTGATGCCATAGAAGCTAGGAATCCATCAGCGAGAACGATATGCTGCAATGGGAAGACAACCCACCAAGACGTCGCTATGGTGCCTTCACGCCATGCCACCGATCGTCAGCTAAGGGATCTTGAAGTAGATGAAGGGACTGTACCTAAGAACGCAGCACCTAGCGTGTTGTTCAACGAAACTTCAGGCATTGTCGACAAGATGGCTCAGGTAGTGGAGGAGCGAAGGGGGACCTGGTAGGTTTGCATGCTATGTATACGTCCTCTGTGAATGCAAGAAAGAGGATCCCACAGATAGGGCAGCTCGGCACCGTGACTACTCGGTGCACACGGAGAAGAGTCCCTGACCGAGTGGTCGGTCCAGGACTGGGAACCGGAAGCGTCGACGCGGAGTTTGCGTGGGAGATGCTCCGCCATGCGCTCAAGCCTCCATATCCAGAAACTATGACATGTCGCGTGTCCCAACGGAGCCAGTATATGTATTCAGCTCGAAGGGATTCGCAGGATTGTCCGCCTCTTGCGTGATGCTTCGTTACACGTCCTACAGCATTTCACGCCATGGCAACTTTTCGGCTTCCAGTAAGCATGTGTTCACGGCCACCTCATGGGAGTCTCTGCGTACCTTGACTATATTGGCCGAGACACCCTTATGAGGATCTGCGGCAACGAGGCGGGATCCTGCATGGAACTGGCCTACGGGCCTGTGGTGGTGATATTGGACAAGCCCATTCATGCTCGAGCGCCCCCATTGTAGGCGCCACGTGGCAGCGGCCCTTGCCACAGAAGAAATAAGTAAGTTCGCTCCTTGCATCACCCGATACCCTCCAACTCCCAAGTACTGAGGCCTGAACATACCATCATCTCTTTGACCAATCCCGTCTGTTCACCTGGCCATAATTAGCAAGGTTGGCTGCGCTTCACGGAAAGAAACGACGACGCTCCATTACTGACTACATGTCATTGCGCAGCGACAGCCAATCCAGATAACGCTCAATCGGACATTCCAGGCTCGCGCATACAGCACTTAGGCTTGACTGGGAACGCGCGCTCGCGGAGCGGACGCTGGAAGAACTTAACGACCCCGAACGCTTCCGCCGAACTCTTTGACACCTTCGCGGCTGCGTGTAACGTCCGAGGTCCCCGCTGTCTCTTGCCGACTGGAACCCCTGCTGAATCCAAGTGAGCGCAGAACGGGCCCAGACCGTTCACTCTCGAAATACCGGTGTGCGCCTCGTTCGACAGGGCTCATTTCGCCGCGCGCTTGAGGAGCGCCCATGCAGAAACGCCATCCTTGACGCAACCGGAAGGCCGATCTCTATTTCAAGGATTGAAGCACGCAGTCTACTGAGCAAGCGGCAGGAATACAGCAATCTCGAAACATCGTGCTGAGCCGCCGGAGTGCGTTGCGTGCTCACACGAAGGCTGTCACACCTCGCGACTCAACCATCGTTACCACTGTGCAGTGATGCATGTACTCGTCCGCCTCCTCTTTCGTGAGTCCCCTCGAAGAACAATTTGGTTCTCGGTGCATTGAACCTCAGGGCAGAAGGCCAGCGCTACCTCTTCTAATGAAGGCACCGAGAACGCCTTCGCAAAGGATCGGCACCGGTGGGTACCTGATTCGGGGGCATTCGACTGAAGGTTCGCGCGTCAGGGATCTACACAGATCTCAGCCGCGGGCTCGAGCATCAGCCTCAATCTTCAGGGTCCGGCCAGCGTTGGCGGGTAGTTCTTCGGCCTGCACGTACGGGGTGGAGAAGCTCCCAAAGCGTCCGAGCCATAGATCTGCTTCCGGCGTTGGTGATCTCTCGGCGGTTCCGACATCCCGCGTTAAAGTCAATACAATCGGTAGGGCATGTTCAAATTTGCGTAATAGGTCCGATACATTGCCGGTGTCTAGAATGACAGAGAGGAGCCTGTCTCAGAACAAGTGTCTGGAGGCTAGGAGGTCGCTCATGGCGTTCGTTGGTACTTGTCCGCCCAAACTACGATGAAGGCACCCAGTGCGGCCACCACAATGATCCCACCAATGGCTACGATTGTCAAAATGAAGCGCTACTCTCAAAAAGTCATGGTGAGTTGGGTGTTCGGGGGATAGGAGCTCAGACACTGACCTCGCTAGCCCTTCTCCTAGTCAGTCGTTGGAGGCACGATGTCAGTACTGTCTCTCGTTTCGCAAATCCCTATCTCACCATGCCGACGACTTCGCATGGCACGAAGATTGAGCTAAGCCCCATGAGATAACAAGCGAGATAGCGTGGATGAGATGCACACCTTCTGACGAAACGTGCTATGGCTGCTATTACGGCTGTTCTGCGGATACCGTGCTGACGGTGTACGATGGGTAAGCAGGTTTCATTTCGCTCCCTTGAGCAACCCTGTGCTCACCTTGTGTCTTCTTCCTCAGTACGTTCACCTTCTTCGACGGTTGGCTCATGGCCATAGGCCGGAACCTGCGGGGCTCGCTTATCAATGGGCCTTCCTCTTCAGGCCTCTCGTCCGAGCTAGAGACGCGCTGCAACATGCCCAACTCCACGTCCTCTAATTGCACATCCGGTATCGTCGTTGACGCATCTGACGCAAAAGTTACCGCAGAAGACAACCGAGACGATGCATGCGAATGCAGTGGTAGATAACTCCTACCATTATCAGAAGGTCATAAGCACAACTTTGAGAAGTGACAGATGCTCCACGTACGGGTTCAGTACGTTGGACAACGGCCGCCTCCCCGGGTAGTGCGGCATGGCATGCGACGGGCTCCCCAGCTGAACTGGTTGGTATGCGTATGTGGACATGGTGAGCTCTGTTGTCTTGCTCCTGATGGACCCAGGTCTTCAAAAGTAGCCATTCCAGGTGATACTATCGTTGCGCCGCCCAAAGCGCAGGCTGTGGTTGTACCAGTGGTCTTGGTGGCTGCTGGGCGCGCAACCCTCAAAAGCCGATTAGGGCTGCCAGCGGGAGGCGAGAGGGCGCCGAACCTTGTGTCGCGGGCGGGGCCATTGCTGCGCTACGAGGAGGCGATACTGGCCGGCCACGGCCATTGAGAGGGCTCTTCGTGCCCATATCTGTCGGGCTCGGCCGGCTAGGGCGAAGTAGTTTTCTACTCGCGACTGGCCACGGACTCACTCTCTTATGCAACTTGCATACTATGGTATTGTGCCGACTGTCACTACCACAGTGGCAGACATCACATCGGGGGCTATGTTGGGCCACATAATCGCCCACAACGGGCTCTGATGACCCCTGTCTCAGCTACACGAAATGGCGTTACGAGGATGGGACAGACATACACGACAGACACAATCCCGCCAGACTGCGAACCGAACATTCAAAGGCTTGTTTCTGTCTATGTCGATCGTGCTGAGAGCAGTTTAAAAGACATACGGGATCAGCTTGTATGGCGTCTGCCTCGCCCACGCCTCCCACTCCGTCCCGAACTCCTCTCGCAGCACAGCGTCCTCCCTCCCCGCCCGACTCGGCATGAGCACGGTCGCGACGAACAGCGACCGGCCCGCCACCAGACACGCGAGCGCGCCCCACACACGGGACTGCCACACCCCGATCGCGGACAAGTATGAGCCCCCGCCGAGCAGGAGGAGCACGTCCCCGAAGATGACGAACATGTACCCGACATAGCTCGGGTGGCGAACTAGCGCGTAGGGGCCGGACTTGACGAGTTTGTGGTCCTTCTGCAGAGACACCTCCATGACGAAGAACTGGCCGAGCGTACGCATTGCCCAGAGGCGGAACAGGCCTCCGGAGAGGATGAGGAGGAAGCCAAGGGCACTGTACGGCGATAAGAGGAGCGGCAGAGGGCCGGACGCGGATGTAGGGGCGAGGATAGACAGAAGACGCTGGGATAGTAGTAGAGTCGGAAATGACTGTGCGGTGATGACCGCCGCCTCAACTAGAGCAAAGCCGCATATGGCAGTCTGGTAGCGTGTTGTCAAACTGTCGTGCACGTATATCCCAATGTCGGTAGGTTGCTCACCATCGTCAGCTTCACGGTTAAGGCTGTCAGAGCGAGGATCCGCGTTATGGGGTCTGCTGTCTCCCGCCGCTTGCGATCAGCGGCGGGGGGAGCATTAGGAAAATTCCAACATGCGTAGTTGATGTAGGCCGTGGAAACCAGTATCGGTACCTTCACCAGGGGGTTCATGGGCACCGGGAATGTGGTGGACAGTGATGTGGCTTTCTTAGGGAAGCATAACTTCCTGACAAAGGGCAGCCCGCCTATATATGCACGGTTCTGCCAGCCAAACAAGCCGAACATCAGAATGCTAAGGGCCTGTTCGGCAAAGAGTTGGAGTTAGAGTTACCGGCATTTCATGCCCAAATATAGTAATAATATCTCGGTTTTCAATCTCGAGAGAACTCGAGTTACTCAGGCGAGTGCATGCGTTCGGATGCCTCCCAGTAACTCCGGGCGGTTGTTATCAGAGCTCACGCGCACGTCGTAACTTGTCTCGAGGCTCTACCCTTTTGGCAGCCTGCTTGATTCTCTCTTTCTAGAGTATTGGGATGGCTACCATGATCGACGTGGAATGTGATCAGACATCTGAGGCCATCCTACTTGAGGCCTGAGGGATTAGAGCAGCTACTACCGAGGCCCGCCTAGTCAAAACAATGACAGTTACTGCTATTATAGCCTGTCTTCGGCGCTCTATATGAGCCCGATATTAGGTTGGTGAATTTTGACAGCTGCTCTTGTGCGGACCATGGTGAAGCAGGGATGAAGCAGAGCCCATCTGATAAGCCATAGCTATCGGTATACATACTACTAGATACATGTACGAGTTCAGGGCGCTTGTCTCCTCCGGATTTCACGGATACTCCGCCCCTGTAACTCTAACTCGCGCAGAAATCCTCGGAAGTGTCGCCACGTGACAAAATACCGGTGACTCGTAACTCCAACTCTTTGCCGAACAGGCCCTAATAAATCTTGAATTAAATCATCTCGCTACCCCGCACACGGGCCATTCCGAGTCACCTGAGAGCCCTTCGTAATAGGGCTAGAAATGTGCATGTCCATGCTTGCACGTTGCCCAATCAAGCTATTGTGCGTACCGGGTCGGTACGGCATCTCGTGTATAGGTTCGCACGAGTGTCGGGAGCTGGTGGAAGCTTGATGTTACAGTGCTAGATCTGTGATTACGAAAGTTACGCGGCGACATCTACATAGTACCTGTCAACCGCTGGAAACGAACCACTAACAATTGGCAAGAGAAAGTGCTGTGACGTCCAACCGACTCGAGTGTATCGTTGGAAAACGTACTGTGTTCCAAGGTTATCGAAACGTTCTCAGGTAAGGAAATCCGTTGTTCGGCAGGGACCTCAATGGGCTCGGCAAATACTGTGAGCGTGATAACAGTCTGTTCTATCCCGGTAACACCAGAACAGCAGTCGAACAGTCCTAGGCACCAGATAGTCACCAGCGAAGACTGCTTAGCGCGGGACTACATGGGAACCTCACCTGTTCGGCTACTAGAACAAGAATATCAATCAGAACAGTCGAAATCGAAGGGCTCGTCGATGTTGTTACGAAAGGCAGGCCACAGAGCGCAATCGACTCCGACAGTTTTGTAGGCGGCATTCCTTGAGCAAGGAATCTGAAGCAATGGGAGTACGATACCACATCACCTTCGCTGCCCCGTTGACATGTACAGTGCAGGCCACCACAGACCGTCAAGATTGAGGCCTGCGAGTACAGAGTGAGCGCCGGCATGATTCCCATGCACACAAAGCGCAGTCATCCGAGGTGCGATGCTCCAAAAATGACTATATAATGGTCCAGCGTAGAAATACGAACACATGAAGAGTCCGCACCGATGAGAATGTAGACCGACTGCGAACTTGAGACTGCATGCATAGATGTACAACAACACGACGGCCCGGCTAGGCCGACTGAGAGACGCAAACAACGCAAGGTAGAAGACCGGAAGGCAACGCAGAAGGTTGATGGGGAGGCTCAGTGGTGTGTTGCCTTCACGATAGACACAACGATAATGACGATGATGATGGCGATGGCGACGCCAATGATGATCCTCATCTGACAAACGAACGACTTCAGTGGGAGGCGATGAACGAACAAGGCAAGAACATACCTTCATATCCTTCCACCACATGTTCTATGACAAGATCGCATGATGAGCTGTAGAGTTGTACGCAAACATACCAGTCGAACATACCTTGCGGACGCGGTTCGCCCCACGACGGAAGCCCTGTGCAGACACGGCGAGGTTGTCTATCGGAAGAAAGAAGCGCGACCGGATTAGCCAGTTCGCTCACACGGCGGCCCGGGCGAGGCAGTGGGGGGCCACACTTGCGCAGCTCCCAGCCTCTCGGCCGCTAGTTCGGGGACGACCAGACGGGGGTACGCACCTGTCTTGTCCTGCAGTTGGTCCAGCCTCTCTCCCCTCTCAGCGACTTTTGTGATGTTCTCGCGCATGATGCCGACGGTGTCATCAATCTGCTGCTGGATGGCCGCCGTCTTCGAGTTGCCCGCGCCAGCCGGGTTCGAAGAGGAGCCGCCACGGGGCAGGTAGGGGTCATAAGGTTCGGACCTGTGAGGCGAGCAAGCAGACGCAGATGCGGATGCGCAAGCGTCATCGTGAGGCAGGCAGGGGGAGAACAGAAGCGGGTTCAGAGGGCGTAACGAGCGATAAAGAGAGGGCCACTGACATGGCTAATTCGTGCGAACAGGCAGGCGACCGGGCACTGAAAGTGAGCTTGTGTGGCAGAAGAGTGCGGGTAGACGGCAACTGACCGAATTACGGGAGAGTGTAGGATGAAAGCGTCGGCAGTCGTGAGGACGGGGTGGTGGTCGTGAGCAGCGCGGCTGGTGACGAAGGCGACGGAGCAGGTCGAACCAAACATGCACAAGCACCCAGATCGCACCGCCGGAGTACTGCGCCTTCTACTCCGAATCCATCATACATCTCAACTACTCATCTTCTCTTGGTCATCACAGCTGATTTGTGTTGCCGAACCCCCGTCGGCGCAGATGCACAGCCAAAGAACATGGAATATGAGCCTCAGCATACAGGGTATCTAAGCCATTGTGAGGGAAAGCAGAAAGAGCGTCGATTGCAACAGCGACTGGCAGAATGGACGAGAGAAACCGTGCACTACAGCAAAAGAAACGAAGGGTAGGATAACGATAGAAATTGAACGGAGAAGCAAGCAAAAAGGACATCTAGCTACAGCTAACCGTCCGAAGGGGACTAGCAACTTGTGGTATGTACGTGTTCCGTTCCATGTCATTCGGTTCGTAACGCGCCGGCCTACTCTTCCTCGTCCTCGTCTTCCTCCTGGATGCCCCTAAAGGCCGGCCCAGCCCGCCCGTTGGGCAGCTGCCTTCGCCCGCCACGCGTCTCCGCCACATTCGCCTCGAACACGGACTCGGCGGGCAGAGGCGAGCTCCGTCCGGCGGGGGAGCGGTTCGCCTTGTTCCGCGCAGCCCTCGACGGGACGTTTCCGACTGTAAGGCGGCCGACCTCCGGCGCAGCCCGCTTGTTGTTGCTCGAGCCACCACCAGTACGTGCGGGGGCACTCCGCAGAGGGGGAGATAGCAGAGGTGCTTCTGACTGTCCGAATGTCGTGATAACGCTGCTCGCCGACGAGGGCATCTGGCCAAGCCCACCGACGTACAACGGGCTCTCCTCGTCCTCGTCGATCCAATCCGACTCGTCCCCGAGCGAGTGCCGCCCAGAGAAGACGTCGCGGATCCCGGGAACCTCTGGGGGGTATATCGCGAGCACCTCCACCGTCGGATGCGCCGTGCGCGTCTGCCAGCCCGGCGGCTCGAGACCCCACGACTTCTTCCAGCTCGACCGCCCAAGCGAGTTCAGATACTCGCTCCTGTTCGGATTTTGGAACGGGGCCTGCCTCTTGTGTGCGACGAACGCAGCATGGCCCCTTCGCGGCGTATCCTCTAGCGACCTCCGCATCGCTGCCTTGTTCGGCGAGCTGTTCCGCCGGCTATCCGTCTCCGACAGGTCATAGAGGGACCCTGGGCGCGATGATTGTAGCGAGTGTACGGAGGACGCCGAGTTCGAGCGCAGATGCGAATTCGGCTGCTGCCTGCCACCGCCGTTCCCGCTGGGCGTCATCTGGATCTGCCGCACGACGCGCGTCGACGAGCCTGAGCCCCCGCGGCGGTGGTTTTTCGGCAGGGGCGACGCCGTGCGCCCGACGTACATCGAGCCTGCGGAGCTCGCAGAGGGCGATTTCCGGTGGCGCGGATGGTTAATGAAGCTGTGTATCGAGCTCGGGCGGGACATGAACTCCTCCCGCTCCGAGTTGGGCGTGTGGCTCCCGAACGACCGTCTATTGGGGTCGCTGCGGTGTCGCGTGGCGGAGTAGGGCGGGGACTCGACTACTGGGTACTGCATAGACGTCGACGACCGACGTGAGTTGACGCTGCTCGAGCGGCGCGAGGAGACCGAGGCGCGCTTGGCGCGGTGCGAAGCCTTGTTTCGCCCGCCGCCCACCGTCTTTCCTCGCCCAGCGGGACGACCCTTGATAGTACCCCGCCCGTTCGGCCGCTGTGACACAGGGCTCGATCCGGCGCTGTTGATTGACGATGTCTGGGTGAGCGCCAGGAGAGTCGCGGGGTCCTCCTTCCGCTTGCCCTTCGGATCCTCTCTAAACCACCGCTGGAACGTAGACAGCAAACTCGCGCGATTACGATGACCAGAGCCGACCTTGCCGCCGCGCGTAGGGATCTGCGGAAGCGATGTGAGCGTATCCGCGGGCGAACCGGTGTCAGGAGGTGGGGATTGCTTCCCCGCCAAGACCCATGGCGAGCCGACTTGGGCCTGACCCCCGTTCAGGTCTGCTGGCGGCGGTGTTGACGAGAGCGCGGAGTCCTTGACGGCGCGCATAGGCGGGGTCTTTATAAGCTTGGTTGAGCCACTGCCGTGCGAAGAGCGCGGCTCCTCGCTGTTGGCAACGCTCTTCGCCGCTTGCTTCTCCTTATCCTCGCGCTCGCGCCGTTCACGTTCCTCGCGCACCGCCTCGGCAGACTTCTTACGGACAAGGCCAGCTGCCTCAAGCGCGGTCGTTGCGCGCTGCATGATGCTGACGCTTCCGGCACGGTTTTTGCGGCCCTTCGACCCTTGGTTTTCCTTATCCTTCGAGCTGCTAGGAGTGGTAGGATTCGACTTGGAGAGGGACTCGACAGTAGAAGACGGAGTAGGCGAAAGCAAAGGGTGGGTAGGAGACGCAGTCCGCGGGGGAGTCACAGGTCGCTTCGTCTGAGCGACGGTAGGAGTAGCGGGGATGAACTGCAACTCGGGAGCAGACTGGGCGGGGAGGAGCGCAGGCGGGATCGGGAGGCGGGAATCCCTGGAGCGCCCGACGGACGACGGTTGGCCCTCATCCGTATGCGAGCGATGCTGCGAAGACCGACCATACGACTTGTCGCGCCGCGCCTCGTGCCGCTTCTCCCTCTCCTTCTCTTCCTCTTTCTCCCTCTCTTTCTCCCTCTCCGTCTGCTTCTTGTCTCCCAGGGGAGCGGGTAACTCCGTAGGGACTTCCTCTGGTACCTCGACCGGGTGCTCTGCAGGCTTCTTCGCCGCATCCTCGATCGCCTTCCTCTCCGCCTTGCGCTTGAGCATCCACCACAGCGCCCCGGTACAGTCGCACGCGTCGGTCAGGACCGAATGCACGATCTGCCCCGTGTCGAGCCCGAGCGCGCTCATCGAGTTCAGCAGCTCGCGCTCGAGCGGCGTGCTGAAGATCAGGGGCGCAGGCGTGTGAAGGAGGGACGAGAAGTCCTGCGGCGGTAGAGGCACGGCCGACTTCTCGAACACGGTCGGCCCATGATCGGAGAGCGTCGAGGAGACTGAGCGGCGCTTCGTGCGGGCCGGGGTGCGCGTCGGGAATGCCGGCGGCTGCTTGCTTGAGCTGCTGTCGGCCCGGGAGAAGGACGGCCGGGACGGCGTCTCGACGGAGCGTTCTGCGGACTCGTCCTCCTCTCGGACCGTTTCTGGGGTCCCTTTGTTTGATGAGGGGGGAGAGGGCAGATTGCCGGTGAGTTTCTTGTAGGTGCTGTGCGAGTCGGACGTGAGCTCGTCGACTGATTTGTTGTCTGGGGTAGCAGGGGTGGAAGGACCGAACTCGGAAGAAGCGGTATGGAATGTGGAGTCTGACGTCGTGGATGCAGAGAGAGGTTGCGCTTCGATGGCCGTCGTGATCTGTAACTGTGTTGGGGAAGCAGGGCGTGAGATAGTCGGGGCAGCACTTTGCACGGAATCTCGGTTGGAATTCTTGTGGATTGTGGTGAACCACGAATGCGTGAGAATTTGCGCGATAGTAAGTCGTTTTGTGGGTTCGACCTGGAGGATGCTAGAGAGCAAACCCCGGGCGTCTGATGAACGAAGAATGATAAGTTACATTGCTCTCAGTAGCTCGTTCAGTTGGCACATACCGTCCGAGAGCCATTCAGGATCGTCATATACGCCCCTGATGACCTTCTCGCGCATGACGCTCTCGTCATCATCGTCGAAGGGAAGAGTTCCGGTCAATAGAGTATACAGAATGACGCCCAATGACCACACGTCCACCTCTGGCAGAGAAGTCAGCACCGTGCATCATAGATCGAGTCTCAGTTACATAATAGAACTCCTGGCCTAGAGCGGCGCCAAGCGGTGGAACGGCAGTGCGGCGATCAACTGCGACTTCACCGACGGGCGAGGACGCGAGTCTGGGGCGCAGGGGGGGGGAGAAGGGGACGTGCAGAGTTCACAATGCATGGGACGAGAAACGACGCTTGGAGCGAAGGGCAAGGGCAACGCACCTGGCCCAAGATATTTCTTCGCCAGCAGCATCTCCGGAGCCGCATATCCCGTAGTCCCGCAGAACGTCTCCAGCAACGACCCCTTCTCGAACTCCCTCGTGAACCCGAAATCGCCCAGCTTGACCCGACATCGCTCGTCCAACAGCACGTTCTCCAGTTTCAAGTCTCGATGCACAATCCCCTTCTCATGGACGTACGCGACGGCGAGACATAGCTGCCCAAATAGGACCCTCGCCTCGTCCTCGTTCAGCCTGCCCTTCTCGGCGAGGTAGTCGAAGAGCTCGCCCCCAGAGCAGAGCTCGGTGATGAGCCAGATGCTGGACTCGGTCGCGATGACCTCGTACAGCTGCGTGACGTGCGGGTGGTGCAGCTGGCGGTGGTGGTGGATCTCGCGGGTTAGCGCGGCGGACATGGCCTTGGGGATCTGCTTTATGGCGACGCGGGTACCCGTCAGGCGGTGCGTGCCCATGCGTACCTTCCCGTACGTCCCTATGCGTGTATCGAGCCGTGAGGATCGATGTATATGTACACCCCTGCAGACGTAGAGGGAGACAAGGAGCACGTACCCTCTCCTATGACCTTCCCGAGCGTATAGTTGCCGACGACCCTGATCTTCTGGCTCGAGAGCTCCTTGCCCAGTTCATTGTACGCGCTCGCAAGCTGGGCCTTGTGATTCTGCGCCTGCGAGACAGAGCCGGAAGGCTTGTGGCCGCCGTTGGGACCTGCGGCCATCGTGACATATACAGAGATTCAAAAGTCGTGAACGAGCCGAGGATCGAAAGCGTCAAGTTCGAATCAAAGTCCAAGGAAAGGAACGACGGAGGCGTGTGGGCCTTTGGGTAACGGAGAGCAGATAGTTTACTGTACAATGTGGATAGAGCGCTCCGGAGGCGGAGGCGACAGGGACAGGGATTTGAGTTGGGTGTGGGGGGGATGGCAGCAGCCTGGCAAGCGAAACAGACTACGGAGGACGTCCTCCACAGGCACGCGCTTCTTCCAGGGCCCAGCCACATTGCACCCTCTGACGCTCAACTACCTGAACAGTCACTGGCACGTCTGCCGATCTTCGTGGCAGATTACAACTCTCCGCATCACCCATTGCAGCCTTACGACCACTTACAACGCGGCCCGCTGCGTTCCATCATGACTCAGAACGGCCAGCAGATCCACGAGGCGTGCTATCATTCACTATAACATGCGGCTATATATCATGACGTCGACGCATGGTCGGTGAGAATGATGCGGGCCATATTCGCAAGACATACAACGCGCGGTGCAGTGTAGTGTACAGGTACAGTGGCAGCTGTGGGATAGAGGAAAGCAAGGTCGTCGAAGTGTCATGCATGCGTCAAGGAGTATCATGATGGTCCCAATCCAAACTGTCACGTCGATGCCGCGGCCATGATGCGTTCGACCTCTAGCTGCAGCCTCGTCCGCGAGGCATTGCCCTCGGGCGCCTTCCCGCCGATGAGGCGTCCTTCCAAGCCATGGTAACCCACAGTGACACCCTCAAACAGCAACGCGAGCAGGCGCGTCCATTGCGAACCCCATACTGCGCATGCGTGCAGGCCGCCAATGTCCAGCGCAGCTGTGGCGGAGAAGCACGTCAGTCAGTATGATGGAATGACCTCTCCGCAGCGAAGATGTGCTGAACACGCTTACTGAACATGATTTGCGCCGCGACGGGGCTCTCGAGAAGCTGTGGGTCCTTCAGCATCCTGGTGAAGTACGTCCAGTATCGATCCATTCGGAACATAGGATCGAGCGGCTGATTGACAGGCAGCACAAGGGTGGTGAAGTACACCCGCAAGATACCTGTGACGCGACTGGTATAGTCCCCGAGTACCTCAGACCCCTCGTCCGTGTCACGGAAGCCTTGTACTTTCCGCATACTTTGAGGCGTGATCGTCGTGCCGTCCGTGTCATTCGCGGGGATTGCGATCGGTACGGGCCAGCCCCCAGCACGCTGGCAGAGCTTGGCCCAGAAGATATCGGCAAAGCCTTCGAGGGACGTAAGGAGGTTGACGGTCAATTGTGCGAGAGGCATAGCGCTCTTCTTCTCTGCGGTGACCTCGGTCTCGGCTTGCATGAGGATCGCCTTGGCAAGCGAGGAGAGGAGCGCGATGTAGATCGGCGGAGGATGAGCTTGTGGGGGCCGCAGGATGTTGACGAGCTCGTGTGACTGCCAAAAATCATGTCACAATATGGTAGACCCTGAAATCGTCGTACTTACCACCCGGACAACCACGGCCATGTCGCTGGTGAGCTGCCCAACTTTGGGTGTGATGGCCCGACGACCCGCTGACCAAATGGCCTTCATCTCTTTGTTCTGCTTCACAGTCTTCATGGGCCCGGCCTTGAGCGTCTATGTGAACGCTTGGGTTACGGCCATGTACATATCCACATGGTTGGCGGCTTACCCTCAGTGTATCCCTCCCTCGTCGCCAGTCCTCGAAGGCAGTGGAATGACCCAACGCTTTGCGGGCCTCCGTCTCCGCCTGTTCGCGCTCCTTCTCAGCTTGAGCAGCCGCGAGCTTGATGCGCCTCTCCTCGTCCTCCTTCTCCTTCTGCTTGCGCTTCTCTTCCTCCTCTTTCCGCTTGCGCTCCTCCTCCTGTCGCTTCTTCTCCTCGGCCTCCCGCCTCAGCCTCTCCTCCTCCTCACGCTTCTTCCGCTCTGCCTCCTGCTCCACGCGCCTTCTCTCCTCCTCCTGCTTGATGACCGCGTCGATGCGCGCCCAGAGCTGCCGGTCGCGCTCCTTCCATTGCGCGCGGAGCATCGCTTCTTCTTGTTGCTTCTGAAGATTCATAGCGGCGAGCTGCGACTCCACCTCCTTGAGCTGCTGCTCGTGGAGGGCGGCGCTCCGCTGCTCGTCCTGTGCGCGCCTCTCATTTCGCGCATTCCGTTGTTGGATGCAGTCTTGGGTGTGCTTCTGTCTTGCTACGCGCTGCGCAAGAGGATAAGGAAGGTGTGTGAGGCGAGGAAGAGAAAGGAGACGTACGAAGGCTTCCTGACGCGTCTCCTTCTCCCACTCTTCATACGGGTCGTGATAATTTATGCGTCGGCGGACCGCGGCAAGGGTGTCTTCCCTCGCCCATTGTTCAGCAAGGCTCTTCTCCCTGCGGGGTTTCCTATACAGAGGTCGGCTACATTGTTGACGGACGGTATGCACGTGAGACGAGCCTTACGGTGGTTCTGGTCTGTGGTTCAACCACTCGCCCTCAGAAGAGCTCGCAGACTCTGAGCCTGATGCATCGTCCTCGTCCTCGGAAGAAGATTCTGACGGCACGGCAAATGTTGAACGAGGCCGATGTCGCCTACTGGGGAACGTACACAAACAAATGTGAACGCTCGTTGCTGCCGCTTGTCGCAGCGATGGTGGTTAGACTCACTTTCTGGTTGGAGATGGCGAAGGAGATCGGGGTGCAGCAAACCTCATCCTCGTGCGCACGCTAAGTTGAGTCAAAAGCGCGTAAGGAGTGCGGCCTCAAGGGTAGCACAATGTGGTGAAGGCGGAAGCGACGACTCTGAGTTCCAGCAGGCTGCCTTGTGTTCCCGCCACAACGTCATCCACGTGGCCGGCACGTTTCTCCCGATCTCAATTAAACGCCCATACAGGGCGGGCCGGAGGAGGAGAGCTCTGTGACAAAGTTACCGCGCGTAAATCCCTCCGCCCATGCTCCCGCCGGGTCCGACCACTGCGCTGCTCCCTTGCTCTGTTTCTTGGCTTCAACACTGCCCCCAGCCACGAGAGACTGTCATCTTTTAGCTTGGAAATTGCACTAGATCGCTCTTGCTATCCCTAAATCTCATGGAGACGTTCACTCGCCAGGCCCAACTACCCACGGAGCTTCTGCGCCAGATCGTGCTCGAGTACGTCTCGACGTACGACGAAGGGCGTAAATTTGAGGAGCCTAGGCATAGCTACAAACCTCCTTGGAGCTCCGTTGAACCGCTCACGCTGGCATCCAAGGTCCTCCGGCAGCTCGCCTTGGAAGCATGGTTTGAAGTGTACTACGTGCGTACACCGGATGACCTGCTGCACGCATGGCCCGAGTTTGAGCTGTGGACCAAGTGAGTGCCTTCGTCGCTTTGCACGTGCTCAAATCTCGAAGGTCGGTTGCATAGGGAGCTGCACTGCGTAGAGTTGGGCACAGACCTCCGGATCCTTCCCGTCCAGTGGGATTTCCGGGCGTTCCACCGGCTCCGCAAGCTGCGCATAGACTTCGACCCCATGCAGTCTAACGCGATGCTCCTCATGCGCTTCGACCATCCCAGACACATCGCGTCTCAGATACAGGAGCTGGAGATATACGACATCTCATGGCCCTCTCCCATGGCCATCCATCTCATCGCAGACGCGTTCCCCAGGCTGCGGACGTTGAAGCTCTCCCAGGATCTCATGTGGTGCAACCTCTGCAACATATGCCGCTTCTCCACGTTCCGTGACCACCCGCCAGAGGAGATCACGTACGACAAGTCCGTCGGTCTTCCAGTACGTCTGACAGGTTCCTTTGCATCTCTCTCTACCTTACGATGCCTTGCCTCGCAGAGCCACTACGCGACGTATCTACGCCCTCTCATCAAGCTTGAAGACGTTGTGCTCACGGTTGGCTACGGCCTTGGAGGGAGCTACTCCCTGTCCGAGAACAATGGCATCCTCTGGACCGGCGAGTGCGACGCGTGCATGGACATGATGTTCTCCGTGGGAGACTTCAGACAGGACTGGGTCGAGAAGAAGAAGACGATGATGCGGCCTCCCTCGCTGAAGACAGTGAAGTGGCGATTCCGATACAAGAACGTCCTGGATGTCGTCGTCGACCTCGACGAGGACGAAGACGAGGTCGCGCAGACCGCGGACGAGTCCGATGCGGGGAACTTGACCATCCCAGGCTCCGACGAGTAGTGCCGCGCTCAGAGCTCTATTAGAGCCGTGGATTCCTCATCTCATCCATATACACTCACGTCACTCGCAGCCGGCTGCTGAGCCATCGTTCTTCCAACGGGTACTCACTCAATGCAATTCTTGCATGGGTGGCGCACCCCTCGCATGAAGGTTTGCCACACCCTGTATACGCGTCAGCTAGCACCCTGACTCCTCTTCACTCATGTCCTTGCAATAGCTATTACCACTTGCACCCGAATTCCTGGAGGCACATATACGATCGCCTCAACTTGTGCAATTCGCTCTCGCTAACTCAAAGCACGCAATAGGGTGTCCATAATGTTCCGGCTCCTGCTCTATGCCCCAGAAACACCTCATTCAACTTGGACCTGCTCACAATCAGGAGGGAACGTACTTCCCGGATGTCGTCTTACGCCTCTTGGACTTGTCCTCACTTGTCGACGGTGGCATCCACGTCGCTGTCCACCCCCTCCTCCCTCGTTCATCGGCATATACCTCAGCTACTGGACTTTGAACACATCTGTGATTATTGGGCGGCTCCGGACGGTTGCAGGAACCATGGCCACGACATTTACCTCGCCGGCAACATATTGGCGCCTTCTGCATTCAGAGGCATGCCAGTGAGGACCTCGCAGGATCTCCCATTGCCACGTTCACCGATCTCGTCTTATGTAGGCCACTTTGCACCGCAAAGGATGGCGGAACAGTAGCCACGATCGATCACATGGGATGCAGCGCTTTCGTGCCTCGTCACGTGTAGCCTCGACACCCACTCTGCGGCTCTCTCAGCACATACCCCAGACGCTGCAAGCATTCCCTCCTCCTCGTCGCACGCCAGCTTGCACAGAGATTGCGCCGCAGACGCATCACAAACGCCTTGGCCAATTCAAGCTGCGCCCGAGCATGTACTACGCACACGTCCGCCACCAGAGCCATATTGGCTAGTTCATGATCATGCCTGGGAATAAATCGCGCCCGTCACGCCTGGCACGGGCGCTGACGTCGGGAACTTGGCTCCACGGCGAAGTCATGCTCGACTTCCAGACAAGTAGCGTATCGAGTTGAGGTTCGGTTGCTATTTTCCGTACTGTGTTCTCAGCAGACTCACCTCCCTGTATCCATGCAACTTGTTCACACAGGTCATACTAAGTGGCGTTCCTTAGGCTCTGCTTCGACTGCGGCCCCGACCTCATGACCTTTGATGAGAAAATCTCCTTGCTTATCCGGACCCTCGTATAGCGGCGGGAGGTGGAGCTTCGCGCATCGCTCACTTATATAATTCCCAGGACGATCATGCCTTCCTGAAGTCGCCAGACGCGTAACTCATATCGCTTCACTTACCTCGAGCTCAGCTATTTACAGCAAAGCCCATGTTCAGCGTACCCATAGTCACTGTCCCTATGCTCGAAGTCCCTTTACTCCTTCCTCTTTAGCGGATACCTGAGCTATAGGGTGCAGGTTCCCCCTGCAGGCTACCAAGCACCCCCGGGCGATTGCAACAAGCGTGATGCCGCCGAGTTCTATACGCGCAATAAGTCTATTTTCGCGGTAATCCCTCGGTTCATGGGCGTAAGTAGGTTTCTACCTAGTAGTCCGGGATAGTACGTCAACGAACCATCATCGACTTGAAGATTGCATTGTTCACTACGAATGTAGCGGAATCCGCGGCCGTTCTAGAGCAAGCATATCATTCGGCGTTCTTGTAAACCGTGCTTTCCTTCCTTGTGCCAGCTACGACGCCTCAGCCGCTTCCTCTGTATAGGAGCCTTCGGCGCTTGCTCGGCATCTCTCTCGTTACTTATCGTCGGAGGGCTCATGCGAATATCCGCCTACCGGACGCTTGGGCGGTTGTTTGTTGGAGAAGTAGTGCCGCAGAAGAAGCACAAGCTCGTTACGACCGGGATGTACGCCTACGTTCGACATCCCAGTTATAAGGGGTGGGGTATGCTTATGCTAGGGCACTCCGTCGCGCTCACTACGCCGCGCTCGTTCCTAGCAGCCATCGACGTGTGGAGCTCTACCCTTGGGACCATCGTTGCCCTCATGTTGGTGAGGCTCTGGATGATGTTCATCCCGTTACTCTGTGTCAGGACGAAGCGGGAGGACGAAATGTTGCGGCAGGCATTTGGAACAGAGTGGGAGGAGTGGGCGAAGAGAACGCCGTATGGGCTAGTTCCATACGTTTGGTAAGCTCGCAGGTCAACATATCATGCTCTCCTCCCGACAATTGTCACTCTGAGGCTAAGTACAAGAGAAACAGGTATATTTTGTAGGGAGAGCCTTCTCGTCAGTACAGCAACCTGGAATCTACATCTAGATCCTTGTAGTAGGTAGATTCTTGTAGTAGGTGCTCATGTGCTATACAACGCAAGCGTTTTCTGCAGCAAGTTGTTTGTCCCATCTAATAACCTACAGATAAGCTTACTTACCCTTCCATCGCCCCTTTACGGATAACGTCCTTTGTGGAACCATATCGCTACCAGGGGTACTATAACAGCTGACAGCATTTGAATGAGATATGCCTGATGGCTATATGCCAGGGTCGGGAGTAATCGGCGCTCATAATCAGGGTGCACTGGCGGTGAATTCCAGCCGAAAGCGGCTATCAAAGTTAAACTTTTCCCCACGCTCTCGCCAAACAGGTCAGAATGTGCTCGCTTCGAACTCCGTGTACTCGCACATCTACCGAGATGCGCTGTCGCACTACCCTACTCAGACTGGATAACCTGATGGGCTGGACTGCTTCAAGTTGAACGGTTCCTGAACCGGACAGCCAAGCTCGTATACGTGCGTGTGTTCCCGTCTGTCGTGAGTCAAATACAGCCAGGTCAACATCGAGACTCATCCTGAGAAGAACAGTATATGAGCTGATAGCAGCCGAAGTACAATCTAGCTTGGGTCTCGAAAGGTCGGTATCAGGATCCTCGCTATCCTGAGACTCGGCGCGGTCTGTCATAGTTCGAGTGTCCCGGCGGCATCGACGGGTGACTAATGTAGCAGAAGCTCGGACTGAGGTACATGCAGGCACGAGAAGCTCTTCCCGCAGAAGCACTGCCTCGACACCGGAACGAGTAGCTGAGGTGTGTGTGTGCCAAGTGCCTCTTCGATGACTGATCGGCCAAAGTAAGGAAATAAAGGGTTTGTTTTACTCGCCAGCGGCTGCCCATGAATGCTTGGTTGGCAATGTCTCTGAAAGTGGACCAAGCACTGCCGGACATATGTGCCACACGTGTCGTAGGGGCGCCTGCCATTCGAAAAGTAAGCGGTATGCACAAACCGGCACCAGCATCATCTCTTTCGCACAAGATCGACGTTTGAACACGGCCGACGTAACGACGGCATGTCATTTCCTCGGGAGAAAGCTGTCAATTACCTCGCGACTTGTAAGCTCTGCCATTTTCGCTAGTCTTCCCACCTCATTGTCGTTAGGCGAGCCGAGGGAGGCTGTCTTTCGCATTGGCATCCACGGGACCCAGAGAGCTTCGATCTGCAGGATCCGCTTTGACAGGCATGCCATAGGTTTTAAAAGGTCATTGGCAGCCCGCGTGCCTCCCCATGCCCTCCCTCACCTTGCTCTGAGCACTACGAGATGGACTCCCTGGCGCTTGATGAGACACTCGGAGCTGCTTTCCTCGGTATGTCCCAGTCATCCTCTCGTACGAATACAGTCATGACATGCGCCACCATAGGTACAATCGCGACTTCATGGTGAGTGTCCGACATACAACGTTAGGTATGAAGGTTGATCTTTCGTAGTTTTTACGGCATCACTGTAGTGCAGACCTACATATATTTCAAGCGTTCTGCCAAGGATTCCGCATTCTTGAAGTTTCTGGTTAGTCAATACCTTATTCAACGACATCTAGTCATCTCAAGTCTGCATGACAGGTGTTCTTCCTATGGTGGAGTTTCACCGTGCACTCGAGATTTACACAAGGGCTAAATGACCAAAATGGCTGACAGGGTTCTAGACAGTCTGCACTTGGCATTGATAGTACATTCGATCTACTACTATGCCGTAACAAATTTCATGAATCCCAAGGTGCTCGCTTCGCCCACATGGTAAGTCATTATACGTATATTCTCTTCGCTTGACCGCTCAATAGCATTCAGGAGCATATTGGTGCGCTAGGTCCCTCGTCTCCTCATCCACACAGCTTAAAATACCCTATATATAGGTTATGATTGCATGCACAGTAAGTGCGCGATTGCTGATATGGATAGACAGTTTCCCTGATGCTGAGCCCCCCTTGATTGTAGGGTGTGAGTGATGTCACTGTCCGAAGGTAGGGTCTCCCATCCAACACACCAAAGCTCCCGTCCTCACTAGTCTCGTAGTATTTTCTGCCACCGCGTATGGAGATGTAAGCAAATTGCGTTGCATGTGGGTTGCAAGCAAGCCTTACCCTCTTCTCGTCCTAGTGAGCAACGGAAACTGGCCACTGGCTATCGCTATCGTGGGTATCCCACCTACTATACTAAGTCGTCGAAATCCCACTGATGATTGTGTAGATGGTTTCCTCTCTGACCGTCTTTGGTGAGTCAGTCTACGCATCTGAAGTCGGTCAACTTCAATCGTAGATGATTCCCTTAGGTGGTAGCATTGGTAGGATTGTCGTGACTCCTCTGCGCTGCCCCGCTCTAACGTCCGAATGCGTATACAGCTTTTGCGGTAAAGAGGTGATCCTCGGTTTCTAACTGCCTGCCTTATGGATGTGAAACTGACGGCTACGCAAACAGTTTCGGTGTGGGCACATTTGCGGGGTTCTCAAAGATCGCGGTATGTCCAACACACACCTCCCAAGTAGATATCCAGTATGAACCTCTCCGGCACATCGTACCAGGATATTCTCTACGTGAGCTTCGGCGCAGGAGTGGTAGCAGACGTCCTCATCGCAGGGGCCTTGTGCACCATCCTCGCAAGATGCAAGACTGGATTCCGGAAGTAGGTTACTCGACCCCGCTTTGCACCTTCCACACGTACCTAACAGAGGTCACACACAGAACGGACTCCGTCGTGCGGACCCTCATCATGTACAGCATCAACACTGGCCTTTTGACTAGGTAGGCTTAATATTCTCCACATGAGTTCGTAGGCTAACACACATACCTCTTCTAGTCTTTGTGCTCTGTCATGCCTGATCACCGTACGTGTCATATGAGTGGCCCCAAGGCAATGACCGTCCAGCTGAGCGAAATCCGTCCAGTACGCTACCATGCCGAACAACTTCATCTTCATCGCCTTCTACTTCGTCCTGCCCAAACGTGCGTATCCCTCGTAATCCTTCACGCGAACCCAGAACACTCACAGAAGGGACGTCAGTCTTCCTCAACTCGCTGCTCGCCACGCTCAATGCGCGCGAAGCCCTCAGGGACGCAGGCGCCGGGGACGTGGTCTCGATACCGCTCACGAACACGTCCGGCTCCACGCGCATGTCCTTCGTGGAACGGTCGCAGTACATCCACGGCGATAGCGCACTCAGCGGCGGGGTCAGTCATGCTGGACTGTATGCCACCGATGAACCTGTCCGTCGCTAACGCAGCGTGCTGTTTGACTAGATTCACATCAAGACTACGACAGACACTATGACCGACCTTCAACAATCTGTCAATGTCCACGAGAAGGTCTGTTACTTCTACTTGGGCGGCGCAAGTCGTTATCGCATTTTTACTGATTGCAGATCTATCATAGAAGGGCGTGAGCGGATGGAGATCCTCGTATTCTGCAAGCCGGAGGCCGGGCGGCTTGGCGTAACCTTCATCTGTATCTACAGGACTCGGTTCCCTGTTGTAATCCACCTGCTGTGCTCACGTTCGTTCACTTCGCATAACATGCATTGCCATTGGAGTGTAACGATCTACTATTCTGTGCTGGGTGCGGCGTGTGCGAGTGCTGCATAGCGCTTGCAGTCCACATTCGCATATGCTCTGTAGGTCCGGCAACATCGACGTCAAAGGAAGGCCGGGACTCGCATCCGATTGCCGTGCCTCAGCATCGTGTACTCCATGCATGATACATGGGTGCCGGTTAGTACGGACGTCTTGCAGCCATGCTCAACTCAATGGCGCTCTCGATATGATACAGCATCGATATTCCCATAGATGTTGTTACACTGTCCGTAGTATTACACGATCGTCATCGTACAAAGTTCCGCCCGTATGGCTTACTTGGTGGCGTGGGCAGAGTCGTGGGGAGGCTGCGATACATCGATGACGCCATGAGAACCAAGGGCAAGGTGTGGATGAAGAGGACGGAGCTTACAGCGGACGTGATGCCGAGGACGCGGGCGAGCGCGTCGAACTCAGCCTGCGTGGGTTGGGTCGCTCCGGTGCAGACTAGAGGCAGCCACCACTCAGTCAGGATCCTAGTAGAAGGGGCGACGCGCTGAGGAGAGGGGGGGACGTACCGTCAATGACGTGTTGCTCGGATTTGCCGATCTGGGCAGCGATCTGGGCGTACGAGAGACCTGTGGATGGCGGACGCAGTGAGTCTTACGTCTTGGGAACCGGCGAGCACATCGGCAAGCATCGGATGCACGATGCAATGCGATTCCGGGCGAGGCGGTAACCAGACGCACCCTTCTTCTCCTTCGCAGCAGCAAGGGCAGCGCACTGAGGGTTGGGGGCCATGGTGTTCAGGTGGACTGATCAAAGATGAAGTGAGGGGGATGGGGTGGTCAAGGCGACTCCTGCTGGGTCCTCTAGATCTTAGGGTATATATAGTAGGACAGGTGGTCGTGGGGAGGCGTGGGCCAAGGATGGAGTTCTTCCCGCTGCAGCTTGCTGCCCGCCCAGGATCAGATGAATGATTGTTATCGAATGTAATCTTATCTCAATGTGGCATTCGTGCTGTTTGATTCTCTGCCAGAGAACCCAATATTTGCGTCCCAAGTATAGCTCTAGCTCTAGTCATGGAGTACACATACGCGGAACCGGACTAGACGGAAAGAGCGGTTGAGTATGGTACCGCCATTTGCTCTCGTGGAACGATGGGGCATGTGTAGAGGAATGGGCATCCAGGTATAGGTATTGGGTAGTGCTATTTCGTGAGAATTACAGCAACGAGCCTATAGAAAGGCAGGAATTCTGTAATCATGATTCACTCAACTTTGAGAGGGGTCCATAATCGGCGAGCTCGGGGGCATGAACATGCCACAGATGCCCAAGGCGGGGTGATCTGAGGCTTTGAGAACATACATTTATCATGGAAGACGTCGCAGTCATTCAGACATGGTCTGCAAGGCCTGGTCGTGGTTACGTGAACTCTTTTAGAAGGGTGAATGGACTCAGAGTCCGATGGCGCCTGGGACGACGCGTCGCGCCTCGCACGTGGGATGCCCCGGTGCACGTGAGAGAGCTTATAACTAGCGCCCATGGGAGGGACCGAAATCTTGTGGATTGGTGTGCTGCTTCACTCAACGTCCTCAGGCACCTTCCCTCAAGACTATCCACGAGCTAGATATCATGGTCAGTGTCCATACATGCCTTCTGGAGGATGTGGAGGAAGCTTGGGGAGGAGTAACGGCCGGACTCAGGATGGATGGGCTGACGACAGTGTGGATGTAGGCACCCAAGAAGGTCAAGGTCCAACAGGACGCACCTGTCGCCCTCGGGCCCCAGGTTGCTGAGGGCGAGCTCGTCTTCGGTGTTGCCCACATCTACGCTTCCTTCAACGACACCTTCGTCCACGTAACCGATCTCTCCGGCAAGGAGACGATCTCCCGCGTTACTGGTGAGTTTCCTTATACCCCGTTCCCCGAAGTGATTCTGAGATCATATCCCTTTGCAGGTGGCATGAAGGTCAAGGCCGACCGTGACGAGTCCTCTCCATACGCGGCCATGCTTGCTGCCCAGGACGTCGCTGCGCGCTGCCGTGAGGTCGGTATCACCGCCCTCCATGTCAAGCTCCGGGCGACTGGCGGTACCGGCACCAAGACCCCTGGCCCCGGTGCCCAGTCCGCTCTCCGTGCGCTCGCCCGTTCCGGCATGCGTATTGGCCGTATTGAGGACGTGACCCCCGTCCCCACCGACTCCACCCGCCGCAAGGTACTTTCATTGCCTAACTTGTTGCCATGTTTCAAGTTGTTCACATGCCCGTACTCTAGGGTGGTCGCCGTGGTCGTCGTCTGTGATCGCTTCATCACAACGCGCACAAAACATCATCTCCCGGATTGCTGCTACTATGTATACCTGTACATGCTAGTCGCCGGTGTGGAATGATCAGAGGTCGCTGCTCGACGCGCAACAGGTTCTTTGGCTTGTGCAAAGACCTGCCCCGTGGTCGATGCCCATGTTTCTCAGATACTATGTGTGCCTAGAGAGTGTGCGATTATGCCGTGTATTGAATATGTTCCACCTCTGCTTCTTAGGCTGAGGAGGGATAGTGTTGGGGTTGTGACTGCGTGAGTATCTGGGATGTGGCGGAGGGCGCATCGGTGACGGATCCACAAGTGTGCTAGATCAACATGTCGGTTGCGCCCACAACGTTGCCGAGGCTTGCCTCATACCGTCAAATTACCCACAACTTCAGTCTTCCTGCAAGCCAGTGGCCTCATCATGGAGCTGAAGCTCGTGTACCGGGGACTCCGTCAAATATCGGACTGGGCTCTGCGTTACTATTCCGAGGTCTATGTTGACGGCCAAGAGAATGTGCCGACCGACGGGCCTCTCATTCTGTGCGTCTATCCCCCCTGCGGTGCATTCCGTCACCCTTGCCGACTCGTGCTGCCACTATACATACCTACAGTAACACGGGATGCAATGGACTAACACACCTCCTCTCGTACCAGAACGTCATGCCACCATAATGAGATCCTGGATATCGCCACACTCTGTGAGTAACAGCACCAACGCCTCCATCCTCCCTACCCTCTCCTACCCGCTGACATGTGGCTCATCCCGACGTACGTCTCACAGCGGTGACGATACCCCACGGGCGGCCCGTGAGTTTCTGGGCGAAGTCGACGATGTTCAAGAACCCGCTCGTGCGCGCCGTCCTCCTGTCTTCGGGCAGCATCCCCGTGGCGCGTAACCCCAACGCCGCCGCCCTTCCCTCCGAGCACCCGAATGGCAACGGCAACGGCAACGGAGCAGGCAACGAAAAGACGAGCGCGAACGCTGCGCTGTTCAAGGAGACATTCAGGGCGCTCGCGCGGGGCGAGGCCATCGGGGTCTTCCCGGAGGGCACGAGCTACACGGAGCCGAGCATTGTGCAGGTGAAGGACGGGGCGAGCCGCGCGGCGCTCGAGTACGTGAAGTGGGCGAAGGAGACGAAGGGCGGGCAGGGGAAGAGGTTGAAGATCGTGCCCGTGGGGATCGTCTGGACGGACAAGACGCAGTTCCAGAGCAGGGTGAGTGCTCGGCCAGATGAGTGGAGGGGTCTGTTGCACGCGTTCGTGTCTGACGTTCAGGGTGCCTGCGTGCCATTAGGTTTGCGTGAGGTCAGTCCGTTACTCTATGTCCGCTGATTGCGCGCGGAGCGCTGACGGACGCGCTTGTAGGTGGGGAGAAGCCATTGATGTCGAGGCGTTTGCGGCGGAGCACGCATCCAAGGGGGACGCTGGCAATGACGAGCCCGACTCGCGGGATGCCGTCAAGGCGTTGACCGCTGAGATAGAGAAACGCTTGCTGGGCCTGACGATCAATGCTCCAGACTGGTGAGCAGGCCGCTGTAGATGGGTATATGCGCTCCATCTCACTCCACTCTGTCTCAGGGATACCCTGTATGCGACTATCACGGCGAGAGACATCTTATGGGCCGACGATGAGCTTCCGTCTTCTCATTTCGTTTGGATCTCCCAAAAGTAGGTCTGCTAGCAATAAGCGTAGCGTCCTGCCCACGCTGACTATCTCTCGCCACGCCAGCCTCATCGACCAGTTCTCCGACCCCCACGCCGCGTCCTCGTCAGTGAAGGCGAAACAGGCTCTCCTTAGATATCACTCCCTCCTGTACCACTCCAACGTCTCTCATGACGCTCTCAACGCTCTCCTCCCCGACATCAATACGCGCCCCGGCCGCCTCCACGCCCTCGCTATCGTCCTCCGACAGCTGCTCGTCAGCGTCCTCCACCCGCGCTTCGCCCTCTCCCTTCCCGTGCTCGTCCTCCACATCCCGGCGTATGCCACGGGGCTGCTCGCCGGGCGCATCCTCGGCAAGGCGGACGAAGAGGAGACCAAGGCGCAATTCAAGGCCGTCTTCGGCGGTCTCGCCGCCGCCGGGGCGTACGCTGCGGTGACCCGGGCAATAGCACATGGGCTAGTTGCAGACTCTGTTGGCCCTCTTGCGAGGTTCGGCGACAAGGTGCCGAGGATCCTTCTTCCCGCTCTACGGTCGCTGTGGACGGCGGGGCGCTGGTTCTTCACTGGGGAGGAAGGGCTGTTTGGGAAGGCCAAGGCCGCGCTTGGCGTCTTCGGCATCTTCTACGTGACGAGTTTCGCCCTCTCTCGTTGGCACAACTACTGGGTCGGCTGTAAGTGTTGTTTCGGTCATCGTGGCATCACTATCTGTACTGACAGATTTTCCGCATAGCGAACTACAAACAGTAAGACTCGCGATTCCAATCTGTCTGCCACTCGAACACTGATCATCATCTCCGCACAGATTCAAGCGGCTGCTCACGTCGTTCAAGCTGTTCCTTGGAGTCCTGTCGCCCAAGTCGAGTGCTCTGACGGGCGCCAAGCTAGAGCCGTATACCAAGCCGTACATCCCCCCACCAAACCCCTACATCAAGCAACGTGCAGGCACGGCTGAGCCCTTGCCTCGACCCCACCCGCCATCCACCGCTTCACGGAGGCTCATCCGCCCCCTGCTCGACGCGCGTGCAGATGCCACGCGTGCGATGTGGACGTTCATGATCGACTCCAAGTACCTGCACGGGCTTGTGTCCGCGAAGGTGCGAGGCGAGGCGTGGATGCAGGTTGGGCCTGCAAAGAGGCACGAGTTCCAGCCGTAGGATTCAGTAAGCGTCGTTGCTATGATTGATTCGTAATACAGCATCCAGTGATTGTACGTGAGCGTATGCGTGTGCGTGAATTCGTAAGTTATCCGTTGACACGGACGGAGTAATGGTTATAAACGTAAGCGTGGTATTGGTACCGTGACGTCCTCCAGAGAGAAAGAGACCTAGCAGGGCTGAGGGATAACGTATGGCAAGGGCGAGATAGTAAGTGCAAATAAGTCAATGAGGACAGGGCGATATGACGTGCCAGATATAGCGTACTCTTGGGGAGGGTAATCGAGGATCCAGGAGAACCGTGAGCGAACCCGAATGATTACAGGAATACACGAAAGAGTTACAGGGATGGGTATTACGATGTAGCAACATGGGCAGCGTCGACTACAACAACAACACGGGAAGTCTAGTACGTAGAGTGCGGGATACCAACAATTTCAGCACGAGAGCTGTGAGAGACGTTGTAGGATAGCAAGGGGAGCAACCAGAGAGACGACGATAGAATATGAGTAAAGCGACACGAGCGAGACCAAACGAGATTATGCACAACATGAAGAGTACGAGGAGAGAACCAAAGGGGAAACATAAAGGAGTATCTGGGTTACATCGAACGCATATAATGTTACACACCGGGTTTTCAATGCGAATGAGACAGAGTGTCACAAGGACGTCTAGTGGCCGCCCCTGGCATTCCAGGTGCCGCCAATGAGCTGGCTTGCACGGCGGCCATTGACAGGACGTGGGGCGTGAATACCCGCAGCCTGTTCTCCGCTCCCGGTGACAGCAGAGGATGTGCTTGGGGCTTCAAAAGTGAGGCCAAGGCCATCGCCGTTCGACTGGAGAGAACGAGGGATGGACTCCTGGCTGGGAGGGGGGCGAGACTCAGAAACGTAAGGACCGCGAGAAGATCCGTATGACTGCATGTCCGAAGGCATGGGCGTCCACGTCGCGACGTGCTCAGGTGCCCCATTCAGCAGAGACGCGTTAGACGCACGGCGAGCCTTGCGGTTGTCAGATGACGAACGATGCGAGGCCGAGGTGTGCGCGCTGTAGGAGCTGTGGTGACTATGCGAACTTTGGTGGCTGTAGGTGCTCTCGGCATGCGAGCGAGTGGAGGCGCCACTGCGAGGGCGGGAGTCGGCCGGAGGGGATTGATCATCTGGCGAGGGACCGCTGGAAGCATTGTTGCTCGAGGGTTGCGACGGCCTCGAGCTGTAGAGCGCGAGACCGGTGCGCGAGCCGACCATGACCCCAGACTCATCTCGAGACAACGAAGAGTGTCCGGAGGGCTGACGCGAGTGATGGCGAGACGACTCCCGCGATTGCGACTCGGCCAGCTGCTGCAACGACCTGTTGACCTCCTCGAGATCCTGGAGGCTGCCGACCACACGGGAGCTACCGGAGCTTGGGTTCAAGAGAAGCCCCGCCGGGGCGCTCGCACCCGCATGGTGATCACGCGAGGCGATGGACCTGCCAGAAACTGAGCGATCGTCATCGAGAATTGAGGATCCCTGCCTTGGGGTAATGGTGTCAGTAAGGACGATGGGCCCCCCATTCAGCTCCCCGATCGGTAACTGCTCCAGGGACTCGGCACGAGTGTACGGGTTGGGATCTCTGAAGTTGTTCAGCTGGAGGTCACCAAGGCTATTGTTCCGGGACTCCATGGTGCCCCAGGAGGATGCAGCTGATGGAGTGGCCGGTGGCTCTCCGGATGTCTGGGGAGCCGGAGGCATAGGCAGGGACGTCAGATTGAGACCAAGAGATTCGGCATTGCTCGCAGCCCTGCGTCGTCCAGAAGAAGTGCGCAATGTGCTTGAGGGAGCAGTAAGGATAGGCATCCCGCTAAGGGACGTGCTCGAACTATTAGCCGAAGCAGGAGCCGCACGGTCAGACGACGACGGCGGGTTGCGGAAGAGGGTCGACGCTGCGGTGGACGATTCCAGCAAGGCGTTGTACTGGCCTTGCTGGACTGCGCTCCTACTAGAGCTCGCCATGGGAGCCTCCGGCATGCCTGATAGCTGTAACGGGTTGTGAGCGGAGGTGCCTCCATCCCGCCTCCAATCGTCGTCGACTTCCGACAGCTCTTTTGCTATCACATAGGGATACCGACTCTCGGTACCCCGAGCGCGGACAGGGAGCTTCGCAGCCTCTTCTTCCCGGATCCAGCCGATACCGCCCATGTGAGGGAGGTAAGCCTTGACGTAGCCCTCCTTGTTAGCAGGGCCCTGACGCAGCGCATGCCGGTCCCGTCCGTCAATGGGTGGATCAGGGGCGGTGATACGAACACGGGCTGACCCTGTCTCAGCAGCAGGGCGGGCCGCCAGAGTGGGCTGCATCATGGGAGGTGGGGGAATTACCGGAGGAGGTTGAACGGGAGGTTGAACGGCGGAGGAAGAGGGCGCGACACTGGGTACAACAGTAGAGGATACAGGGTTGCTGTTCGTGTATCCCATCGAATGCTCCCTCAGCTGGGGTAAGGCCTGTTTCTCGCTAGTTGTTAGCTCGCGAGGAGGATCAATGCCGTTGATCCAAATCAACGTGTCTGTGACACGAGGAGCACTCGGCGCCCCCGCAGGGTAATAGACCGGTTGTGGAATGGGGCGTTGGCTTGTGGGTACAGCCGAAATGAGCGGCCGGGGAGTCACGTCGATGTCTGAGCCCTCCAGCCGGGGCGGGATGACACGTTGAGAGTACGGCGCCCCTGGAACAATGAGGTGAGGACGGCGGGTCTTCTCTTGGCGAAGCTCCTCACCGTCGGCGGTACCCGTGTACCGCGACTTTTGCTCTCTATCGTTCGACGGACCTGGATCAGCAAAATGAACCGAGGGCGCGCGGTGGCGTGAGCCCGTCGAACCGTTTGAGCCATTGGAACTAATGCGTGACTGGGAGGATGGGGCAACGGTGGTGGGAAGACCGAGGCCTAATGGGGCGGTGCTCCGCTGGGTAGAATGCGCGGCTGGCGCAGGAGCCTCGCGCGAGAAAGACGTGACGAGAGGGATATGCTCTGGTGGGCGCGGCAACGGGTTCGAAGAGGTCGTGTAACGGCTCATCTCGCCTTGCATCCTGGCATTCTCTTGTCGGAGCGCAGCCAACTCGGCCTCTGACTGGGCGATGCGGCTGAAATGAAGGCACCGTCGATGAGATCTTCTCATGCATAGTGGGAGGTTTAGTAAGAGGCCGCTCACGCTTCGTAAGTTGCTCGCATCGTGTCTTGTTGCTTTAGCAACTGGTCCTCGACAGTCCTCGCGATCTCCAAGTCTCGCTGCTTCAGATCTGCGTGCCTCTCGTGAGTTACACGCAGACGTTCGAACATCTCTCTATCGGCAGCTTTTTCGATGCGAAGCGACTTGATTTCATGTAAGGCGAACATAGCGTGCCGCAACGCAACGTGCTGAAAAAAAGACGATGCCACGTTAGGTCGATCTTCCTCACGTCGCGTGTGGCGACGGGAAAAATTAGAGCGGGATGACTCACTGCAGGACCCGGGTGGTTATTCAACCACTCCGTCGCCTCCTCCACTATCGCGTCGATGTCGACCGGGTCAGCATCCTGGTCAAAGAGCATGCCAACCCGTCGCAACAGCTCGTTCTCCTCCGCCATGGGACCAGTGGGGACGGAGCCTTCGCCAGGGGCCTTGTCGACGTGCAGTTTCTTGATGCGCTCCGGGTTAAACGCCTTGCGGCACATAGGACAGTTGCTGGGGTTCACCGTGCGCAGGCAGCTGTGTCCAAAAATCACATTTTATAAGCACCCGCCCAATCACTCCGCGCTCCACCCAACCACATATTGGGAGTAACTAGAGTAGGAAAGCTGGATACGCACTCATAGCAGAAAATATGGCCGCACTGAATTGCGTGAGGGGACTTGGCGGGGGTGGACCAGGTGTACGCGTCCAGGCAGACGTCGCACTGGGAGGAAGGGTGGACGACGAGCATCGCTGCTCTCTAGCCTCGTACGGCCCTGTCTGCTGCTGTTTAGGTGGTTATATGCGTCAAATATAAGGCTTTTTGTGTACAGAAGGACAGACAGGGACGGAGGGCGGCTGAGAGGGCGTAGTGGGAGGTGGGGAAGTATCTGGACCTTGCGCTGCGTCTCTCAGGCTCGCCAGTCGAGCCATCACAACAACACAACAACTACCACCCATATTGGGCAAGTGCAGCGCCCCGCCCGCGCTCCGCCCGCGCTCCGCCCGCTGTGTTCTGTTGTCCGCACCCAAGTCCGCACAGGAAATTGAAGCACGCTTGGGAATCACGAGGCATCCGAGCCATCTGGACAAGAAGATCACAGAGAGCTGAAAGATATCAGCTGTGACAGCAAGTAGGACAGCCTCCTCTCGCGGCAGTCATGGATAGCTGGATAGATGTTTATGGTAGCCGGATAGAGGTTTCCCGAGGCGTAATGGCGCTTCTACTTCGCATGACGACGGGAACTGAGCTAACAGAAGTGATCGACCCGTAGATCGATACTAGGTGGATAAAATACACGTGGAGCGATCAAACTACGGTGAGAGAGCATACTAACATACAGCTTGTGGGCAAAGGTCAGGAAGGACATCGAGATAGGTGCACCGAGTACGGTAGTCAATCGTAAGTGTCTAGGTCTATGTCTGGATCTCCAGAGCAGAGGTCACTTGGCCCCGCACTGGTTGAGACCTGCACCGCAGAACTGGGCCGCGAACACCCACAGAAGCACCTATGTGGTTCGGAAGCATGATAAGCCACGAGTCCCAGTCGACAGTGCATTGATTAGGAGACGTACCAAACCGACCACAACACTCAGCGCCAAGATGCGTGTGTTCTTCCACCACATGCTGCGGCGCACCTGCCTGGCGCCTCGTCTGAACGCAGTCGCCTGGCTTGCCATCGTGTCTGTCTTGTCGACAAGCAGCTCAATGCGCTCCCCCCGAGACAGGATCTGCTCGACATTCTGGACCATGATGTCCTTGACCTGGGCGAGCTCAGTTTGCGCACGGGTGAGCTCGTCAGTCGGTGGGTTGGTGTTGTATTGCGTCATGAGCTGGGCGATTACAGGGCCGAAGGAGCCTTGTAGCGAATATGCTGGTGGATCTGACGTGGATGAGGACGACGCTGCTGGGTACGCAATGAATTTCTGCTGCAACTCGGCTAGGAACGTGAATGGCATTCGTCTGTAAGTCATGATCAGTGGGCAAGGTTCATTGCAAAGGATCAATCAGCTTACCGTCCAGCAGCGTCGTCCGCCATTACGAGGTAAGTAAATCCGCCCTCCGAGATATAGTGGAACAAGTATTGCTCCCAGACATAAGTGAGTTTGCTGTTATTCGGTGGGATCTTAGACAAGATGGTCTGCGTCGCTGAAGCAAAAAGTCAGTACGCCTCGCAAGAGTATGGTGATGGAGCAGATATAGAAAATGAGACCATTGTCACTGGCAGTCGAGAATCGCTGCCGTGAGCCACCACCGACTGCGCGAATCAAGATGCGGTTATGTAGTCGTGACTAGTGTAGACGGATACCCTCGGAATCCAACACTGGTGAGCAACCTTCTTTCGCCTTTCGAGCAGAGAGATCAGATGTCGTTGCAATGTTGCAGAGTACTCTCGGTATTGATACCGGCAGGGATTGACTTCAGTACTGCAATCAAATGCCATACAGAGAGCAAATGTTAACTTGTGAGGTTTCAAAGCGTCGGTTGGGGCCAATGTGTAAAAGAGCCGGTGCATAGGTTATAGAAAGCGAAGGAATCCCAGACGGGTGCCTAAACGTCCGAGGCTCATAACATTTGCATAGGGCGACGGAGGCAGAACTTGCGGGGAGCAGCAGACGTAGCAGTCGCTCGGGTGACTTTGGCTTCTGATTTTGCTCTGGAACATGATGGACACGATGAGGAGTCCTACTCACCTTGAGAGAAATCCCTCTGTCCGCCCTGGTGCTCAGCCAAAATGGTGGATCCTTCAGCTACAAGTGCGTGGATCTGTACGACATTTGAGGATGAGTGGCCTATATGTACAAATATAAGCGTGAGCTACTTGCCAGAGACATGATCAAACGAAGTTGGCCCACGACGTGAAATGGTGAGGAAGAGATGGAGAACTGCGCGAACTTGGTCTACAACTCGCTCGAACTTGTGGCCGCTCCGCCCGCCGGCACCGTTACCAGCTTGCGTCACCGTCACACTTGCCCTCGGCCGTGACATTGAGTGACAGGGGAGTGTGTCACAATGCTTCTGTGGGTTCCACGTGGTCATGCGTTTGGACTCACGGGTCTCTGAGCTGGAGTTTGCCAGCACACGTTCACCTCCACACTCACCTCCACCATGGTATGTCGCTTGCTTTGGTTGTTTGGTGTTGCTAGCTTGCGCACATTTTGCTCATATGATGTTTACGTGCAGTCCGACTCCGATTCCTCTCGTCCCAAGACCCCAGTCGCGAAGCCCCCCGGTGCCCAAATTAGGTGGGCGATACAGTCTTCGTCTCCCGTGTCGCTCTACTAACGAGATATATCTTACATCCTTTTCTTTAGGCGGAGAGCGGCTGGTTCGCAGGTATCGAAGCCCAACTCGACACGCGCCGCGGGTGCCGGCGGCTCGTCCAACACCATGCTCAAGCTATACACGGACGACTCACCAGGACTCCGAGTGTAAGTCCTATTCGCAGCCTTTTTTTCCATTCCTTCGCAAACCAACATTTCGCAACCCATTTGTATCGCACTGTATGATACTTATTGACCGGCTTTGTATCTCCCAGTGACCCCTTCATCGTCCTTGTCCTTTCCCTCTCGTTCATTGCCTCCATCTTCTTCCTTCACATCTCCGCCAAAATCATCCGTGCATTCACCAAGTAATAGGATCCTCTCGCGGCTTCTTTTGAGTACTTGGCACACCTTGGGTTTGGTCGGGTTGGTTTCGCGAGTGTCCATGGACAGGAGGATCGACTTCGCCCCGCATGTTATTATCCCTCTCCTCCATATGTTGTTGGGGACCCCTGGTACGACTTGTCCGTTGTACCAAAACCGCTGCTCGCAGGAGCTTGCATACTATTATCTTATTCGCGCGCACGCATTATTTTTGACGTCCGGTGACTCCGTCTGCTGCTCGGTGGGGGGTACGTGTCTGCTACGTGGAATATGCCGGTATGTGCCCCTAGAAGGTTTGTCCCGCTGAATCTTCGGAGTCGCTGCTGCTGGGCTATGTCTAGACGATGCGCGAGGCTGCGGTTCACTTCTGTCCTATGATCTCCTGTGAGGCTACGCGCGGGCTATACGTTGCTCACTTCGGACATCTGCTCTTCGCCATCGTTCTGCCTCTAGGCCAAATACGCTCCGTTCTCCGTTCTGCAGCACGTTGTGGGGTCTTCAATGCTGCGAGTCCTATCCTTGCGTTCCGTTATCCGGCTTCGCGGTAAATGGCGACCCTGTTCCAAACAAACTAGAAGGTGCGACTCATGAAATCCTCATGCTTGCCCGACAGCTTTCCAGCGCTATCTCTCCGACCTGCCTACTTCCTTGCTCATTCGCCCATTCTTCCTCCTCCTCCCTCCCTCAGCTCGTCATCTTGAGTTCGCTGATATCACCTCAGGCATGAGAGTCCGGTGATCTGGTCATGTACCCAGCAAGTCTAACAGCGCTCACCACGCATTCGTTTAATTCGGGTTACATATACCCCACGGACGCTCTGGAAACCGCGGTCTCCGCAGAGAAGCGTTTTCCTGGACACACTGCTGGTGGTCCTTCCTCAAATTTTGACACTGCAAGCGCTCTATAGGCCTCTGGCATGGGTTCTCCCGAGTACGCCATGCCGTGAATCCTTGCATATCTGCTACCCGTGCTCTATAGAGTACGCGAGAGCATCGGACGACCACCGCGTTCTCATCCCGGTGAGGGAATGAAACAGGCTATGCCGGGATAGAGAAGAGCCTCGCGGCAGGCGCTGCAGCCTCGAGGAGCGGGGGAAGTGCCAGGAAAAAGGCTTTCCTGGGTTCCTGAATTCATATGAATACGCCGTACTCCCGGGCGGCGCGCAGCGGTATCATTGGTGTCTCGTTGGGCCTCAGCATGCGGTGCACCTGAGCGAATGCTGCAGTGGACGTCGCGCGTCAGGAAAAAGCTTTCAGAGTTTTATGACCCATTCACCGGGGGGGCATACGCAGAACGCGTGCCTATAAGCGCACCGGGCGCGCGCGGGAACGCAGCGCGGGATCATCGATCGGCAAATCCAGGTATACACGCCGTGACGGCCACAGCTACAACAGGCTGGTATGCTAGTATTAGTATTGCAGGCGAGCCTCATCAGGCTACATGGTATAACTGGCGGTATTGTACAGCGGGCGCACACGGGGACGTAGCCCGAGAGGGAGATACAGATGCGGATGGAGCATATAGTACAATGACTGTGTGTACAATGGCACGACTGGACGAAGCAGTGTTCGAGGCCGAGGCCGACACGGAGGCATGCACGGAGTGGAGAGGAAAAGAGGCAGTCGTGAGATGCATCGAAGGGTCGTAGAGACGTCGGGGTGCTGAAAATGTGCGAAAATTACTATGCGTATGCGTAGAAGCACGGGGGACGAGATGGTATGTGTGGATTTGGTGATGAGGTTTCCGAACGCGATGAGTAGGGTGTCGGATGTCGTGGAAACGCAGGCGGGCAAGAGGGCGAGGCCAATGGGAGAACGGGAAAGGAGCAGAGGGAGCGCATGTGCGTATAGATAGTACACGTTACAACCGCGGAATCCGTCAACGGCTTGCGCAGTTCGTGAGATAGGGGCTTCAGTACCGCATTTGCTCGGACCTCGGCTATACAGATGAGAGACAGCAAGGCAGGTGGGAAGGCGAGGGAAGCAGGAGATAGAGGGGGGACGAGAGTGCGGCGACGTTGTCGTCATCTTCGTGGGTTGTCAATTTCCGCATCAGAACCCAGGACACCAAAGACAGAGGAAGTGGAAAGCATAGCTGAGGCGAAGGCTTGGAAGACGAAGGGGGGTGGAATAAGTTAGCGAGCGCGAAGGTCGCCGAGTCCCCCGTGCCCGTCTAGCGGGAGCTAGAATGAACTTTGAGAATGCGCAAGAACAGCGCAATGGTTGCGCTGTGCACGCTGCAGACATGTGGACTCGACACACCTCGATCAGCGAGACCACATACTCGGAAGCGCGGATAGAACGACTACGAGACGCGCGGGGCCTCCTGCATGGCGCGTATGCTCCGAGTGAGACCAGACGTGTAGCCGGAGGGAGGAACGATGCCGAGATTGGTGGACCGGCCCCTGGATAAACTGCCGGTGTTGGCGGACATCGGAGGGTAAACATCCGTGGATTGCCTGCGAGATTGCGATGGGCGTGACTGTTGAGGAACGGGCGTCGGCTGCGGGTGTGGACCGTACACGGGATGAACGGGTGTGGCCCCGTCGCGCGTGGCAGTGACGTGCGAAAGATGAATCGAGGTGTTGGGCGAAGGCGCAGGGTGCACGGACATAGAAGAGGGAGGAGGCGGAATCACGGGAGGCGCGTTCTGGGAGTTTACAGAGGACGCGCGCGCGCGCTCGCGTTCGGCCGCAGCGGAGCTAGCGGACGACACAGGCCCAAGCAGAGGGCGGAAGGGAGGCGCACCACCGAGCTCCTTTTCCATCGTCGATGAAGAGTACGAATGAGGCGTACTGGATATGGGCGAGGGGGTACGTGTCGAGGAGACAGTGCTCGGGTTGGCGGGAAGCGGACGCTCGGACCCATCAGAAAGGGAGTCTTTGTGCGGCGACTTGACGGAGTAAGCCGGCTGACCTGCGCCACGGTCCAGGATCTTGTCCAAGACCGCCAGACGCTGCTTCCTCTCCTGATTCTCCTTCAAGTCGGAATCAATGGAAGATGGTGATACGCGCGAAGGGTCCGCCCGAAGACCGAGCATGTTCTCGCCTACAGCGCTTCGGTATGACCCCGGCGCGTGATCTAGCGCGGGACGGGAACCGTAGTTCATGCTAGAAGTGCTCGGAGACGCTGAAACGCTACCCATGTGGACGTCGAGGCTACTCCGGGGTACTGAGCTCGACGTTACATCGAGGTCTGGCCTGGAGAGCAGGGAAGAGCCACTCCGTGCGCGATGGGAGTCCGATTTGGACTTGATGGGGATCGAACGGGACGCCGAGGAGATGGGGGGGCCGGGACGGGACCTATCATCGTCGCTGGCATCCTCGTCTGACAAAGGCATGAAGGCCATCATGCTCGTCGGCATCTCCGGAATGGGCTTAGAGGCGGGTATGGGTGAGAGAGTGAACATGTTGTCGGTGCCGACAACCTTGACCTTGACGGCGTTGCCGTGGTCCCTCCCATCATCCTTCAAGATAGCCACAGGTTCGGCTTTCGAGCCCTTCTGATCATGAAGATAGTAGTACCGAGGCTCGCTTGCGCGAGACGTCGGAGGATTACGTCTAATCTTCTCAAGCTCCTCGGTAAGTCGACCGCATTCGGCCGAGACTTCGTCCAGCTAGGATAGCAAGATTCAGGTAAACTGATCGAATAAAACAAAAGAACGTCCTCGTACTTTACTGTAGAAACACGTATTCAGTATGAGCATCAGATCATGAGTCAACTGCACTTACGTTCGCCACTCGTCACATTCAGCCTTCAAGCGCGCCCTATCCTCCTCCAATGCCTTCTCGGTGTGAGCAAACCTATCGCGCTCCTCGAAAGCGGCTTCCTCCAGCTCGGTATACTTGGCAGACGCAATCAAGCGCTCCTCGTCGAGTTGCTTCTCGAGTTCCTCGCACTTGGAGGTGGCGATGTGGCGTTCCTCGTCCAACCTGACGACGGTTGCATGTTCGTCATGAAGCTCCTTCTCGAGCTTCTCGAGCTCCTCTCGCTCTCTGTCCAGTTCCGCCCTAAGATCGGAGCAAGTCTGCTCAACGTCGGCAATGCGAGCATCTCTCTTCTGGATCTTAGCCTGGTACCGGGAGTTGTGGTACAAGAGGTGGCGGGCCGCACGGAGATCCCTGAACTGCGGGAACGTCAGCTTCGCCAACAGCAGATGAGACGTTGAAATGACGTACCTGATCCTGTGGCTGCCCGTCCAGCCAATCGTGGCAATCTTGCAGAAGCTCTTCTAGCTCTGGCCGGGATGCGCCCTCGAGAGTGACCCTCGTGATGGATGACTGGAGACGACTAGCCTGGGAGGTGTCCAGATCATGCGAGGATATCGCCGGCGTACATGGAGGGACGGCAGACTTGTCGACGTGCAGTTTCCTGGCATCAGCTGGGTTGTAAGTGTGCCTACATAGGGGGCACTGGAGCTTCGGCAATGACTGCAGGCACCTAGAAAGGTGACGGCGAGGATCGTTGTCAATGCCGTGTGCGGCGACGAGGCAGCGATAAAGAACACGAACCATTGACAAAGGATGTGCCCGCAAGTGATGGCGATAGGATCCCGAGGACCATAGTAACCTTCGAGGCAGACGTCGCAGCGGGAGTTGGGGTGGAGTACGAGCATGATCAGCGGCGGACGAGACCAGCGCGGGCGCGGGGGGCGAGAGAGGAGTTGCCCGGACGGGGGATAATAAGGTGGGCAGGAGCCGACCGCCTAGCGCATGTACAAGCTGGACGGATTCGACATGGTCCCCCACGAGACGCCGAGATCGGATGCGGATCTTCCTACGATAGCCGCCCGACTGAGCCGTTCCAGGTGGAAATCACGTATGAACACCTCGCCTGGGACATTGTTACCGAGCCAATGGACCGCCATCGGAACGACAACAGCCGGGAACGTCCCGCACGGGGATGATAAGAGACGGAACTTGAACTGGTCGCCTTCCCAGACGCTATTCGCCCACATGAACAGTCCGAGAGGTTGAGCCAGACGCTACTGGATTCCACAGGACGAGAAACGCTCGCTGGAGTAAAGCGCGACCAGCTGATCGGCTTCCGGGTCGGGGGACCTGGGCCTCGAGAGCCTCGTGCGATGCAGCGCCAACCGCGCGCAAGGACGGTTGGTGCAGACGACAGGTTTCATGCTATTCACGCCACGTCGCGTATGGCATCCTCGACACAGGGCAAGCGTCGCCCCAAACTGCGTATGAATCACACTTGAGATGATGCGCACCTCAAGCACCGAGTAAGGCCTGCCCATAACCCACGCCCCGTGCCAGACGCGCAGGCGCCGCAGCATGCCCTGAGCACCTCACAGAAGCGAATTGAATGGAGGCACATCGAAGGGACAGTGAAATTACCGCGACTGCGTTGCTCCACACAGGCTTCCTCGATGTGCGCTCGACATCAGTAGCTGAGATGGACGGTCCGACCGGAGCACTCGCCGCAGTGAATAGCCCGCAACATGATGAGAATCAACGTTGCATGGGGTTCGGGGGGGACGCGTCCGAGATGCACGTGCGAGAACCTTCGTGCCGGCTGTCAACACCACGAAGTCTCGGCTGCAGACATATGTTCCACTTCTCCGAAGAGGACAAGTGAGAGCGAGAACAAGGCCCAAACCGACACATTGGCATGAGAGAGAGCGTTCCGTTCACATCGTGAACACGAGGATCCGCTCAGGCAGTGAGCAAATCCGTGAGCTCTCGGCCACTGATGCAAAAGCAAGCGATGCCACATATGCAAGCGTATAGCGTACCTTGCGTTCCGTGCCCTGAGTACTGTACAGATGCCAGCGCGCATGGCTCCGCGACATCCGCGGAGGCCGGGCTGCACCGTCGGAGGAAAGCTCGTAGGAGACCGCTCATGAATGTGACGCAGCCTGAGACTATCTCGCTGAAGCGAGCATCTCCGTCCGTTTCCAGGTACTCCTGCGGAATCTATTAAACGGAAGACAGTCAACTTGCCGGGGACAAGGAGCTAATCATGATTAACATACATACCTGAAGAGCTGACCGAGAACGTATCCAGCATGACTTCGAGAATCAATTACTTCTCAAGTTCTGACAGTTCACGTCCATCCCAAAGCAACCATTCCTCACCACACTGGGTTGTTTCCCCCGTATCCTTGACGTCATAAAATGTAACATGGCAAGCAAGGAAGTTAGGGCTATGGTAAAGGCGACTGTGCGAGTCAGCGAATTTTTCCCTGTCCGTGACATTGCGCTTGTGACTGTGACCCGGGTGACACTCCTCCTTGGCCATGTCACAGCGGAGATCCTCCTATACGTCGTCTCCCTAGTGCGGACGATTCATGCATAACCAGTCTGAAAGCCAAGCACCAGGGTTGACGGGACGGATTAAGGACTGAACTCATACAGCTTGACAAGAAGACGCATTATCGAAGCTCACTAGTATCTCGGGACAAACATGATTACCTCGCCGCTAAAGCGCATCAAGCTGCTACCACCCCCTCCAATGAAACGTCTCGCAAGCAATGAAAAAGCTCCAGCCCCAGCTGTGTTGGTACCACTTTGCTTCTCGTTGTTGATGCAGGTTTGGTGCGTCGCCATCGATAGATGATCTTTCCGCAAGTCTGCTTAGCAACTGTTATCCCTATGAACAGTGTGCCAGTGTCGGGCTGCTCGTGCCTGATATATAACTGTGACTGTCTTCCTTAAAGACCTCGGGCCCTCTGAGCTGTAATACACTCAAGCAATTAACAGCATTTCGTCCCATCGCACCGAGACTCTTGTGTGAACACAAGGATCGCACCGGCGGATCCTACGTTGGCCACCCCCCCAAATCCGATTCGCTCTCGTCTCCGATGGCACCGACCAAGAGTTGTGATGGTGGGTCCTTTGCAAGCCTACTCAGGACAGTATAGATGCTCATCTGTCTCCCCCATACCGAATCTGATAAGCACCGGTAGCATCCATTGTCAGACAATGGTCCTGATCGATGACGTCTCTCGCACGTTCTGCAACAAGTATATCTCAAGCTCGCGGGACTGCGGTCCGACTGGGCGGGTTCTCTACCCGCGGATACCGCAGCCCTCAACGCCGATGATCTCGCCCAGACTCGGTGGTCGGCACCCTGATTCACCGGAATCCTCGCTGCAGCAGCTTTGAGCTCGAAAGCTTCGCCCTTCATCACATAGTGCGCAGAATTGATGAAAGCTTCACTGCGGGATAGGCTCGCTTCAATGCTGTTCGTGCATGGCGACTGGATCCTCGATCGTCTGGCCACATTTCGACGACAGGGCCGAAGTCCCCTTCACATGAACCCTGGAGTCAACAGAACGCCACCGACTCGATCGCGACCAACGCAGCGGAACGTCAGTGGTCACGGGTGTATCATGGCACGCACTGCCGTGTCGCTGACGCTGTGGTCCAGGCCACGCGTGCCAAGTGGTCTAAAATTCGCTGAGCGCGGCCCTCGAGGATGCGGTGTGGTCTCTGCCTTATTGCCTCTGCTGGCTCACGTCTTTGCAGATTTTACAATAGGGGCTGTCGACTTCAGCACCGCGACGCGAACTGACTGCTGTCAGGACTCCTGCTTGATGGCTTCGTGACGACAACAGAGGTCTTGGTCATTCTAGAAGTGCCTGGCATTCGTCCATTCATCTTCCGCAATAGTAGCGCGCGTTAGGAGTAGGAGCGGCGTTCCGACAGTGCCACACCTACATAGACGGACAAAGGCCCCACTCAATCGAAGAGAACACGCCCATACAATTTGCGTCGTCGTCGGTCCGTCCTCCTCGATGATCTCGAGCACCCTCTCCGCAACAGCCGGTACCCCTGATCCCTCTGCTTCTCTCCGCCGGACTTCTCAGCTCCCGCCTGCAACCGTAGTCCCAGTCGCCCAAATGGTTCGAAGGCTGGCCGAGGAAGCGCTAGAAGAGCTCTTTGCGCCACTCGTGAGCAGCGGTCGCCGGCATCCGTCTTCTCTTCTTCGGCTCCCTCGTTCCCATCCGAAAGCCCCATCGTCGGGGCTGCCTGAGAAGTGCGCTTCTGATGAGAGGGAGATCGACACCTGCGCGTGCATCTTGGCCGAACGCCTACGCGATTAGGCAGGGGGGACAAGGTCAAGTCGTGCCTGTGCGTGCACAACGTTCGGATGCTCGGGACAGTGGAGGAACTGCATCAGCGCCCTCCAGGACATCAAGACTTCATCGATGTCGACAGGCCAGTGGCACAAGTGAGTCTCCCACCACTTGTTTCGGGGAGATAGCACAGGGGAATAAAAGTCCCGAATTTGCACATGTGGTAGGCACGCGAGACATACGTGCGGCGTTCGGCCCTATCATCCTGGTGTCAGAACCTGGCCCGGGCTTCGCAGCCATGGGCTCTGTATCTAGCCGTAGCGTTCGTTGGTCGTGCTTCTCAGATATGTGTACTGTGCGGGGTGTGGATTATTGCCATACTAGTACATGCCGTATAGAGTTGCTACACAGACCACGTGGATGGCCAACTTCGTTTCTTCTCATCCTTAAATCCGACTGAATTACGGCTGGATCTATCCCTGCCCTGTCCACTCGGTGGTCGTGGTGTATATAGCAAGGTTCATTATGGCATTGAGATCAGCACAGTAGTCAGCTTTGGACTGGCAAACGCCGAAGCAGTCGAGGACTTCCAAGCCTCTGGGGCGACTCGCGAACGTTCGACGCGGGGGCACTCCGAGTCGCTCACACGCTTCCCCGCATACGTAGTGTGAGATTGCAACTGATACAGTTGAGGCTGCGCGATGAGAACAGCTCGGAGCATCCGCTACGAAGGCGATGCCGGCCCTGACGCAACCATGCTATAAACGCTACCCCCTTGGACTACTTCGGTAGGCACATGACCCACAAGCTCTGCTTCTCAGTGTGGCCACCGCTCGTTCCCGGAGGATGGCAATAGTACAGTGTGATCAGGGACGGGACGCCAGAGCTGAGAAAACCATAAGCAGCGCATCCTGCGAAGCAGAGATCCGAGGACTTTCTCCACAGTTACGGCGCGGGACGACGGCCCCAGAGAGGACGAGAGCTCTACGGTGACGAGATGATCGCGTCGATGAGGGGTGGAGCAGCTCTTCTTGAATTCGAGTGTCGAGAAATATCGGCCACAAGATTGGTGACGATTAGTTCATGTGCGCGCGAGATATCCGGAAATAGGCTGCTTCTTCAGGCACTTCTTCGTCCGTAGATGACAGATCCTGCGATATGTAAGATGCAGTGGGTGAGATCGAACAGGAAGGGGAGGGTGATTACGATACGTAAGAGCGATACGGAACACAACTGACAACGACGAGTGCTACGAACGACGAGGACGAGGAGAAAACAGAAGGGTCTGAGACCGATAAGACTATTGATGATACACGAGGAGAGGGTGATGTTACACCAATGCAGTAGAGGCGCAGTAGAAGGGATGGAAAGACGGGGATCAAGCAGGAGGGTATGTGCAGCTGAATGCCGTGGCGTGTGGGACGCACGGAGGAGAGACCCGGGGCGAGGACGAGGAGTAGGCGTAAGAAAGCCACGTACACGGGCCGTATGTCGTACTAACCGCATGCGGCTTGCGGAGGAACATTGAGAACTAGCTCGAACGCGATCTGTCCAAGCCATCACAGATTCTGTATCTGTACTATCAAGAATTGCTTCTCGTCCTGTGGGCGCGATCGAGAAATGTATTGGTCAATTCATGTCACCTGAACCATGACACTAAGCGCTTTGCACCGACTCACCGTAAATTGCTCGTCTAACGTAGCGAGAAGTTGTGTTAGTGACCGACACAATGAGACGGAGGAAATGCAACTCTACCTTCTTTGTCGTTGTGGAAGTCCTTCAGGAATTTGAGCAGTTTGTCCTTGTTTCGCCGAAGGATACCCTCGATTTGCGGCGGCTTCTTGGGATTCGCAACAAACACCTACAGTGAGTTTAGTAGACGCCACGAAGCGATTGCCGCGATAGTACTCATACCTTGAATACATGAAACGCCTCGAACTGAATGTTCTTGCTCTTGTCGCGGAGGAGGTTCATCATCATCTTGAGATTCGCCTCGCTTGCGATGTACCGAGTCATCACGTTGAAGTTCGCACGATCCAATAGGATCTCTCCGAGCAGCTTCAGCGACTGCCGCTTCGTGACGTAATTGTTCGAGAGGATCAATGTCGTGAATGACGAAAAGAACTGGGGTTCGAAAGAGCCCAGTCAATGTAGGATGTACCTTCGGGAGACAAAGGGCTTACTCTGTCATAGTTCTTATCAAGGTACTCCGCGACCATGGTCTTGTGTCGTGTTAACGTCTCCTTCAAGTTCGTGTATGCATCGCATGAGATGCCGAACGTCGTGCTCTCGATATAATGAGGGAACTTGTAGAACCTAATTTAGTGAGGTATGAGTACGATGTAGCACAAGATACACAAGATGACTGCTTACTGCTCAGAGTACAGGAGGGTCTTCGCCAAAGGTTCATGTCGAAGCATCTCTCGCAGGACCATACCGGTATTGAGTGCGATCTCTTCTTCTTCATATCCATGAAAGGCAGCAAACAGCACCTCTGGCTTGGAATTGAGGTACTCCACGGTCGGGAAACGTGAGCCGATCTGTCGTCGCAGCAAGTTGTTGAAGATCTGGACCACATCCTTCCGAGACTCGAACTCAAGCCTTTTGATGTTCTGGAGCAGATATAACAACAGATCTGTGCTGTACGTCTCCTGAGCAAGTTGGGCCACCAACTCCGGTAAGGGGTCTAGGTCCACAAGTCCCCATGAATATCACATCTATGAGGTCTGCTGCCGGTACGCACCTCCATCGCCGTACAAGATCGCCTTGATTTGCTGCAAGTTCTTTGCAACCTCCTCGTTGGCCTGCCAGGACATAAACAAAGCAACTCCCATTGCGTGCTGAAGCGACCGCACCTTTCTCCGAACATCTCCTGGTGGCTCAGCCTCTAGCTTCGATAGAGCATCTCGGAGACCTCTGACCAGATCAGGGGGGGTGCGAGGCTTTGTCTTGAAGAAATTCATGGCCAAGTGGCTCGGGTCGAGGGAAAGGTTGTGTGGTGTGGGTATGTGAGAGAAAAATGCTGCAGGCGGGAACGGGGGGGCAGGTATCTGTACGTCACAGCAGAACTCGCAGGATGTTCGATTAGGAATAATGACGGGCGCGAAATCCGTCAGCAAAGGAACGAGGCGATGCGTGGTCGGAGCCGCCAAAGATATAACGCGTCGCTATGGAGGCCAGGAGCTCAACCTAGTCAGATAACAGAGGCGTCGTTGTCATCGATGTCGTCGCCGTCGTCGTCGGTGGTCAAGCCATGTTGGACAGGACTGTCTGCTGCCAGCGCCAACACGTGACATGCCGCCGGGATGAGGCGGGCCGGCGTCGTAAGCTCCCGAGCGGGCGGCGTCTGCGGCTTGTCCGCAACTTCCACCCACGTCCAGTCTCAGCTTCAGCTCTTACCTTCCGTTGCGATCTTGATGAACGGAGAAGACCTGCCTCCGGAACTATGGGGTCTGATAATTACGTATCTGCCGTCGCTGGACAAGCGGACCTGCCTATCTGTCCCTAAATTGATCCATGACCTGGCCCTACCATGTGTATTCTCTCATCTGGCCCTGAGGCTGGGCGTCCTGCTTCCTGGCGAACGAGAGAGTCGGGACGGCGACGCAGAAAAAGACCTGACGACCTACTGCATCACATGACTCATTAAAGTCCCTTGCAATATTCGTCAAGAGCCTATCCATCGAATACTACTCGTCTTGTGACGCCACAGGGATGCGCGAATCCGTACGGGGTAGAGTTCAACCATTCTTTGACGAGCATGTCGTCTAAATATTGCACAGGCTTTGCAGACCCTCTGGTTGACGCACTCCGCTCACTTGAAAACCTGCAGGCCTTCGCCTGGTTTGGCTACTACGATGAATTACGAGGTGACATCGGGCAGGCACTCCTGAGCTCCTGTCCGCAGCTACAGCACTTGTGTCCCGTACGTCTGACTTATTTGTTGGCCACCTCTCCTATTATCTGATAACACGACGGGCCAAGTTACTGCATTCAGTTGATCCCTCTGCTTCCGAAGTTCAATGCGTTGCAGACACTGGAACTAGCACGCGAACGTGCACCGCCGTCGGTGTATGATCCCGCTTTCAATCATGAAGCGGTCCATGTCACGACCGCGATTGTCCGTTATAGCTCGACATTACGGACTGTTTCCCTGTTTGGCGACGGCATATGGGACTGCAGTGACGCGTCATTCTCCTACCTGAGAGACGTGGAGCTGCTCTCCTTGAAGGATTGCAGCTGTCTTGGTGCCTTCCTAACCGGCTGCGCTCGCCTCGACTCACTGGCTCTCAGCAACGCAGGCAAAGACTCCGCAATATCCTTCTTCTCTGCGTTAGCAGCGGTCAGCCCAGATGCCCCCCCACGCCTGACTTCGCTCAAGCTCATCTTCTTTTCGACCCTCGACCAGCAGAACGGTACCGTCCTGGCCAACTTCTTGTCGACAAAGAAGCACCTCCGACGTCTCGACTTGGTTTCGGAACAAACAAGGTGGCGCAACTCCGAGCGACCACTGGCTGCCGTTCTGGCCCGACTTCCAGATCTTGAAGTGCTCGGACTGGAATTGGGAGTCGGCGCACTTTCCCCCGGGCACCTCGAGTTCCTCGATCAGCACCTGCCCGCCAGTCTCACGACATTCGTGTACGGCACATCGTACTGGATGGACACGATAGATGAGAACGACTGGCTAGCACTGGTATGCCATCGAGATCTCCGCTGTCGGAACGTGCCGACTACTACTGACCCACTGAACTCAACTCATTGAACATACCTCGCTCCGATGCTTCCATTTGACCAGAGGGTACGAGAACTGGGCCGACTTCGCCGTAGACGAGCACACGCACGATCTATTTCCGCCGCCGCTGCAGATATTCGGCCTGAACAGCCACCTGTACCATCTCCGGGGCGAATTGCACTGCGGCAGGCCGCAGGCAGGCCGCAGGGTGCTTTCGACGATCCCACAGTCAGCATGGTCCTACCTGAAGATCTGCCTGACTTCGAGGATTGGGAGTGGGTGGTGAGGCATCACTCGCGCATCAGATCTTATACGCCTCTTGCTTGTGAGTGAGGTGACTCGTCGTGCTCGACCATACTGATGCCCGGCATTTGACCTAGATAGAAAGTATCTTTACCATGACTGTAGGAATGCTAAGAGCTATATACCGTGATACGGAAGCTCAGTATCTACCGAGGTGCAAAATGATGGCGAGACAATCAACAGTTCTCCCTAACGCTTGACCGGATGATTACATAGGACCTCGGACAAAGGCGCCGCGTAGAATAGCATGGACCACACCAGCCGCACATGCAAGAGGGACATTCCCAGCCGGATTAGAGCAAATTGGAGGCGCTGCCCGAGGAAATCGATCCAACACGCGGATCTAAGACTCGGTGGGTTGTCGCTCTCCAGATCGAGCGTGATTTCTCTCCGCCACTCGGGAAGCGAGCAAGGGGAGTCCTAGCGACCGGGAGGAGACGGTCCAGATGATGCGTCGGCCATTCCGAGCCCAAGATGGGGATTATAGCACGTCCTTTGGTGCAAGTCGGCCACACTCTGCTTGACGGCAAGTTCTAGATTTCTGGAAGTAACTTGCGAAGGAATCCCTCGAATAGAACCTGTGTGCTGACAAGAAGAAGGGGGGGGGGATGCGAGAAAGCCGGGTGCTTCGTTGACCAGGTCAAATCTGTACTCAAGGCCCTTTAGTATGAATGCGGCTTCGGCTTGGATGGCTGGAGAGGACATGTAGATGGTACCCCACGCGATGAGGCTCTGAGCTGGGACGTGCTTCGAGATCGCTTCCTGCAGCCGCATGAAGGCGCGGCCGTGTCGTTCAGCGTAAAGCGCAGGTACTATGGTGATGCCGAAGATCCCCATCACGGAGTAGGCTTCGTCTCCAACCATGCCGTTGTTTCCGTCGAAGCCTACGACATTTGTGCTGCTATGCTGACAGTATTGAGTGACTTGCAGTATGTCAAGACGAGCCTCGAGCTTTATACCGGTGACCACCAGCCGTGTGTGACGAACGGTCACACTAGGATCAGTCAGACTTGTGATTGACTAGAATCGGACAGAAGCGCCGTGATCCTTGCCTCCCGCTACGAAAGCGTTGTTCACGACCTACACAGTTTCTGTGCTGACACCTATCCAGAAGTCTCTGTAACCAGCCACCGAAGATGAGCCAACCTGTACACGTCGACTCTGTCAGTCGCTGGAATACCACACTTCGGACAGCCAAGGAGAAAAACCAACCAATCATTGTCGACTTCTTCGCAACATGGTGCGGGCCCTGTAAGGTTAGACAAGGATTCGAGAATTACTGACCGAAGAGGCATCGCTGAACAAGGACTATCATAGGCCATTGGTCCAATCTTCGAGCAGCTGGCTGCCCAGTACCCCAAAGCAGTCTTCCTGAAGGTGGACGTCGATAAGCTGCCCGCTATCGCCCAGAAGTACCAAATCACGGCCATGCCGACTTTCGTCGTTATAAGAGAAAGCGGCGTAGTCGACATGTTGCGCGGTGCGGACCCCCGTGGCCTGTCTGCTATGGTGGCCAAGCACGCCTCCGCGTCCTCTGCGCCCGCCGGACCGCCACTTCCGGCGGAGGCGGAGAAGGCGAAGATGGAGGGCAACACGGCGTTTGCGGCAGGCGAGTACGAGAAAGCGATAGACTCTTATAGTCGTGCTATTGGGCTCGCACCGAAATTGGCGGTCCTGTACGGGAACCGTGCCTTTGCATACATCAAGCTAATCAAGTCGGGCATCCCGTCGAAGGAGGAGAGACAGAAGCTAAGACAGAAAGCTATATCGGACGCGGTTCAAGCCACTGCTATTGACGACAAGTGGGCGAAGGGATGGGTGAGGATGGCAGAGGCACTGGTGCTTGCGACCGACGAAGAGGGAACTCAGGATGTAGGGGAGGAGCGGAGGCCAGAAGGTCTCCGGAAAGCACTGGAAGGGGCTGTACAAGCGCTTGAGAATGCCATCGGGCTCAGCGAGGGGAAAGTGAAAGCAGGTGAGTTAGAGCTTCAGAATGCAGTGATGCGACTGATCAGTTGATTCTGTATCATTAGAGGCCCAGAAAATGCTGGAAGAAGTACAAGCGCAGTTGATGGCACCTTGAGGACGGGCAGCCTTGGGACGCGAGCACATAATCTTCTATAGTAGGGAGATGTTCGAAGTCCAGTCGGTGTCTCACGTATTATTGACCGTCAACAGTCCAGGAACAAAGCGAGATGTATGCAAGACAATAGCATGTAATACAGTGTACAATTGAAGGCCTTAGAACGGAAGTGACAAACGACAATGTGGTCCCCGTCGCCTCCGGCTAGTCAAATCGGAGCCCGGGATCAGTCATAGAATTTAGAGGAGGCAACGACGTCCGAGCCACCACAATGTTCGTCTGCGCGCAGTCTGAAACTAAGACTCGGTCTCGGCGATCTCTAACCGTGGATTCAACAGGAGTGGGAGCCCTGAGGTGATCCTGACCTACCAACGCAGTACCAGCATCAGGTTTCGACATTCAAAGTCATATACTCGGACTTTGTCTACCTTCAACGCTTGGATGCACCATTCGGCAAGTCCGAACTTAGGGCCCCGATCTCTCCCCACGACCGCGTCTGAACCGCTGCCCGAACTTCGAGGCCCAACAATCACCACTGTGCTCACCAGCCGTGCCATGTCGGCCCTGAAGACCATGTGCACGACCCATCTCTTCAGCGGAGACGACGGTCTCCGTCTCAAACCGCCACTCGTCAGATTCGACGGCCTCTGTCTTCATCTCTTCGACATGCTCCTCCTCGGCCAGCTCGATAAGGACCTGGTGGAAGCAGCTATCCATGCTGGCCCTTGCGACGGGCTCGACCGCCGCCATGAGGGTGATCGTCCGCGTCAGCTTCAAGCTCGACGCTGTCCGCCCCTCGGAACCTTCGATCAGCTCCGGTACCTTGAGCTGGACCTCTCTGGGCTTGATTTCGACCCAAGAATGTGTCAGTCGTCGGAGAGGAAGTTCACGTTCCGCGACTCTGTGAGTCGCTGGAGCGTTCAGTCTCTGGTTTACCGCTTACTCCGACGGAAGTGCGACTGGGTAGCGGGGGCATCTGGGCAAGAAAGCGATAGCTTACGGCTACCTTCTCATAGCAACAATACATTGAGCTCGGACTGCTCGGCGCTGCTCGTTCTGTCGATGCAGCACGAAATGTTGCAGATATAACAATAAGCACGCGCCCGCGCGGTGATACAAACCATCCGGACCTTGGCTCACGAGCGCAGGGTCACCCCAGACTGCAGACAGCGAGGAGACCTTGGCACCCTCGGGCAGAGTCGTTGAGGCCCTGATACGATTGCTCGCCTTGCAGGCCCATGCATGCAATGGATTGGAATATAGCGGGGGTTTGGCTTCGTCTCAGGGGACTCCCCGTTTCGGTTGAAGTTATCGCATGGCGCAAAGATCTGAGGTATAATGTCAGTCCTGTCGCGCGAGCAAGCAGTAAGAAACCGGGCTCTTTGTGGTAGAGATCAGTGAAACAACATTGTTTACACCGAGCGCGGCTTTCTCTCGGGGTCAGGAACATAGCTTTGCAGTGTCCGATGTTCTGCCTAGTTACGATGGTCAGGACTGCGTCCTACACCGCGGCGCTGTGCAAGAAACGCTCGTATCAACCTAGGCGTGGCCTGTTTACAATGAACGTCTGTAGCCGCGTCGACATAGGAACACAATGCGGTCCACCAGAGAGGTCATTTATGGGCTGGATAGCAGGGAGATGAGTACAACGTGGGTGATGGAATGGGAGCAATTAGCGTGAGGGAAATAGCGCAAAGGGCGGTGGCAGTACGGGCCTGCCACGCGCGCGTCGAATTCAGATGATCGACGTGTCCGCCGTCCTCCAAAATACGTCTGCCACCTCATCCCTCCCGTCTTCTCCCACCTTGTTTGTAGAGCTCAAAGTCTCCTCGTCCTCTCATTTGCTTCTGTTCTCCCGTCGGACCCGGGCTGTTCGCAACATCATCGACGAACTGGTTTCTAGACTTGACTGTCCGCCCGCGCCTTCCCCAATCCAACAAACACGCCCGACTTGAACAATGTCTGGCATTCACTACTCCGTCGTCGTCCCCGCATACAGGGAGAACGGCAACTTACGTCCGCTTGTGACACGCATCTTTGGCGCGCTGTCCCAGGCGGGCTCCCCCGTCAGCCCGCACGAGGTCGAAGTCATCGTCGTAGATGACAACTCGCGAGACGGTTCTGTCGAGACCGTCGACGACCTCCGGCGCGAGGGCTACAACGTCCGCATCATCGTGCGGACAACGGAGCGCGGCCTCAGTAGCGCGGTGGTCCGCGGCTTCAGAGAGGCGCAGGGCGACAACATGTTGTGCATGGACGCGGACTTGCAGGTATGCATGTATTCCCATCCTCCTGTCTCCTGCTCCCCTGCGATTGCACTGCGTTTACTCAAACTGTGGCAACGCGTAGCACCCCCCTGAATACGTCCCCGCCATGCTCGCCTCCATGTCACCTACGAAGCAGTTCGCGCTTGGAACGCGGTACGCGAAGGGCGTCGCGATCGACGAAGGCTGGCCGCTCTACCGTCGCGTCATCTCTAACGGCGCGCGCCTGCTCGCGCTCCCTCTCACGTCCGCAAGCGACCCCATGTCAGGTTTCTTCGGAATCCGCAAGGAAACGGTACGTGTTACCGTCCGGTCTCCTCCCCCTGTCATGCCCGTCCATCTTCGCGCGTCTTACGTGTTCTCGCCCGCCCTAGTTCTTGAAGGCGCGCAATCTGAACTCTGACGGGTTCAAGATCGCGCTCGACCTCCTCGTGAAATGCAACATTCCCGCCAAGGCGATCGCGGAGGTGCCGTTCTCTTTCGGCGTGCGCGCCGAAGGCGAGTCAAAACTTACGGGCAAGGTCATGATCCGCTACCTCGAGCAGCTCGCGGAGCTGTACTGGTACCGCCACAGCGGCCTCGTCATATTCCTCGCGATCTTCTTGTTCGTGCTGTTCGTGTTCTTCGCGCAGACGCTCCTGAGCTGGTACGGCGGGTTCGACGACCAGTCGCAGGGCAGGTACTGAACGATGTGCCCGTGTTTCCGTCAGGAGGGTTGGGTGAGGGATGCGATTGTTGAAACTCCATTAGATCAGTTGGATGTTCGGAGGGTGTATTGTCCCTGGTCGATGTGTGTACCGATACGAGTAACGTTATTGCCTGTTCTTTCTCCGCGTCATCCAGTTTCTGTCGACGTTTCACAGACCTCCACAGCAGTCCGCCGACCCATTGACGAGCCACCAAGACGACTGCGTCTGAAGTTTGCGAGCAGTGACTATCGTGGCAGGATGCGAGTCTCTGGTCAGGAGGCCCAACGTGAAGGTGCTGGTGTCCACGGCTCTCCTGTGGACTTGGTTCCCCCTCCAGACGCTTCCGCGACCTTACCTTCGGTGTCGGGTTCCTGTACAAGCAAATCCGCGCACTTGCAGAAAATTTCCTCCGCTATTATCAGCGGCAAGGTGCCGGCTGCCACTGATCGGGTCAGTGGCACGTCCAAAGCAGCCGTCCGATCTCACATTTCCCGCAGGCAAGAATGCAGTGTGCTCGCGATCGACTGCGGCTTGTGTGGCTGTAGGTGGAACAATATGAACCGCATGCATTCCTCGGAAGGAACGAAGTACGCCGCATGAGGCACCAAGGAAATCAGACGGCATACAGCAGGGACGACGTGTCCCTCCGTCGTTTCGCCTCTCGAGCTCTTCACGCACGAGTTTTGGTACACGGCCGGCACCGGGCCATTGATCAGGTCCACGAACCCCGTCGCTCTCAACCACCTCGTCCGATCCGCGGCGATTGCTCTCAAACTCATCACTTAAGCTCTCGAAGATACGAAGACCACAGCAGAATTATATTTCGCTTCGTCGAGAACGTGGCCACCTCAGACGGCCCGCGTTTTAAACAAGACCCAAGGGTCGAAGCGGTTGAACGCTTCACATAAGCTTCATCACCCCTGGCAGCTGGCTGTCCACCGCGACATGGCCGAAGGCGCATCAGGCTGGTTGCCGTGCGGTGCGCGCCACACCGATTGAAGGATTGTTTTCTACCCCATCCCGCAAAGTTCTCTCCCAGACCGGCCTCGCGGAGCTTGTCGACCCTGTGTGGAGAGTGAGTCGCGGATTAATCACGTACACATCGCATACTAGACCTATCTTGACATCGGACTCCGACAAGCGGACAGAGTGTTAGTTCAAGTGTTCGCTACATGCCTCCGAGGAAGGCCCTTCGCAGATGAAAATAGATGTCAGGATCCATGCTAGTCACCACACCCACAAACTGATACCTGTGCCTCCCCGAGGCTCGCAGGTGTGCAGTGCCGTAAGTGAGCACACGAAAATCGGAGGGCTCAAGAAACAGTCTTGCATTGTGCAGCGTGGTGTTACATAGCATCTTGTTTGGGGTAATGCATACGTACCACCAACCCTCGTCTTGACCCCGCGGAACTCGGTGGGCCGCCATCTGTGTGGAACCATGCGGATGCACACAATATGACATGATCACGGCGCTGCGCCGGATATTTGTTTGAACTGCAGCGTATTTGACGGGTGACGTCCGAACCACAAACCTGTAGGAAAAAACGAGGGTTCTGACAGGAGTAGGGAAGATTAGAATGGTACCCACAGCAACACAGTTCTGACCCCTAAAGAGGAACAACGCCCCCACTAGCCATCCAGTAGCACACGCCAGTGGCGTACCCCATCGCGTGCTCATGTACGTTGTGCTGCAAGGCGAATGGAGCTTCACTGAAGCTGAAGTGACTCACGTCGAGGTGTCGGCATTGTGCGTGACCTAGCGCGGACCTGCGCGAAACGGAGCGGTGTATACTGGATTCACCGACACCGTGATGGTTCGCGGCGCTCCAGACCGTGCTCTTAGGGCGGCCCGGCCAGCATGACTTTGAGCAAGTCCAATTAGCGAGAAGAGCGTCGCAGGCACGGCGAAACGTCGTGTCGTGTCGTTGCTGTTCCGAAGTAATTACCGCACCATTGAGACACGTCTGCGCCCTGGTCGAAGCGCCAGGATTCTGTCGAATCCGACGTCGGACACAAGTACTCAACACGAAGATAGAAGGCGCCCACGAAAGCATACGCAAGTGGAAGAGCACTCTCCGAGAATATATGACGATGGGTTAGTCCGAGCAGAAGCGCATCGGCTCTAGTGCGGCACACACAGGCTCTGCGCGACCCACGCGACGGGCTCTGCGCAGCACAAGTCGAGAGTTCCCCGGAGACGGTCTGGCTTTGTGTCTTCTTGTGCCCCAGGTGCACCTGGAAACGGACCTACTGCATGCAGCAGCGTGGTCGTCTATGACGAGAGTTGTGTGAGCGACCAAACATCGACTGCTTGACTCACGTTGTAGTCAGCAAACTTCTAGGGTGCACGGCACCCGTACTCGAGCCAGCGGCATGGCGCACGGGGAGACTCCGTATCCCCATACTCCAGGTACTCTCCCTATTCTGCGCGAGCTGGAAGGTTCCATAGAGAGACCGAGACCTTCCACGGACAGAGGTTTGGATCATTTGAAGCTTACAGTTTCCAGGGCCTGCGACGAGTACGCGACGCGCAACCCGGCTGGTGCCGTTAGCGAAGCCGCAGAAAGCATATCAGCAAGTACACCGCACATCGCCCGCCGCGTATCGACCATCGAGCACCGGATGCCGTACACCTCCACGGCCCATCAGGGCACGAAGCCCAGCGCGGTCGGCAAGCCGCATTTTTTCATTGTCGGAACAAGCGGAAGAAGTGCCGACTCGAGGCCCGCACCCCCCCGCGCGAGTTCCCACCGTACTTGTCCGCATTAACAAACCACCTCCCGTCCCCACGCGGAAGGCGAGGCGGCTCGCTGCCCAATGGCACACCCAGAGCCAATGGCGTGCAGAACGTCGTCGTCGCGCGGCGGTCGAAGGCCCGGAGATTGCAGCAGCTGCGTCGCTGCCGTCACCGTCTCGCCGGGCGTGGGTAGTGCGGCATTGGGCATCGGCGGTGCCACCAGCCACCCCCGCCAGCCGCCAGTCGGACCCCCAGCCGATTCAGCAGCAAGCGGCGGGGGCAAGCAGGGGGGAGGGGTCCAGGGAAGGACGCCGACGCGCTGTCGTGCGCTGTCGCGCGCCCTGGCGACCATCCCTCACGGGAGGGATCGCAGCCCCGCTTCGGGTTCCCAGTTCGGGTCCCTCGCGTTCCAGGCCTGACGCCTGCGGACCGCGGCCGCCGCTGCATGCCAAGGCACGGATGCCGCCAGGCACCCGCACGCGCCTCCGGGAGCGCGTGCGACAGCGGGGGCGGGACTTCGGGAGCGAGGGTCGGGCGAGGGTCGCGCGGCGCGCCGCTGGCTTGCGTCCAGCGTCGGGCGCATTCTTGCTGACGAAAGCATCGAAGCCGGAGGGCCGCGAACGCGACGTAGCCGATGCACGCAGCGAATGGCTGGCCGTGTGAACCCGCGCCGGAGACGTCGTGTGGCATTTCCCATGGGGCAATGGCGTCGCCTCGGGCGAACATCGCTCGGCGAAGGGCATGCAAAATCGAGGGTTCCCAAAGGTGTCCAGGCGAAACGGGGAGACGACAACAGCTACCGAGCGGTGGGCGTCTCAGGGGAGGGAGGGTCGACCTGGAATGCGCGTGTGAGTCCTGTGGGTTCTGATAGCATTCGAGGAGGACGATCATGGAATACTCACAACACCGTGTGGAACTCAAGGGTCGCATGTCTGTGGGTGCGCTGTGAATTCCTAGGACTGTGGTCATTGCTGGAAGAGTGTCTTGCGTTGCGGATGGAAATCTGTTTCCCGGAGACCCGCAATGTATCAATTCTACACTCGTCTCGTGCGCATAGTTGCCGGTCCGGCCGTAGGTGTGTGCGCCGGGGCTCTTCCTCCTCCTGATGGTCAGATTGCTATATGGAGGGGGGTGAGCGTCGCGATGTCGACGAGGTCACGAGAGGAATAGATGTGGAAGCAACGACTTACACGTCCGTGCTTGCATGTACAGCAGACAAGCCTCCTTCCGGATGCATCAACGTTCCGCACCACACCTGCTCGTTCGGGTGATCGCAGGGACGCCCAGAGGCTGAAGGTTTCGACGCGTTCAGATCGATCCCCTCCTACGTACATCTGCATCTCTCGCTCTTCTACCGCCGGCAGGGCGCGCATGCATGCATGCGTGCATGCATGTAGCAGCCAAGCATGGTGATCTCCTGGTCGGCCAAGCATGACGTGGAGAGAAGTATTCGATACTTGCATATCTCGACGCGAAGACTGGAACCAGCGCAGAATAGGTTCGAAGAGGCGGCGGAGTCAGTCCTGGAGCCGGGTTCTGGCTGATCACCGTCTCCCGTGTGTGTCCGTGATGCCTGTGGTGTCTGTCACCTACTCAATGGTGTTCGCTTTTGCTGTCATGTTCGTACGGCGGCGATCCGCTGCGCCCTGGAAGGGCGAGCCATGGGCTCGCCCCGCACGCCCGCAAAGTCCGCAGAATGCCCGCCTCCGGGAGTCCATCGAGGGTCGAGAAGTTGAGCACGAATCGCGAAGACGGTAGCTACGTGACATGCACCTGGAGCGCGGGCGGCTCGTCGGGCCTCGCGTGCCTCGTGCCTGCGTGCGAGAAGTCGAAGGCGAACTCGAAGGCGGGCGAAGGTTAGCTCGAGCAGAGCAGAGACAGATGCCGAAGGCGGACGTGCGAGGAAGGCTCCAGGAGACCCTAGCAACTGCGCCGTCGTCGTGCTCCGCGACCTCTGCGTCCGGGGGAGGTGGGAGGGGAGAGCTCTTGTGCGTTCTGTCCGGCTTGCTTGCGTTTCAGGTTCATGCGTCCAGCGAGTCTTTCGTCATCGGGGGGGTGGCGCACAGGCAAGCTATTACGGGAGCGTTCCGGCACGCGGCGCGGCGCAAGTGTAGGGCTGGTCAGTGCTAGAACCAGCGGACGGCACGCTGCTGCACTAGGCTTGCCCCGACTCGGGGCGCAGGAACCTACGGCGCGCAGAGGAGGTGCTCAGCGTTCGGCGGCAGCGTGCGCAGCAGCAGCAGCAGCAGCAGCAGCAGCAGCACAAGCTTGGACGCGAGCCCGAGCAGACCGAGCACGGGCTGATCGAGGCGCGGCTGTGGACAAGCTCGAACGGCACAGCTTTGTCAACGTTTGTGCGCGCGGAACAACACCCACATGCACCAAAGCGTGGCGGTCAGGAAGGAATTGAGCCCAGCCGGCCTGATAGCGTTCAATGTGAACGCTGACCTCGAGCATTGATGATGATCGCTCCGAAGGCGGCGCGGCCGGATTTGCTTGTGCTGATTGTCATGTCCGCACGGGGATGGCGGGGTGGCACTGGCAACTTGAAGGTTCGAGGAGCTTGTCAGCGAGCACCGCAGCGGGGACCATCGGGCGATAGATCTCGAATTGCCTGCATGTCATGAGCATGAGCACGTCAACGCGTACCGGCGCCTCGGGCGAGCGCAATTGTTTGGGTGCTTGCGAGGATATGATCATGCATGCGTGCGTGCACGGGCGAGTCGGTCGACCCAGAGCCTGGATAACGGCGCTCACCAGTATATGCCTCGGCTCGTGGGGCGGCGCCGCCTGTCAAATCGAGTTCTGGGTGCAAGGTTTGGATTGACATGATGGTGGAGAGCGTTTAGAGTACGCTACTACTGCCTCGGCGCCAGAACTTGGACGTTCCGCTAGACTGGAGCGACGCTGATGGATAGATGATACGAGAGTCTAGAGAGGCACCACTCGAAGGGTCGCCCATATGAGGCAGGCAGCCTTCCTCCCGAACAAGCGTCGCGCTGCGCCGTTCGCCCCGTCATGTGCATCCGTCAGAACCATTAATGGGTGGCACTCCGGAAGCACTGGCGCGCGCACCGGCAGCTGCGTGAGATGGATATGGGTGGTCGGCGGCGCGGCGGGGAAGGAGGGGCGCTGGCGTACGTGAGCGCGAGAGGGAGCCGTGACTTGCTGTGTCGGGTCGCCACGCTACGCAGCGCCCGGTCGATTGCATTACTTGCGGCGATCAGACTCTGCTGGAATAGGGGCCAGAGGCGGAACAGGCGGGACAGGCAGTGCGCCTGTCAGAATGGTCCGTATTGTCGTGAGAGGTCTCTCGTCGAATCTGCCCCGAGGCGCGAGACGCAAGGCGAGACCCAGCTTGGTGTCGATCGGCACGTCCGTGGTCGTGGTTACGCCGGTGCGCAGGGAGTATTTCCGGAAGGGGGAGAGGGGGAACGCAGCGGCGGGAGGGGCGGCATGTGCGTTTACGCTTTCTGTTAGATTCCCGGGGATCTTCTGACGGGTTGGGCAGTGGGATGGCAGAATGAATGGTGAAGAGGGGAACAGAAGACGAGGCCTGAAGATTTGGGGAAGGCCCTAGGTTACGTTGAGAGGTTGCCATGTCGTAGAGCGTCCTCTGCACGCGACATCCCGGCGAGTGTTCTGGAGGCTCAGAAAGTGTGGAGGTGGCATGCAGGTGTCCGCCGGCTGTCGCATTTGTACATGCCGCCGGCAACGAGGCAGGAATCGGCGGATCGGCGATAGCAGCCGAGATAAGTTGCCGGATTTGGGCCTGGGCTGGCCCGAGCTCCAGGATGGGTCAGCGCCGGTTCCTGATGAGGAGAAATCGTAGATGAACGGCTGGCCGGGCGGACGGACGGCTGTCGGGCGAGCTCTGGCACGTCGCGCGCTCTGCTTTTCGCTCTCGTCTATGCGCGACGTCGGCTCGCGGCGCGTGGGAGGAGCTGGCCCGTCGCGAGGGGCACCACCTGCTGTTGTCATTCCTTGCTCGGTGGGAGGATAGAGGACGAAGCCAGACGGAGAGAGTCCGAGGACGAAAGACAATTGCGGCCAAACAAATGGCAGCCCAGCCTCAAACCTTGACTTGCAGTGCCCATCATTCTTTGGGCCATCGTTGGCCAAGAGAGCAGCACAGCTCACGTACGAGGTTCCCCGAGCAGCCCAGCTGGTGGACGGTGCTCGCGTAGAGGAGTGTGCAGTATAAAGGCGCGTGTCCCGCTGGCTGGGCCCGTGTTGCTCACATCGGGAATAAACAGCATCGCGCGCCTGTGCTCGCTCGCAAGCGATCCGCCGTGCTTATATCTGCCCACTCTCGCCAGCTCACCCCGTCCTCGTCCCAGTAAACGAACGGCTCAAGGCCACGCCTATCTCTTCTCGCCCGGCGCGCACTTCATCACCAGCACACACCCAGTCCGTCCACGCTAGCCGCCGCCGCCGTCCCCGATGCCTGCCCGCCGCACAGCAGCCCCCCGCACCCGCACCCGCCTCGCCACGCTCGCTGACGTCCCCGAGGAGATCCTCGAGCGCATCCTCGCCCTCATCCTCGTTCAGTCTCCAGAGCCCTCGCGGGCTTCCTGGCATCCCTACCAGACGCCTCCCTCCACCCTTCCGAACGTGATCTCCCCGCTGCTCGTCTGCCGCGCCTGGTTACGTATCGCGACCCCCGTCCACTACCGCCATCCAGTCCTCCGCACCCCGCGCCATGTCGAGCTCCTCCTCCGCGCCCTGCGCTACACTCCCTCGCTCGCGCCGTGCATCCGCAGCCTCCACCTGCACGCTACCTCTCCCGCGCTCCGCGACCTCATCCCCCTGTGCTCGAACCTCGACACACTCGACGTCACCGTGGACAACGCCGACTCGACGCTGACCGTCACGACTGGCGTGATCCCGGCGGCAGACGCTCTTAGCCGCGACCGTGGCGTGGTGCAGTTCTGCGAGGCGTTTGCGAAGACGCGCCGCGTCCGACACCTCGTCATCCGCAAGAACGCGTATCTGACGCAGCCTAATGCAATCTACATCTTCGAACAGCTCGCGAAGGCCATGACGCGCTGGCACAAGCTGGTGAGTCGCGTTCGATCTGTTTCACTGCGTCGTGCGCGCATGTCCGAGAATGGACTGGTAGCAGATGAGCGACGGACAGGAAGATGGGTTCTGCTGCGTCGAGCTTCGCTGGTGTTCTCGGACGGGAGGAATTGGCAGGGATTCGATGTGTGATGATTGACGTAACTGACGGCTTCTTGCAGGAAACGGTGAACGTCGCCTTCCGGCTCAGCCCCTCTCCCGCCGCGAGCGCGCTCACCAAGGCGCTCGCGACGCTCCCCCGGCTGCACACGCTGAGCACGATGTTGCCCGCGGTGTGGAACACGACTCTGCTTGACGTGCGTCTCTCCGCTTTCTCCGTCCTTCTCCTCTTCTCCCCCTCTGCTCCCTATCTCTCCCACATCCGATCGGACGCGCTGCCCCGCTCCCCTGGCTTCCGTCCTTCCTAATCCACGCACTCCTTTCTCTTAGCGCGTCGTCCTGAAACGCATGCCACGATGCTGACCCTTCTGATCTCCACAGATCGCGCAGAACCCCGCGCTCAGCCGTATCGTCCTCGACCCCGCCCCAGAGCTCGCCGGCGCACACCTCTTCCTCGCAGAGGCCAAGCGCCACCCCCACCTCGTCCAGCTCATCCACGCCGGCAGCCCCCCGCCCTCACCCTACCCGGGCCACGCCGGCGTCGCTGCCAGCTCTCGCGCGCGTGCCGCCAGCGCCGTCGTCGTGGGCAAGGCCCCCATGTCCATGTCCATCGCGCCCTCGCCGTTCGCTACCTGGAGCTACGAGCGCGACGTCCCGCCCCCCGCGTGTCCCCCCGCCTCGCGTCGGCCCAGCCAGCCAGGCTACGCCTCGGGGTCGCTTGTCGGGCCCTCGGCGTACGCGCCTGCGCCCGTCGCCGCACCCAGCGTGTCGTATCCTGGGCCGGGCATGCAGTACCCGCACCAGCAGCAGCATCATTACGTCGCGGCCGCGCATCAGTACCCGGCGGCGCACCACCCCGGCCAGTATTCTGCGTTCGGCACGAACGCCTACCCAGCGAACGCTGCCGCAAGGATGCAGCCGTCGATCGTAGGTGGACAAGCGTCGAGGCGGAGCGCGCCTGGCGGCCGCCGGATGACCGCGTCGTGAACGACCCGCGGTCCCCGTGAGCCAAACAAAAAGTTCATGCGAGAAGGGAGAACGGACGTTCGTGTAATGATACAATTGGGCCCCCCCACGGTGACATGCTTCTTGGATTGGATTGCTCGTGCTGACCATAGCGGACCCTCCCCCGTCGTCGTCGTCTGCACACTCACTACCTGCACAGGACCCGCTGCTGTACATATGTATAACGTCGTTTAATACCCGTAATGCCCCCCGCATCGGTACCCCCCTTGGCATGCGGGCTCGTTAGCAGTCGCTCGTCGCTGCCCGCAGTCCCCCGCCACATGTCTCATACCCTTCGCCTCGTCTTCATGTCCCATCACGTTTTGCTACGGACGAACTCGGACCTCTCGCGCTCGCCCGCCTGCGGGGCGGCGCTGCACCACCCCTTCTTTTGTTTACGCCTCAGTTATTCAGGATTCTTTGCGGACTATAGACGAACCCCAGATACGCTCTCCGGTAGGCAGCAAAAAATGTACGGTACCCCTCGCTATTCGCTGCTGCGCGGTCGGACTCGGACGGGCGCGCGCCGCCGTATACCCTCTCGTAATATACCTTCCGCACCACGGACCCGGGCTCCAGAAGACGTCGCGCACGGACAGAACACGCAAAGCTGGGCACCGCGCGACATGTGCACGAAGACGAAGTACGGAGACGGGCGGGCTTCTGCTCCCGGCGCATGCCTGCTGTCACGGGGAGCCCGCGCACAATTGAGTTGCGTGTGCGCAGCGGTCGGGTTCCGCGGTTCGGGGGTTGAATTGTGACACTAGTGCGGGTTCGCGATGTCCTCCTGGGAGAGAGGAATGGTTTTGGCATTCGTGTTGGGAGGGGGCGCATTCAGATAGAGAGCCTGCAACGGTCGCAGACGACGGCACTCGAGATTGGCCGTGGGCGTCCTCATCAAGAGCACAGATAACCTGGTGATAGATACACGCATAATTGCTATGGTCACGCCAAGAGACTGGACAGACAGACCCCGCCCAGCTCAGTCGCTGAGCCAAACGAAGCTCGACCGCGTCGGGACGTCCGTGTTCGTCGCCACGATCTCCAGGTCCGCGCCCCCGTTCGTGCGCCGGAGCACGACCGTCCCCGCGCTCCCCGCGACCCCCGCCGCGACGACGTACTCGTTCTCTGGCCCCCCGCTGAGCTGCATCCCGCGGATCTGGTCGAGCCCCGTGAAGACGTGCTTGACGAGCGCGAGCTGCGGCTCGAGCGCGAAGATCGCGATCGCGTCCCCGCGCGGGTCCTGCGCGCCGACGTTCCGGTTCGACGCGTACAGGAACGCCTGGGTGAAGTTCGAGCCCGGCGCCGGGGACGCCTCCGCGAGGAGGAGCTCCGCGGCGGCCATCGACGCGCCCGCGGGGAGCCCGGGGGGCACGATGGAGAGGTTCGCGGCGAGCGGCGCGGCGGGGACGGACGGGTCGGCGGGGATCGTCTGCTGCGTGAGCGTGGAGGCAAGCTCGTGGATCGTGTAGAGCTGGTCGCCGCGCACGACGATGTGCCGGGGGCCGGAGCCGGCGGGCTGCTCGATCTCGCCTTGGACCTTGAAGTTGCCTGCGGGGCCGTCGCGCACGAGGCGGTGGATGGTGTCTGCACCCTGTGGAGGTGGATGACACGGTCAGATTGGCGTGGCTTGCAGCTGTACAAGAAAGGTCGTCGGAAGGTCGTGTTTCCGTATCATGGCTACGTCAGCCGTGGTCCTGCAGAACAACCCGGATACACATCCATATCGACTCTAGCCTCCATTGTGGCGCTAAGTAAGATTCAAACCTAAGACGGATCGACACAACTCTGGCAATCGCGCCGGTTGGAGATGGCGAGCATCATGCGCCCCCCCAATCATCCGGTCGGAGCGGCGACCCTGTGATAGATACGATCCTCTCGCTTCGGTCAGATGCCTCCCTCCGAGCGCATCCGTACTGCGACAAACATAGTCTAGCAGGACGATGGTCATCTGGACGCATCTCACGCTCCGGCGTTCGCAGCCATGTTAGCACAACACAAATGCTACAAGCAGTGCTTAGTGGCCGCCACCCGCCCAAGCCCAGTTTATGCGGCCCAGGGCAGCCGAGTAGAGCGCATGCACGCAAACATAGGAGGACATATGCTCACAGCCAACAATCGTCATGCTCCGCAGTATGGTGTGTCCAGTAGCATGATTACGAAACAGGGCACGTACCAAGTCAGGGACAAAGACCTCCGAGCCAACCTCGAGCGCCATGTGTGGGTGCGAGACCGCCGGGGACGGGGGCGCCGGGAATGTGATGACTGGTGCGCCAGAGACAAACTGCGTCGGATCCTCCTCTGTGGGCACGATGACCCCGTTTCCTGAACCGAACTGTGGTAAAGTGTGAGACCGTGTATACTGCGCTCCCACCCAAGCACCGGTGGCGCAGCACTACTACAGGAATGGGTGGAATAGAAGAGGGTGGTACATGTGGACGTGGATGTCGACATATGTGGATATGTGGGGACGAGAAAGACGGAAGGCAAGGAGACTGACGTTCATGCCGGCAACCTCGCCAGTAGACAGAGGAACGGCGAACGCAGGGCCATTCCCACCAGACGAGACGGTGGCGAGTGCGTCTGTAAGGAGGCCGTCATTTTTGATAACAAACGACTGCAGGCCCCCCTCGGTGTTCTCATTCGTGGCGCTATTCATGGGGTTAGGGATGTATGGCGCGGCACCACAAAACCAGAGCTCACTAGAGAATGCTCTGGTTGGTAGGGTGAAGCGCAATCCACGATGGGTTGGTACCAGTGGGCGACTGGCCGACGACAGAAAGCGCGCCAGCATCAGAGTTGAAGAGATATGTCACGATAGCAGACGAGTAGCCTCCGGCAAGAATGGTGAAGTTGACCATGGTATTATGAATGCGCCGGGCAAAGAAAGACGAGAGTTGGGCTTGAGGGGTTGAGTATGGTGAAGCAGTAGAGTGTATAAGTACTGTCAAAGTCGTCAGGCGTACAGAACACCAGGTCCTGGAATACGCGGATCGTCGTAGGAAGTGAGGGAGCCAGAAGAAGCAGTGAGGGAAACCAAAAGTTTTTGAGTGTCCATTTGAGATCACCCGATCGCTATTGTGATGACGCTTTGTTGCGTCCGCGTAAGCCATTCGTTGCGAGGACTTGAATGTCCCATACTGAGTCGTCGCCTAGATCATCATAAGATCATGGAGTATGGACAGCATTGTTGTTCCATCTGGCGCGTCGGCAGGCGTCCCCATACTTACACTTGGAATCGATACCTCACATATCGGCTGTTACTTCGTATTGCTCCCTTCGGTGTGAGTACGGAACTTGCATGTTGTGCCGCGGAATTGCGAAAGATCCAGCATGGGTTGCCAACAGTCCTGGTGGAGAGGCGTGATAAAAGACGATGGCTGGCGGTGACCAACGCACCGCCGCCGCGCCATCGCAACCACTCCATCACGAACGTGAGGCGTTACGCCTCCCGTCACGCTCCGCAGAGAGCGTGACCGCGCCCGCGTCTGCGAATATTGTCCGAGCTGCGTGTCTCGGCGACCGACAAGTCAGGTTCTCCTCCCCCTGCCTTCTCATACCATTCGTCGATACAAGTCATCTCAGTCTTACGCCTTAAGATTAGAGTGAGGTTGTCGGTCGAGGACCAAATCAACGGCGCAAACAAACCGTATAGACATCCTTTCCATTTTCCGAAAGAAACACGAGAACACAATGCTAGTGCACTAAGGAACGCACAACGAACACGAAACGGTCCGCCAGGAATTTGGCCATACCCTCCCTTCAAGTCATCCGGCAAGCAGTCGCATCAAGTCGACACGCCTCCCTCGCCCTCCAATTCATGATCGACCTTTCCGTCGTCCGATGCCTGCCTAGCTCCGCTCGCCTCTCCGTTAGGGCACGCCTCCGGCCCAGCCACGCCACCCTCCGAATCGAGCATCCCAACGCGTGCATCGTCGAGGACGCCACAGACGCCGCCTCCCCCTCCCGCACCCTCGGCCTCGTTGTCCTGCGCGCCCTGTTCATCGTCAGCGCCTGACGCCTGAAGCCCGTCTACCTGGACCGACTCGGGCGACGTGGGAGATGTGTCCTGCGGCGTCTCGGTGACGACTTCGACGCGCAGGAAGTAATGCGACGGCGCCGCAAAATCGAAGCTGAGCTGCATGGTGAGTTGCCTTGTCGGGAGAGCGAAGGCAACTTTCTCTATGAGCAGCGACGCATTCCATGACCCATCTGGATCACACCAATCCGACCACTGCACAGAGCTCGGCTCCACTTCCACTCCTCCGGCTAAGCCAGAAGCGGGTCGCAATATACTGACAGTCGCCTTGATTCGCAACCAGCGACGATAGTTGTAATCACCCTCGAAAGTATACTGATACTCTACGGTAATCATCTGGTCGTCGTTGGCAAGCGTGAGCCAGTAAGTGGTTGGATGGTCCTCGTCCGGCCCTTGGAGTTCCGCTGTGTACCCTTGGGCACGTAGAGCATCACGAGTCTCCTTCAACAGCACCAGATTGAGAGTCTTGTGCGGGCGACGGAGAACATCCCTTGATAGCGGGGTAGTACGCTCCGGCTGAGATATATACACGGTCTTCACCTGGATGTGCTCGCGATAACGCTCAATGGTTGCCGGCGACAAGGGGAAGATGTCCGGCCATACAGCACCGCGTTGTGGTATAGGCATGACCGCCATAAGACCTTGGTACAAGTATTCCACGCCAGACTCAGAGGGAGGGATGACGCAGGCCTGCCCGAGAAGAGCGCCAGGGTAGTCGTCGTGTTCGCACCCGAGGATGACCAGGTACCAGTGGGATTCTTTGTCATCATGCTCTGCGGGCTGCTGAGGGAGTGCAAGGGAAAGCGGTATGACGGGTAGCTTGGTGCGGATGCCGTGCGGGGTGAAGGTGTATTCGGGAGCTGGAAGGTCCGTGAGCTCTAGCCGACGGAACACGTCGTCGTGAGGGATGGCTTTGATCTTCCCCCCCCCTTGCAAAGCTGCTGATGCGTGCGTCAAGCGGTGTTTCCCCTCTCTTCCGTATGGCGAACCACCGGACATTCTGTAGCGCCTGGATAAGGTCATGATCTGTGTCGAAGTCCTCATAGATATAGGCCTCCCAAGCGAAGAGGCTCAGGTCGGGAATGCGCCGCAAGATCTCCTCCTGTAGCCGCCGGAAAGCGCGCGCCCCCTCGCCGTAGAGCGTGGGCATGTTGATGTTGAAAATCCCCAGTAGCGAGTACGCGCGATCCTCTTCTCTCGTCGTTTCCCGCTGCGCTGCCCACGAGAGTCGTTGGGCCACGCTAAACTCGTCGAGCGACTTCGCGTGTATCAGAGCCCCCTCAGGGATGCCCGTGATCTCCTCGACGAGGTCAACAAGCGCGAGCTTCGTTCCAATCTGCGTCCAGTCCTCGGCGAGGAACACTACATCGAAGGGCGCGATGAGCTCCTGCAGCGTCCATCCGCGCTTATGCCACCGGCTCTCACGGAACGCGGATTGGTCGGCACGAGGGTCCTCGCCAGACGGGACGTCGGCAAGATAGGCATAGCACACCTCCGCGAGGCCGTACCACTTGTACATTGAGTTGATGGATTCGGTCAGTTCGGAGCTGCTCGTCTTGTCGATGCCGCAGGAATCGATCCAGAGGTACCGATGCCCGGCCTCGCGCGCCACCCTGCATGCGTCTCGGATCTTCGGCGACAGTCGAGGATCAGACCAGATAGACGTGACAGCGCTGGGAGTAGACACTGGTCGAGGTGTACTCGGTCGATGAACTGGGGATGAGTATGTGCTCTGAGGGGGAGATATCATGGGGGTCCCGGAGGAGCGCGAGCCGTGCCTTGTTAACAGCCGTACGCCACTACGGAGGTAATGATGGGCTTTGGTACATGGCCCCGATGCTGAGCGAAGTAGAGATTGACCAACGTCCCAAGACTTACGAACCAGCCTGCGAGCGAGGCGAGCTGGCAAGCCGAGGAGGTGTAGTCGGCCCTGGTCGTTGTACGAGCTCTGGATGAATCGAACATCCTGATACGACTGTTCGACGTTGTCCCACGTATGCGATAGGATTGCATATCCGGTCTCCTTGGGGTCCTTGTCCACAAATTGACCTGTCCACGTATTCAGCAGCCTCATCTTGGTGCGTAGTGCTCGGAAGGACAGGCAGTTACCTGGCGGCTGTATCAGCAGTGTGCACCTCGACACTCCAAAGATGTACATACGGTTGCTCAGCCAAATGCTGCCACCGTTGCGTGGAGTAAGGAATAGGCACGGGCAGTCGCGGAGGCAGCGCTAGTCCTGAATACGGGAAACGGTCAACTTGGACGATGAGACTGAAGATGCGGATGAATCACCTGGGGCAAGAGACCGAAACCTACCCGTCACCGTGAGTGGGTTGACGCAGCGTTTTATGCATTTCAGGCTCGCCTCGTGTCCGTCCCGGGCATGGCGGATGTTTCGGTGGAAGGAGGTCAGAGCATGTCCGCCCAGTGAGGATGGCTGGTGGTGACAAGGCAGCGCCCAGACGATCTGCCGTGCTGCCGCAACTTACGAACGCGATGCGTTACGCCCTCTCTCGTCACGCTCTGGGGAGCGCCAGAAAGCGTGACCGCGTCCGCTCCTGTGAATGTCTCTGCGCGTCTCGGCGGCGAGTCGAGCGTGGTTCTCAAGTTCACGCAATGCGCTTCCCTCTTTATCTTTTTCTCACCGATACCATATCCTCACCCTCACATCATGGCCAGCATGCAACTTCCCGTCGAGCTCTTCCAACTCGTCGCCGAACTGTCCTCTAGACCCACGCAAAAGACTCTCCTCCTGGTCTCCAAAATGTTTCATGATCTCGTTCTTCCTCTGCTATTCTCACGCATCACACTGATCTTTGGGATTAAGAGAAAACCCGAACGTCATTGGAATCACGAGGTACCATGGTCCGAAGAAGAAAATACGCAATTGAGGAAGTACAACGGCATGGCAACGAGCATCCTCCAGCACATGGCAGGAAACAGCGAGTTTGCTAAGGGAGTGAAGCAATTATCAATACGCTGGTACGAATCACCGCTCTCGCTATCGAGCGCGGGTGGATTGGGTGAGCAGGCACTCGAGGCGCGCATTCGCCGGGATCTTCACGCGTATACGTTGTAGAGGCTGTAACAGCAGCCTTGAACGCTCTCCCGTCGCTGGAATCTTTCGAATGGCGGGGAAACCTACTAGGCCTGATTCCTCGACACGCTGTAGAAGCGCTGCGAAGATGCCCCCACCTTCGTTCGCTCCTCATCTCGTATGCCCCGTTCTGTTCTCGGCCATCCTTGTTCTTACAACAATATCCATTACATCCACAGGCCGATGCAGTTCCTATGGCCTGAGCTTGTTGAGCTCCACGGGCTAAGAAAGATCACACTCATGCTCAATGTGAACGAATGGATCCCCAGTCTCCCCAATATGTCCCCGCACGAGCGACGGTGCTACGAAGCTTCTCTGCAGCTTGTCAACTCCAGCGCGCCATCCGTAGAAGAAGTCACCACCTCATATTGGATGTTCCCAGAGGAACCCCTCCCCAACTTGACAGCCGCCACGTTCTTGCGCGCGACAGGGGCTACGGGCCTCAGGCGGCTCACCGAGCACTCGCCGTCCCTGACTTCCCTCACGGTCACCGCCAACTCGTGGAACACCGACAACATACTCTCGGTCTTTGCGTCCTCTCCCGAGGCGTTTCACGTCCTGACGTCCTTCAAGTTCCTGGTGGAGTACACCAGCGAGATGCGCGACTGCGACGCAGACCCCGTGGTCGCCTTCCTCAAGAACAAGCGCCATCTCCGGCGCCTATATCTGGGACTGTGCTCCCGGCAGTCGCAGCCGGTGATCAGGCTGCTTCCCGAGCTCCCGAACCTGGAGGTGCTCGGTCTTGGATGGGGCGGGATGCAATTCTCGGCCGCACGGGCACAGGTGTTCGTGGACTGCCTCCCGCGCAACCTCGGTGCCCTCTTCATCAACGTCGACGAAGAGCAGGAAGCCCTGGACGCGTTCCTGCAGCTGGTAACGCTGACTTTGGTATGCTTGTGTACGCTTGTACTCACGTATCGCGCTCGCAGGTCAAGCAACGGCCCGCGCTGAAAGTGTGCTACATCCCCTCGCTCGGCGACCTCGCCTTGCACTTCATCAGGTCCGCTCTTGCCGACGCAGATAGTGCGCTGGACCTCCTCGGAACAGGGACCGAGCTATTCTACGCCTATCTCGCAAAGAGCAAGCAGCCTCAGCCCGTCGCGCACACCTTGTGCGATCCGCATCCGGACCCGAGTCTCACGCTAGCGGACTACGGACTGGACGACTGGCAATGGCTGGCGCAGCACAGACTGGACTTTGGTAAGACTTAGACTGCGTCATGGCGCGTGCGCATGGGATAGCTGACGAGAGGGAAACGTTTGCGCCGTAGGGCTCATGTCGCTCAACGTTCCCGCTTGCAGCGTGTGCGGAACCGCGCCGGCGTGCCACCGCCTGATAGACTGCGTGGATCTGCGTTCGTTGGAGGGGTCATGCTATAGCCTGGACTGGAGATCGTTCGGCTTGCATTGATAGGTGTGCGGCGTGGCGTCGTGGGGTGCTGGTAGGTTATATGCGTAAGCACGTGTTCGCTCCTTTGCGAATACCTGACATTCTTAGTAGTTCACCGCCCGTTAGGTTTGCGATAGATGGCCATGTCGTTGTAAGATTCTGGACAAGATGCACTTTATAACGAAGCTGTCCTCTTCAAATATCCACGCATACTGTTCGGTTTCCGCTGCAAGTGCACTGTCAAGGAAGCCGTAGATGCTCTTCTCCATTCGGTGCGCTGCAATCCTGTCCATCTCTTCAGCCTGGACGCTCGCGTTCTCATCTCTCGCATCCAGCCATTCGGCGCTCCATCTATATCCGAGTTGAGCTTGCTACTTAGGTCTAAGAACCAGTTCGGTTCGAATTCGGCGCGCACGTGGCATATTCGTACCGCCCTCGCGCTGCGCAACGGAAGCTTCCTCTCATCCAACTACTGCGTTTTGCCTCAGCAGTCTGCTGCAGACGCGCCGTGGCCTAGAAGGCGAGCATTACATGTAGTACGACGAACGCGCCCTACATATCACTCCTACATCTACGCGCTCCCTGCTCAGAGTGAAACGAAGAGTATTCAAGTGATATTACCGACGGTCATGCGCGCAGAGCCACTGTATCCGAGAAACGATCTTATAGTACACTGCAATATTGCTGCGTGCTGCCGGATGTATGTGTGTTGAGGTGAGCAGTTGATCCGTGTCCATATGCCCGCTCAACACATCAATGGTAATTGATAACCCTTTACATTCACGACAGACCACAATAACCCGGTCACCCGTTGGAATACATGCACATTCATACGATCCTATCCCACAGTTCAATCTCCTCGAAAAATTTTCGAATTTCCGCTGAGAACGAAATCGCCAAATGATTAGTCTCGACACCCAGGCGACCATACTGACGAGAAGTGGCAGCGCTCACCATCCTACGGGAGCAGGGCGAACGAGTCGAACGTGAACCCGTTGAGATTGAAGCACTCGTTCACCGACGGGACCTGCGTCAGCGACGGGCACCCTGACTCTCCGATTTCGACCGCGAACGGCAGACCCTGGCCGCTGGGCTGCAAGATCGCGACGGAGATCCCGGAGAAGTCGGTAAAGAAGCACTCGTCCTCGGCGAGGCCCGCCAAGCTGAACTCATCGCATACCCCGCAGCCGGTCTCCGCGCACACCAGAAGGTCGGCGGGGAACTCCTGGCGCTTGAGGATGTCGCGCAGGGCCTTGGTAGGTGTGGTGCTCGCGGCGCTAGTGTTGGACGCGCGGACGGCGGCGACGTCGAGGGTGCGCACGGGGAGGTTCCCGGCGAAGGTAATGCCCTTCGCGAGGGGCTGGAGGGCGCCGGACGCGGAGGGTGCGGCGCGTGATAGGGTGGCGAGGGCGACGAGGAGTGTGGAGGTCGCGGCGGCGAGCTTGAAGAACATGGTTGTGGGTGGTTGGTGTGCTTTCGAGCGGGAGACTGGGGGATGTGTGATCCTGAAGAGCCCCTCCTTCTAACGCGGCCACTCTTTATACTTCTGTAGGTCCGAAGATTTCTATCCTGAGGGGCAACCTGGGCCTTGTGCACTGTACCCGAGAACATAGATCATGCCCAGAGCCAACTGCCAGAAACGTATCGATTCAACGCCGAAGCACGAATTCCATGTGGTACGGTTCGACCTCCCCGCGCATTCAGGAACAGGCGCGAACGTGGAGAAAGGTTGTTGGCGGCACCAACACGAATGCCGTTATGGAGCGCCGCGTTGTGGGAGGATTCCAAGCGATCGAGGGGAGAATAACGACCCCGTTCTCCTAGAGAACCAATCTAACAGGAAGGACCGCGGCCATACTTTCTTCTCCTGCCGCGCTGCCCTGTGCCAGGGCCGGACAACCCTGGCCGACCTCACAAAACGATCCGATGAGCCCGGTGGAGAGATTCGGGTGTCGCCCTCCTAGCGCACGATCCGAAGGCCTTCTGACTAGGATTATCCTTGATTAAGATAGGGTATAACTACGTTTGTCTTACTCGCATCCTCTAATCACTCATAATGTTTTTGCAGGCCAAAGTGAGGAGTAGTCCTTAGGAACGCATCCGCGTCCGCGAAGCATTGGGATTGGATCATCACACATTCACTCACACTCTATCTGAAGATTCTGTGAATCTCCAATCACAGCCTAGACGTTCATGCACATGTTCCTGGGCGAATGTCCATTCGCATCTCGTGCAGCAGGGTGCAGTAATTCCTGAGTTCTAGTCCGGCGAGCCTTACTCAGCTGGCGCGGGCCCTGGATTGAACAGCACAGGGGCATATCAAGTCATTTAAGCCATAGCACAGCAAACGTCCTACAGGCTAGACACGGCTGTCATCGATCTTTCCCGCCTGCCGCTTCGAACGACAAGCTCTCGCTGATGACTGACTAGTGCCATGATCGCAAGCACAGAAATAGCGTCTACATGCGCGACAGGCTCTCTGATGTGTTTTGTAATAGCTCACAATGCGGTCTATTGGTGCACAGGAAGATGACGCACTGCGGGAGGTATAGTTTCTCCTGCATGGACTTGGTAGGAGGAACGCTTTTGTTTCAGGAAGGTAAGGAGGACGACCTCTAGGAGCAATGACGCCGGCAGCATTTACAGGGAGCGCGAAGATCTTCAGCTACCGATGATTTGAGGGCCATGGACCCGACGCCTATATGACTGCTGCTACGGACATGTATCTCCGAAGAACACGCAGTATTTGTCCATACAGCATGCATATCGGTTGCTGGCGCAAATTGCACTCGCATGATACGTTCTTCCTAAGGTTCGGAGGTTATAGTATTGAGTATATCGATGCCAGCCTGGCCTCAGGGGCGCCTCGACACAAGGCGACTATCCATGACAGCACGGTGATGGTCAAGAAGTGTGGCAGTGATTTCAGCTTATGACTCGTACAGATTGATACAAATGTATTGTTCTCACCCTCATGAGATAGTCCGTACTGCACTCGACGGTGTTCCTGCAGATCACTGAGGCTTCGGACGTCGAGTTTAGGAAGGAAGCCTCGATAAGCACGGCTCGTACATAAGCAATGCGAAGTTTACGGGGTGTGCCTCCATGGATGCTTCTCGCGTCTTCCCAGTGGTGCTTGAACACCCTGATGGGAGCGCGGAGGTACTGTGATGACCCACGATGAGGGAACATGGGACTTGGAGGCAGTCGCGTTACGGGGCTGATTTATCCGGCGCGTCAACTATTGAGCGCCGCTACGCCACAACTTACCGTCGTTGAGTAGACGGATCTGTTGCCTGTAAAGAGGGTCCATTGCCCTTGCCACGCATATCGATGAGCCCTGTCAGGTGATAAAGATAGTGGGTCTCTCGTTCGCCCTCAGTAACCGAACACACCCTCTCCCTCCTTGAAGCCCATTTCCTTCAGACCCGGTAGAGCTCCCTTCTCGACCAGACCGGGTGGTCCGCACAAGAGCGTCCCCGCTCCCTCTGCAGCAGGATAGAAGTGTTCCTCCATGATCTCCTTGTTCAACCTGCCGACAACGTACTGCGAGCAGACGGAGAGGTCAACCTATCTGCGCAGGTGATGGCATCGTATGTCACTTGTCAACTCACCGGCGCACCGACGTCCTCGTTCGGCTCCTCTGAAAGGATATGCACGAGCTTGAATCTCTCGGGCTCCTCTTCCGAGTACTTTGCGAGCGCGTCCCGCATGAGGATGTCGCTCGGCGACTTGTTACTTTGTGGGTGAGGCGAACCCATGCATTAGGGAGGCGAAAAAGGATGACGGTAAGAATATATTACCTGTCGAGCAGAACGATCTTCGTCTTGTCAGACTTGTCAGACAGGACCGCATGAATGAATTGCCAATGAGGCGTGAGCCCGCTACCACCAGCGACCAAGTTGACCTACTTCTTAGTCAGTGCACGCCAAGCAGCAATAGGAATAGGACGAGAACCCACTTTGTCAAAGTGATATTGCTCGCCATCAATGTCGAACTCGCCGTGACCCTTGTACATAATTCCGCCGCCGGGTCCCCTGATGTCGATCTCTTCACCTGATAATCGGGTATAACGATATGAGTGGCTGTGCGTCCTAACAACTTCATGGAAACTGTACCCTCTTCCATGCAGTCGAGGTAGTTGGACACCGTACCCCCCGGGGGAAACGGCCCGTCATCCGTGGGCAAGTACGTTTTCACCAGCAGATCGAATGTGCCGTCTTCCTCTTCAGGTAGGACAGGACGCGTGGGAGTATACGGCCGCAACACCGCCTGGTCCTTGAAGTGCACGGTGATCAAGACGTGCTTGCCTACCGGCAATCCGAGCAGTCCATGGCTGCCGTCTTCCCTCTTTGGCAATTCGAACGTGTACAGCCTGCAGCCGAAAAAAAGTCTCAGCAGGCATCAAATCCTAGGGAAATATGAGGCACGTACTGCGTATCGTGCGACTCTGCGTGCTTCTTGACGAGCTTCGCCTGGGTGAAGACGTCCGGCTGCAGCGCCTTGTCCTTGCGCTCACTCTTAATCTTCGCGAGCTCCTTCGCGGCGCGCACGGCATCCTCGTTCATGGTCTTCACACCTTCCGGGGAGAGGACTCCGATGAGGCACTCGTCGCGCTTGGAGTGCGCATCTGCCGAAGATCGGTCAGCGAAAAGTGAATGAACGACACAGACCAAATACACACAGTTGTCATGGATGCCCTTGTACTACCGTCCAGAACATATCGTTCAGGGCCATGCGCGATCAACGATATGAGAGTCGACATACCTCGTTAGTCACGTCGACCGTAGCCTTGCCAGCGTAGGCCGAGATTGCCTTGGCGCCACCAGGGTGCCATGACAAGACGGACGTCACGTCATAAACCTTGTTGTCGATGATGAGCCAAGCGTCGTTCTAGATCCGTACGTTAGATTTCCGTATCGCCTGGCAGGTATCTCGACACGAGACGTACTTCATTATCATGTTTCATGACCTCCTCAAGAGAATATTCCTTCATGTCCTTCGCCCCATTGTTGCCCTCGTCTTGTTGCTCCTTCGGAGGCTGCATCCAGCCGCCGTCCACATTTCCTGGAGCGACTGGATGCTGGAATTGAACAACGGGCCGGTGTGTCTCCGGATGTGTGGTGATCTTGGGCTTGAGACGATACCAAGCGTTGCTAGAGACAGCATATGAGATCATGACAAGGCAAAGGTAAGAGAAATGCACTTACTTCATCATTCCCTGCAATCGTCACGCATAAAATCAGCAAGAGTTCTATAGATAAGACCGGCATGCCCACCATCAAATTCCTGGAAGCTCTCGTCAGTATATGGATAAGGATGTTCGACGATGAAGGTACGCACCAAGACGTATGCTCGGGCTGATAATTCTTCCTGCTGTCCATCGAGCGTAAGCTGATTTCCTGGGCACCGATCATCTCCTCGAGCTTCAGCTCGCAGCTCCTGATTGTAGGCGTAAACACAACACAGTCCACAGCGAGGGCCGAGCCAAGATACATACCAGAAAACCCATGCCCAGTACTTCTCACCGTGCCTGCATCAGTCTATTGAGTACAGGGCGGATGACGAATGACTACGGAGATTCATACCAACCTCAGTGGCTTATCCCAAAATCTGCGGAAGCAGTACTTCCATGTCGCGCCGCCGTCCAAGCTCAGCTCGATGCGCTCTACGCGATCTCCTGCACCGTTGAACGCAAAGCCTTCAACGGTGTAAGTCCTCTCGTCCAGGTTGCCTTCATCAAGGGGTATCAGCTCGTCGTGGGCGGGCTTCACAATGACGGACTGCAAGCACTGCTCGTTGCACTCGGTGGACTCATGATGGTAGAATGCGCTACCGAATGGATGGTCCCTCGAGTCGATCATGGAGGGAAGGAGCCTGTTGTCCCAGATGTCTACCATGCACGATTAGCTGAGGTTCCCAAACACATTATTATGAGCCTCACGGTAATGGGAGCGGTTGGGCTTCTTTGCGACCCATAGCTGTAACACCTTTCAGCGCGCGCATTCAGCCACTGGCAGAGATTCCTCACCTTCTTCAGCCACTTCACCTGTCGACCGCCCACCCATCCCGGGATGATTATGCGCAGCGGCTGTACAGCTAGCTTCAGACATCAGGCGAAGTAAGACATGGAATATACATACATAGCCATGATCGGGATGCAGGACACGTCCGTTCTGCCCGAAGACCAGCATAACATCGTTGGCGGGATTCATGGCGTGCATGAGGGGCATGGATGTCGCATACGGACCCTCTGAGGGCGCATCAGCGCCTTCAAAGTGTAAGTACCTGTAGATACAGCTGATATGAGAATGGCTATGGGAGACGAGACGTGCATCGGCTTACCACCGTTCGTCGTCTGGCTGATCCTGGAGTCCGCTGGCTAGTATTAGGTCACGAACCATGACGCCTCGCCAGAGAGACGTCGACACGGCGGCAGCCGTATAGTTGAAAGCGGAGGTTTTCTTGATCATGTTGAGCTCCTTGCGACGATCTGTTCGAGGTCATGAGGCCGTCCGTGCCAGCACGTAGGAGGAATGAACTTACTTCCGTCACAGCCGAATGTCACTGGAATCTCGACGGTCCTGAATCCGCCAAAGGCAATCTCGTCCATCGTCCAGTCCTTGGGACAGGCGATCAAACCCTCTGGCTCGGAAAACACAGACAGTTTGTGCATTTCCCAAGTTAGCTGAGGCACTGAGCCGTGGCTGCGACAGTAATGAACCCTACGGGTGTAGAGAAGAGCTCAGGGTAGTACATACAAGGTGCATATATGCGCTACTTACTTTGTTGGAGTAATCATCCCTGCATCGTAGAGATCGACGAGATTCGGTTCGGCGTTGAACGGGTGCTTCCCAGTTAGACGGAGCAAGCCGAGCGAGCGAGGAATCCAAGAGTCCGGTGTTGTTCTGAAATGAGGTCAGCAAGCTTGATGATGATAGAGCGCAATCGACGTACTGGTCGTCGATACTCAGATGGCTTTCGAGTTGCTTGGCGGCATCGGCGTCCAAGATCTTCAGTTCACCCTGAGGCTGGCCTGGATTGTTCTTGAACGACTCGACTTGACGCATCTCTTCGAAGAGTTTATCAAGGAACGCCTGTTGCTCGGCGGTCAACTTGGGGCCCTGTTGCTTCTCCTCATCGTTCTCCTTGTCTTCTTTGCTGGTCCCTTCTTCTTCCGTGCTCTGTGGCTTGTCTGTATCGTCCTCCTTCTTCTCATCCGGCATTTTCTTTCCAGGCCATTGCTGACCCTTGATCTCGCTCTCCGCCGCTGGCAAGACGTAGCGTGCAAAGGCATGATTCTAGGTGATGTCAACCAAAAGCCTACAGCGCGGGCTTGAAAGAGCTCACCATAGGGTGCATGATCTTGTAGCTATGCTGCAATGAGCACAAAAGAGTACGAAGAGCAACGCAAAAACATACTCCGGGGTGGCTTTCTTGACATCGCGTACGCTGACCACCGCGTTCGGATCGGCGAGTCGCTTCCTCCAGCCCGAGGGGTCATCGTCGGACCCGCCATAGTCGGCGGCGGTTTGGTGTGAGAGGGTTTCGGTGCTCCGGCTGACGCTATTAGTACCCGCCCTGCGGGACCTGTCGCCGTAGTGGTCTGCGATGCTAAGCGGGCGGTGTCTCTCGATGGTATCTCGCCCGCCTGCCTTCTGAGCGGCATCGTAGACATCAGCGGGCGCGAGCTTGACGTCGTGGCTCTTGGGCCAGGGAGGTGAGAGGAGTTCCTTGGTCCAATTAGGCATGACAAAGGTCAGGTTCAAGCAGCACAGGCGAGCTGTCTATGTTTGAAAACATGGCTGGCTAATAGAGGGAAGGCGGGTGTGACCTCATAGCTTGAAGTCGATGACAGGTAAGCAGCGACGATTGACAGCTTAGCCTGTGTGACATAGTGGCCGACAGCAGCCGTTGTGCTATGCTTTCCATCTCCGATCCACACTAAGGAGACACAACCAAACCCAACTCTGGCCGATTGTCACTGGCGCGGAATAGTACGCCCCAAACCTTTTGAGCGACGCAAATTTCCCATACACTTTTACAATGTCGGAAAGAAATTGAGCGCACCAAGACCGGTTGAGACATGCGCCGTGTGCAGGTTGACAAACATGATTGGAGAGGATTGAGCTCGTACGGAGAGTATTCTTCAACGTGGACGAACAGGCGTAGGTGCTCCTTCCGCCAATATTGGGCGCCTCAATTGTTCCGGGGTTCAGGCCCAACTCTGTAGGCGCTCACCAACCCGGTTCAGTTCGTATTCGCAGCCTCCCTCTCGCCACCAAGTCCTGAGGCTGTCTTGTTACACATGGCCGATGCTTGCCATCGCCTCATCGCCTCATCGTCAGTGCGACAAGCTGAAATGAACATAGAGACCCACAAGTGAAAGTGAGGGCCTTTGTTGTGGACGACATAATTAAACGTACCAGCACCGCGCAACCGAGTGACAAGGATGATCGTAACCTATCTGCAACCTGGTGCGTCTTGAGTCAAGCGGCTGTTATTGTTCACAATTGGTCTCCAAGCTGCAGTACGAGCTCTTGAGGGAGGCGCAACGCGACATTACAGTCACTCCGAAGCCGGCGTTGAGGGCCAGTCTCAGTATTTAAGGTCATAGGAGGTCAGGTGAAGGGCCACCACTACCCCATAGTAGATGATCAAAACCATATCCAGATGGCGATTCATTCTGCTCAGGACAATCAAGGTATGTCCGTTCCTGCTGTGAACAGGACACAGACTGAGTCCGTACGGCATGACAGTACCCCCTCAGAGTCCCCCGCAGTCGTCCCGCATTTCAGGACTGGGCATTTGTGCCCTCCCAGCGGAACTGATGCTCCTAGTGTTCCAGGCGGTTGCACCACCCGAATTCGACCCTCTCTTTGGCGTCGACGTGTATCGGATTAATTCTAAACGGTGGCTCCCTCTGCGACTTGTCTGCTGTCAGTGGCGCGAGCTCGTGGATACCCACTGTCGTGACTTCTGGCGAGCAATTGACATCACCGGCAATTCGGAATGGATACGTCTCTGTCTCGCCAGAACAGCCGCGAGGGCATCCTCGCGCTCAGGTCTGAGCTCAAGCTATCCGTCGTCCTCCCGCTCGAGGACGCCGCGCGCGTCCAGTGTATCCGGGTGAGTGGCGCGACGGCTGTTCTGCAGCTTGATAAGCTGCAGCCTCTCTTCGATAAGACTCTGAGGTGTCTAGAAACTCTAGACATCAGGATGGATGTTCTCGAGGCTCAGCACGGAGTCGTCCTCACCGAGTTTCTCAATATCGACGAGAAGCGCCTCCCCGCTCTCCGATCCCTCTCCCTGAAGGGCGTATATATTCCCTGGAACTCTGAATTCCTGCGCGATTTGCACGATCTTTATATCACGTAGGCTTCTACTACAGATGACCAGTACCGCATGACCCACCCTCAGGTTCTCCGCGTTCTCAGCGCATGCTATGTAGGCTCTCGAGCGCTCATGTTACATGTTCTCACGGACGCTTGGGATCTGGACACTACAGTCTTTAACCGGTCCTTCGGACGCTCTTTTCGCGTTTTCGAAATTGCCGTCCTGTACGAGGAGAGATTGAAAATCGGACTAATAGATATGTTTTCGGTATGTCTATAGTACAACTTGAAAGTGTTTTTTCACCTATCGTCTTCATACAATAGGGGATCGGAAGGTTTTATGTCGGGAACTGTTATCAGTGGGCCCTCAGTCCTTCGGACAGTCACAGTCACGTATAGATATACCCAAACGGGACGATTATAATCTAATCAGGCCTAGATATGGTAATCAACATCCATCATCCTCCTGCTCCTTTCCGTCGCTTTTAGAAGGTGTGACCGAGCGCTTCATTCGCCAAACGTCTCCTTCAGTCGCTCGTAAGATCGCGACATTGGTGAGCACATTCTAAGCACGATAAGTATATAAATCACAGCGGTGTCAAATTAAGACACCCATTGACATACCATTTCAATCTGTAGAGACCGCAACAACGACATTGCTCACAGACATTGCTCACAAAAGCCAAAACAACCCCAAAATGGCAGATTTTAGGTGGAGATGTTAATTTATATTCTTGTATAGACCACGCGAGCACACGAAAATCAATAAATAGTGTACTATATGCCATAGGATGACATTGAGATACACAGAATTGAAGAGGGAGCCGAAGGGGACGCAGGATTGAGGGAGCGTCCGAGGGACCCATGGTGTCCGAAGGACCGGTTAAAGACTGTATACTAGAACGCTGCGATATAATCTCCCTGCCTGACTTGCGTTGCTTCTGGTACTCGGACATGTGCAGGGTTATGAAGATCGCGAACATGACCCCTTCTTCCCCATCCTCGCGCACGTCCGGTACCCCGAGCACTGCTCCAATATCTTGCACGCGGGAGAGTCCAAAACCTCGTACAGATCCATCAGCTCGTCCCGGACGATACGGAATGCTTCTCAATTTTTTATACCGCAAGGGAAGCTTTTTAATGGGGGCCTGGTGACTTCCACTGCACAACCGCCTCATCGTCCAATGGCTCGCCTCAGGGAATGCTCGCGGTCGAGATCGGATTCCCGTACGCCCCTGACCCTCCCCAGGATTCTGCACAGGGCGAGGACTCCGAAGGTCGAAGGCGCATTAGTCTCGTTCTGTTCTCACCTCCACCGCGCCCCGTTGGGGTTGCGGCACAGCAGGCGCATCAGCAAGGATGCATATGGGGCGCTGTTCCGCACATTCCCTGCCTCCTAGAGCTAAAGCTCAAGTGTCATTGGCAGCAGCGTGAGGTCTCGGACACGCGGACGGAGGTCTGCAAAGTACTGGCCGTCCTGGCCGAGATCCGAGAGAGTACAGCAGCGCCGGGAGGGGGGACTGAGGGAGTGCATCTCTCGGGTTTGCGGGTTCTTCTGTTCGAGGAAGTCTTTTGATCTGACGAGCTACTAGAACAGCTTGGGCTGTGCCAACAGATTTGCCAAAGTCACGGCACGGCTCCAGTGCAGGTTGATTTGGGCAATCCTCGCAAGTAGGATGAAAACAGGATGAAGAGGCCAGTTCATTCACACACATAGCTCTTTGAATTGAGAGCAGTCATCTTGTAGTAGTCTTGCATACGATAGAAATCAGCTCAGAATTTTAGAGGAGAGAATGAGATGAGACGATGCGGATGCCTCAGAGCAGGATCACGAACCTCTGAGGGGATGTGATACTATTCGCTGCGACAACGCCTTTGCACATGAGTTGTTGTATCCGATTCTTCAGTGACAAGACCCAATCGAGAGCGAAGGACTGTTACTGCGGAGAGGGAGGAAGGGAAGCGCGCCCACAACATGCACTCGGCAGTTTGTTTCTCCTCGGGCCGGTTGGACGTTCACAGCCACAGAAGCGTTGAGCGATTCCGCCCTCTTGCAAGTTGCCGCCATGACGCCGCGCCCGGTCCAAGCAAGTGAGGATTGCTCTACACGCCCCTCGCCTAAGGATGACACGCTGGCAATTGTCGGATCCAGTAGATGGCAACGTCCATAGGTGAGAAGTACTGGTTCTCTCTGTCGCTCGCTCCAACTCGAACAAACCGGCGGTAGCTCACAATCGTACAGCTGCGAGACGAGGACTCCGGCTCAGCGCAACGCCGTCTGATACAACTCAGCAATGCTTTGCCCAGCTTGGACCCAGGTCGCTTTGTGCAGACTAGCCGTCAAGATGTCAAGCCCTCCGTCCATCTGGTAGTATCTCTGCTCCGAATACCCCAGGTTATTCACTCAAGCACCCCAAAGCGACGCACAAAACACTGCCCACCCGATCAGGCATCCGGCATAATAATCTGCAGCCGCGATGTTCTCCCCGTATATAAGGACTGGGAGGAGAAAAGGTCAACAGTTCTTCATAGCGCTATGTCGATTCCGCGTTTCCCCAATCGTCGAGGTGTGCACGTCTTCTTGTCTCTCTCAGCAGTCGAAAACTAGACTCACATCCTGCTACTGGTCCAGCGACTCACATGAGGCCCCACCAGTGGCATAGTGGCCCTGTGGTAGGCATCCGAACCCTCCCATCCGAGCTCATCTTGTACATCTTCGAAGACGTCCTAGGACCTACGACGTTCGGCAACATCGATCTGGATGATCCGGATAGGTATGGCCCCACGCGCTGGTTGCCCCTGAGACGCGTCTGTAGGCATTGGCGCGAGCTCGCAGACAAATATTGCCCAGCTCTCTGGCAGACGATCGATATCACTCTCAAGCGAGAGTGGGTGGAGCTCTGTCTTGCCAACTCCAAAGAGATGGGCCTGCACCTGCAGTTTCCCGCTGAATATCCTGAAGGCGAGAGACGCAACTCTGGTGGTCAACCCAGGTTCGAACCTGGACCTGAGGTATCTGTCGTACTCCCGCTCAACCACGCACAGCGCATCCAGAGCGTCTGGGTATCTGGAGAGAAGGCCATCGAACAGCTCAGCAAATTACGCGATCTGTTCAAAATGCCTCTTCCCCGTTTGGAAGAGCTGCGCGTCACGATGAGAGCTGAGAGCATCGTATTCGACGGACCCGTTCTCACCGAGATTCTCGATATCGACTCCAGGCGCCTCCCTGCCCTCCGCATGCTCGTACTTGATGGTGTATATATTCCATGGAGCTCCGGTATTCTGCGCAACCTACGTGCTCTCAAAATCGTCTACACGGCAAGCAGCGACCCCCGGTATTGCATGACGCTCCGCCAGTTCCTTCGCGCGCTAGGCGCGTGCCAGGCTCTCCAATACCTGTCTATCTTCATGTCGGACACTTGGTGTCAAGAAAATACGGCAAGCCCCGGTGATGCTATCACTTTGCCAAACTTGCGTCTCGTCGAAATCACATCTCTCTCCGCCCAGATGGACGCCGTCGACGAGTTGTTCCACGTTCTCGCACACGTCCGGTTCCCTGAACACTGCTGCATCAACCTCTCAACCGAGTCACAGACGCCGTTCCGGTACAATCAACTCGTCCCAAATGACGTGCAGTGCTTTCCCGTCCTTGGAAGCGCGACTGAGGCAGTCTGGGGGGGGCGTGCTCGCTTTAGCTGCCGGACTGCCCCGCGGTCCGGAGGCTCAACTCGCGGAGAGCTCGTCGTCAACGTCGACTGCATCGGTGATTGGGAGTTTCATACCAATCCTCTTATAACCTACCACGATGGACGTCCCATCCTCCACCCATACGCTTCCATGCCGGACACGAACCCTGAGGGAACGCTCGCGGCCTTCTGCTCCTATCTCAGCCGTGCGCGCTTGACAAAGCTCACGTTGCAGTACAGCGAACTCATCAGTGAAGGCGCGTATCTGTCTGCGTTTCGCGTGTTCCCTTACCTTGTGGAGCTGGTGCTCGACTATCGCCAGCAGCAGCGGGCCTCCTCTCGGGCAGAGATTGGCAGGGCGCTCCGCGCCCTGGCCGGGCAGATAGGACCCTCACCAGGCGCGCTAGCGGCGAGAACCGGGGAAGTCCCTCTCCCGAATCTGCGCATTCTGCGCTTCAGGGATGTGTTCTGGTACAACGAGCTGCCCAACCATGTCCAGCAGTGTCAGTGGGTTCGTCAGAGTCATGGTGCAGCTCCGCTGCAGGTTGACTTCGGCCGCCCTCGCATGTAGGAATTGATTAGCAGCCAGACGTCGGGGCGCGTGTTTGTAGATGCATTTAGGCTTGGGTAATACACCATTTTTGGCCACGCTAGATGTACATCGGGCGCGACTGAATAGAGCTATCCAGAACAAGTAATTACTGTGTTCACCACGTCGCCACCTCGATCCTCCTAACACTGCCGGACTAAGCATCGGCTTTGAATAACTTGAGTGGTACCCCTCCCCGAGTCCTTTGAATGACTGCTTTGTACTCGTACTCATTGTTCTCCGAGTTTCTAGCGACACGCCACTACCATTGCACCGGCGCGACCGCCTCGGAAGCATACAATACCAGGCTAGAGCAATGGGATGCGCGTTGCAGGTCCTTTGTGATAAGCGGTATAGCTTGTCACGACGTCAAGGGGGGGGGGGGGTCGGCAACATGTATGCATCAGCGATTGCTTTGCTCAAAAGCAACGCTGCCAACGCATCTGTGGCTGGCCGAACTGGCTCGAGTGATGCCCGACTACAACCTACTATCAGAAGTGAAATAAATGCTAGTACTACAGAACGTTACATGAATGGCGGCGGATCAACATGACGTGCACCGTGATACGACTCAGAATATGAAAAGAGATTGCCACTCCACAAAACCAACTGGCCGCCCACGCCACTTCGTCAAAGCTGGCGCCGCGATCTGTAACACGAGGCTATCAGGACCGCATACGAACGTTGCAACGGTGTCATGGCCTCCCATGTAGGAGGGCGCCTCGAAGTGGTCCCATCTGCGAGGTGATGTCAGCCTTGATAGATAGTTCCAAACCGGCGTGAAAACGTGCATGATCTCCGCATTGACTCGGCCTACGATGTAGTCCTGATTCGCGCATTCATCGATCAGATGCATGACATCGGCGTGAACAGTGATAAAGCACCTTTGGGTCCAATATCCGATGTCGTGCCTTGGAAGGGTCGGAGAGCACGTTCCAAATCTTCAGTCTGTCGCCCTTGTGCCTTTCCAGGTCTGCATACAGCAGGATGTCGTCCCCAGATGTGTTGCTGAAAGCGGCAGTCAATGATCATGAGAGTGAACGTGAGCTCATGTATGAATCTCTGCGTACCAATTGATTAGATTGAGTTGAGGCGATGTTGAAGTGGTCGACAGAACGGCGTGGATGAGCTGCCATATTGGAGTAATCCCAGTCCCGCCTGCCAGGAGGTTAATCTTTACAACGCTATAAGCATCGTGATGGCACTACATGAAGGGGGGCGAACCTTTTCATAACGGAGTTTCTGGCCGCGAACGTCGAATACTCCGTCGGAGATGTTGTAGGTGATGTCACCCATCGGACCACGGATGTCGATCTCCTGCCCTGGGGTTATAATGCTCCTGTGATTATGAGATAGTCATTCCTTTAAGATCACACCATACCCTTCTGCAGGCAATCTAGGTAATTTGACACGGTGCCGCCAGGATTGGCCTTGACCTTGTCGGGAAAGTACGTCTTCACGAGCAGCTGGAAAGTCCCTCCAGTATCCTCTTCTGGCAGAATGGGGAAGATCGGCGTGTACGATCGCACCACCGCTTGATCCTCAAAGTGTACTGCGATTTGAACGTGACGACCCACAGGAAGTCCAAGTTTTGCCGGGGTGGTGCCATTTCTCGATGGGATCTCGAATGTATATCTCCTGTTCCGAGGACGTCGTCGTATGGCTACTAGAGTGATGATAGATGGAGACACCCACCTCACAGATGAGGTCTCGTCGACGCGCTCTCGAAGCATCGCCCGGATAAATACGTCCGGTTGGAGGGCATAGCCTCGCTGCTGCTCCTTGAGACGCCGAAGCTCTTCCTTTGCACACTTATAGTCCTCTTTCATCTTGGCGACACCCTTGGCGGAAAGCCTACCAATCAAACAAAATGCCCTCATCTCGTGTGCACCTACCATCTCGGTCAGCGAAGTCGAATCATCGTAGCGCTCCCGCTGCTTACGGTTATCATGAATCTGGTCATACTGGAACAATTCCGTGAAATCAGCACGTCCGGCAACCTAAGTCTATGGGCCGTCACGTACTTCTAGGGAAGCATTCACCGTGGCCTTTCCCGCATATTTGAGCAGGACTCTGGGGCCGCCTGTTTGCAAGATGGGATCAGGCTGTGAGCCGAGTTGTGCTACGTCCACGCTGAAGGCAGGTTACCGGGATGCTGTGACAATATGGACAAGCCATTGGGTCCTCTGTTGAGGTCGTACACCTTGTCATAATCCAGTATAATCCACGCGTCATCCTGTGGGAAACGAACGCTCAACGACTATACTGACATCAGTAAATCCAAACGACATGCCAACCTCCTTGTCATGTTTTTGGACATCGTCTAGTTCGTATGTAGGCAGCTTTTTCGTCTTGTTGACAACGGACATGTCAATTCCCTCGTCTGTTGGTGGGATCATCCATCCTGTGGTTTCTTCGCCAGGGGCAACAGGATGTTGAAATCGCATCACGACGGTGGAAGTCCGGTGATCCTTGACAAGTGTGCGCCGCACACGATACCATGCATTGCTTTCAAAGGAAATAATTAGGATTTGGAAGCGTCAACTAGAGCCAAACGATACGCTTTACTTCATCATGCCCTAAATATGGCCCTGAAGTCAGTGGTGCCCATCGCATATCACTGTCGTAGAACAGACGGACCGTTAGGGTCCTAAGATATGGTTCAGCAAAGTCATCAGGAGATTGTCCATAGCTTGGTGACCTACCAAGTGATGTTCTCTGGCTGGAAGTTCTTCTTCTGGTCATGTGCACGCACGATGATATCCCCTGAACCGTCGACAATCTCTTGAATAGGAACATCACACGACCTGACCGAAAGACATGAGCAAAGTCTGTTCACTTCGGAAGCGGTATAACGTACCAGAATATCCACGTCCACCACTTATCTGCGTGCCTATAAGGCATCGAGATGTGAAGCATATGACCATATTGTTCACGGCACTGCTAATCGACAAACGCACCGGAGAGGCTTGTCGGTGAAATGCCGGAAGCAGTATTTCCACGTTTTGCCGCCGTCTACGCTCAGCTCTACACGCTCGATACGCTCTCCGCCGCCATTGTATGCGAGTCCTCTGACGGTGTACTTGCCGTTCCGGACCTTGTCCGTCAACTCGAGACGTTCATCGTGAGCTGGTTCGCAAATGACGGACTGCAATGTCTGGGTGAAGGACAATTTGGATGGGGACGACGACCGAGCATTCTCCTAATCGCTCACTTGTTCCCAACATGCGGTGCTTTCGTCCCGGAAGAATGCCTGGGCGACAGGGTCGCTCGTTGAAGTGATGAATGAAGGGACAACCTTGTTGTCGAAAAGGTCTAGGGTTCTTTGAGTCACGAGAACATGATCGAAGACGAAATACATACGATAGTAGGAGTCGTTTGGCTTCGCAGTGATCCATATCTACCAATATTCGTGTAAGATACACTCCACGCAGCGCAGATGCATTCTGACCTTCTTGAGCCATTTGACTTGGCGACCACCCACATATCCCTGATGCACAATGAGGAGCGTTCATGGTGAAGTCGATGAGTCTCGAAAAGCTCTTACAGGAATGATGACACGTAGCGGCTACAGTATCTCGTTCAGACAAGAATATCGGTGAGTCTAAGGGACAACGTACATATCCGTGATCTGGATGCAGCACCCGCCCGTTCATGCCGAACGCGAGTAGAACATCGTTGATAGGGTTCAAAGCGTGCTCAAGTGGAATAGATGTAGCGTAAGGTCCTTCGGGAAGCATCTCAGCACCTTCGAAGTTCAGATACCTGACCCCAAAGTTGACAGGATTAGTGCGCTGGCCCGCCGTCAGCAAGAGAGACCTTTGACTGACCATCTCTTGCCTGCAGGAATCTCGGTAAGACCCCAATCCCGAAGCACTTGAACGAGAGGAACGCCGCGCCACACTGCTGTTGAGACTCCAGAAGCAGTCCAGCCGAAGCCCTTTGTCCGCTTGACCATGTTCATCTCCTTTCGACGATCTGAGGGAGAAAATCGGTCAGAGGTCGCGAGATGTACTCATAGACGGTTGCTTACTGCCGTCGCAGCCGAGTGTGACCGGGATCTCTATGACGCTATGGTTGAACTTCTCACCGGTAAGGTCGTACATGGAATAAGTGCACTCCTGAAGCTTCAAGTCGATGACCGACGGATCGACGTAGATAACAAATGTGTGCGTCTCCCAGTTCAGTTGAGGAACGGCGCCATGGTTACGGACGTAATGCAATCTAGTTGCACATGAGTATATTTGAAGAGCAATCGCGTTGATCAACTTACTTCGTAGGGGTGATCATGCCGGCCTGAAACAAAGCGTGGAGATTGGGCTCAGCATTGAGCGGGTGCTTCCCTGTTAGTCGAAGCAGCTCAGACGACCGCGGTATCCACGAGTCTGGATAGTTCCTACCCCGGCAATGTCAATAAAGCAGGCACGCTACTTGACGGATGGTCACGTACTGGTCAAGGGTGCTCAGGTCGCTCTCTAGCTGCTCTAAAGCATCCCCGTCTAGGCCCTGCAGCTCTGTGGTCGAAGGCTTCCCAAGATCGCTCTGGAATCCGCTGATGGTTTCAAACTCGGCACGGAGCTGATCTAGATAGGCCTGTCGCTCATCGTTGTCCGAATACGAGTCAGACGGAGGTAGCCTGACATTCTGCGCCGCATCGTTCGTAGATACCGTAGGACACTTCAACATTTGAGTCTTTATCTCGCTTTCCGTCACGGGGAGTACGTAGCGAGCGAAGTCGTGTTTCTAATGTCTAGTTCAGTAGAGCAGGTGTTAGAGATATTATAGCAGACGGACCAGAGGGTCATTGAGTTTGTAGCTATGCGAAGGCTGTATGAGCACGCAAATGGTATAGGGTCGCATTCAAACATACTCGGGTTCCGCTTCCTTGACGTCGCGCACACTAACGACGCTCCCTGACTGCAGGTCTCTCAACCGCTCTCGCCAGTGGTTGTCGACGCGAGGGACTGCATCTCTGGGAGCGAACATGGCAAAATGACAGAGGTTGTGCGTGTAGCGTTTCTGTCAGATTCGGTACTGAGGAGTCCCAGTGGTCCACAGGGAGCAGGAAGTGAGAGTCAATCGACTGAGCTGGCGACCATGCACAGGAACAGACACCCGCGTGCGAGCTCATTGCTGTAATCGGATAACCTCGCCGCCATCCTTAGCTGTCAACTGATAGCAGAAGGTTTCGAGGACAATTGAGGGGCCCATCGGCCCGGTCTCCATTTATAGGACGGAGATGTTCAGTCCGTGGCTTCGAGGTCGACACGCTCCTGCCTGTGCTGATGACAATAGATCAGATTCCGGTTTTGTTTCGCAGGGAAAATTCGCGTAATGAGCCAAGGAACTGACCTTGCGTACTGCATAAGACTGCAAATACACTGCATCGAATGCTCTCAGCCGAGGAGCACAACCTGCCGTCCGTTCTTTATCATTACCCACCACTGCCAAGGGCGTGCGAGGGGGTCACGGGCCGATAAGATTTCGCAAATGAATCCCCGCTCGAAAAGCACCTCACATGTATCCGTGACGATCCTGTCAGAGAACCTCTTAAGGACTTGCAGCAGAAACCGTTCGGACGCGAGCAGCGCAACGAAAAACGGCCTAACAAGAATGTTGACAACGGCTATGGAAGCTATGGAGCAGCCGAACAGATCTGAGACAAACATTGACATATCTTCCGGACTATGAGTCTCTGGGCGACTTCTAGGGCGATGATTGACGTGTGGGCCATCGTCCCCTGTGGTGGTGTGGTACAGGTCAAGGTGCTCTAAGCGCTGTCAGCTACCTGCCGAAAAGATTAGGCGCGGAAACTTGTTTTGGACAATGATTATTGTCCAGGGTCTATGACAGCGTAACTCGTGCCACCCCCTCGCCGCTTTACATCTGCTTTGTCTCTAGTAGTATATAGGTTAAGGGCTCGCAGCCCAGGATCCTCGTCCCCTCGCCCTTCGGGAGCTCGCGCTCCTCGAGCTTTCGTTTTTTGCCCGCTGGTTGGTGCACACCACGTCGTTCACGGTGTTGCCCAATGGGGACCACCAGCTCCTTTCTTCGGCGATCCGCTCGCCACCCCTCCGGGCATCCGTGCCCTCGCCACTCGCCACTCCTCCGGGCAGCTCGCTGCGCCCTCTCGTCGTTCCGCCTGCCCTCCGGGGCCTCTTACGCGGTGATCCGCTCACTGCTTCCTCCCCAACCCGGCCCCCCGCCCGGCCGCATCATGCTCACTCCATCCCTTCTCCTCGGGCCG